AACCGGTTTAATCCAGAGCGACACGTGCACGCGTCGACTTCGCTTGAAGTTTGTTTTGTTTGAACTAATCAAGGCACAACTTGTTAATGCTCAGAGATTGATGCATTTATTGACACGTTTGCTAGCTTCTACTGAGTCAAGTTATTCATTTATTATCGATGCCGTCAGTAAATAAACCCGAAATGAAACTCTTTTAAAACCGCTAAATTGATTCAAAACCATTTGTCAAAATTTTGATTTCGCTTTTTAGGAAAACCGGTTTTTTAAGGTTAAGGAAGACCTCTAAGTCTAACCTCAATAAAACGCTCCTAATATACTTGACACTGATTTAGGTTTGAAAATTAACCTGTAAAGAAGCCCTGGTATCAACTCGAGCGGATCAGTATTTTTTGTATAAAACTTCATACTGCAATGCACACTAATCGGAATCGATATTAATCGTCTCGATTCGGGACAAGCTCCCGCGCCGAGTAATATTATTGAACAGTTATTCGCGAATATATAATTGATTTATCTTAACACATTACGTAATTATGAATTATGTTGTTTGCGATAATATTGACCACTCGGGCTGGTTACAACAATAAGATTATCTAACAGCGCACATAAAATTTAATTAATGTATCTTCGATAATTCTGATCAGTCTTCACACTTCGATTTTTATAGAGCTGACTGTACATTGTAAATTGTCCGTAGGGAGGCCTGTCATTCTTTGGTTATAATTTCTTTTTAAATAATCGTGTACATGAAAGATTTTCTTTCGATATTACGACGTAAAATAAAACAAACTCGATGCGACCATGAGCAATATGTCGGGTTATCCAAATCTGTCAAATTTCTCCATGTAAGTTTGATCTTTATCTTGTTGAATATAAGCTTCACAGTCGATTGAAGGAATTTGTCGTGTCGTTTTTGTATATAAATAATAACCAGCGATAATACTTTCAACCCTTTTAAGTTAAAAAATATTAAAGCTCCATACCCTTGCTTGATTTGCTGTATATTTTATTTGTTTTATATTTGACTTATTTAAAGTTTTGGTTTAATTTATGTATCCCATTTGATTCGCTAGAAATAATTGCAAACCGCTGTATTAGTTAATGAAAATTAAATTTTAATGTTAGAATAAAGGTTAAAATTTACTCATAGTACCTGACAGGCCTCAAAATAAGACATGTGAGAGGAATCTTCGCCCTCTCACTCTCTCATTCGCTTCGTCACTATTTAGACACTTTAGCGCATTTTTAGCAAAACGCATAGAATACTACAGAAAACCAAGACAATTATCTCTGCCATACTCGGGAGAATGTCAGTAGATTTTGTAACTGACATCCCTCATTTTCGGCTGATGTAATTCTGTCCCGTAATGACATTAGTATGAACTTAATGTAGGATTTGACATTTTGAACCCACTTTAAATGATTTTTCGTACTCAATAACTAGCTTCAAGTCTCTTTATGACTATAATGTACAATATGAATAATTTTATTCAATTGATATTCTTTAAATAACTCGTATTAGGCGCTTTCTTTACATATTTCATCAAAAGCCCACCTCTAAGCTTTTATGAAATGATCGAAATAGAAGGTCATTTGATGGTAAACAAGCAAGCAAAAGCAACTTTAATTCACCTATTTAATAGTCAATATCTAAAATAATAGTGAAAAAAGTACTTAGTAGGACGATAATTGCTTGAACTCCATTCTCAATAATATAAAGAAATTATATGGACTTACGAAATGTTGTGCAAGCAATTATACCCTCTAAGGTTACAGATCAAATGATCAATCTTTAAATATATCCAGAGCATCATTAGACTTTGTATTGCGATCATTGTTGTCAAATCCACAATTGTAGATTAGATTAATACTTTGATATTAAATCTAAAATAATAGAGAAATAAAGTACCTAGTAAGAGTTGTTGATAATTTTAAGGCGGTAATTGCTTGAACTCCGATCTCGGTAATGTGAAGAAATTGTATAGATTTACGAAATCATGTGCAAGCAATTATACCCTCTAAAGTTACAGATCAAATTTTCAATCTTTAAATATATCCAGAGCATCATTTAACTTCCTATTACGATCACTGTTATCAAATCAACAACAGTAGATTAGATTAATACTTTTGTTACCGTCCAGAAATGCTTCAATTTTAGTAAAGTAATCCCCCCCCCCTTTCCTAGATCTCCAATGGGCCCCTTTTGTCTAATGCCATAATAATATCCTCTAGTCAAGTCGATATTTTTATCAATATTCAATTTTGTATGTACAGTGTGTGCATATGAAATCGACCTCTGAAATCTAAAACCAGTTATCTCTATAATTCCCAAACACGATGTTTTACACTCATCGATACGTTTTAATCAATCTGAGTTTGCTTGAACAACGTTTTCTTATAGGCTAGGAAACTAAACTCGCTTAAAAGAAATTAGTTTCTATCATCAAGTACACAATGAAAACGGATTGATGGCAGTGAAACATTCAATTGATAATAGTTCATAAAAACCTGGTTTAAATAATGTTTAGAAAAATCTAGGTTTTTCTAAGAAGGAGGTTAATATGTTTTATTTATTATGTAATTAAAAATCAAATATTACAATTGTTAATATTAACATCCTACATCAGCAATGGTAATATTTCATAAACACGAATCGTCATCATAGTAAACAAACTGCACAACTCCACTTTTTAATGAATATCAGCAGTGCTATTCTTAAAATATTGAATGAACATTGCATCTGTTACAGCATTGTTATGACAATTGCATCGCGAAAATTCAGCCTGTCAAACATTTATGGGGCGCAGTATTAAAAAAAACATACACTTTTGTATATGATGTTTGTTTACTATGGTAACAAGAGTCAATAAATCTTATAACGCTATTCATAACAAAATATGGAAGCAAGAAATACACTCTTTTCGCTATATTACAAAACGAAAACTATAGTTAAACCTGTACTAAAACTGATGCTGTCACTTTTGCTTGCTAAAAAAAAGACAGAGGCAACATTAGACTTAAACCAAGATTAACTTTAGTCCTTGTTTTGTAATAAGGCGGTTTTTTATAATTAGAAGGGGCCTATCAGACTTGTACGATTTAAATATAAACTAGTAGATATTCAAGTTGTCATAAGAGGCTATCATTAGCTGTAACGCCGGAAGCGGCATAGAGGATGTATATTTTTGTCTAGAACATTGTAACGAATGGAAAATAAATGTAAGAAATTGCCAAAGCATTTTGTTGTATTTATTGATGTCATAAAACAACATTGTGAACCTTTTTGTCCCAATCCAATCATTATCTATTCTTATAACATTTTAGAGAATGGGCGTGGCGAAAAATGGAACTAACATTAAGATTTTTATTTGGCAATCAAACCCTGTCTGTTTGGCAATCTGTAAAACGTCAAAGTTTTGTGTTGATACGGATTTGTTTGTTGTTGTGATTTATTGCGGTTTTTTGTATTTAATCATGTCTAAAAGGGGTAAAATATTACAAATACGGTAGAAAAGCACTACAGCGCGCTCCAACCTAAATCCCATTCTCTTTCCGCACAGACTCTACTCTGAGTGATTCTTTTTCCTTTATTTTACACTAGCATGTTTTACCCGCGCTTTATTAGGGATATTTTCCCGCAGTAAAACGTAGCCTATGTGTTAATCCAGGGTGTCGGCTAACTCCATACCAAATTTTATAAAATCGCTCCAGCCGTTTAGACGTGAAGAAGTAACTAATATACACACTCACAAACTTTCGCCTTTATAATATTAGTATGATACATTGAAAAGGAAGCTTATGTCAATAGGCTTTTTGACATTATTAAAAATAATGTACCAATGGAGAAGTATACGCAAAGCTCGACAAAGATGGCGCTGCAAACGCTTGACCCTAACCACAGCCGAATATTGCATCTGTCAAATTTTAAACGTGTTTATTTGTTGTTAAAAATATTAAATAAGTGGTGAAAATGTATTCAACATGTTTAATAGAAGTTTTTGGTCGCCCCTAGTGGCTAAATTTTGCAGATTTCTTGTCCATTGTTGGCATCTGTATTTAATATGAATATTAGCAGTGAATTTACTATTCTGAAGCGGCGCGAGTTAGAATCCGGTCTGCCGCCTGGGCTGTGTAGAAATAATTTACGACTAATTCTATTTTTAGATTTAACCATCTAGCAGTTAAATGCTTAAAATTAAAAAATAATAAACAACCAACCAACAATTTGCTATTTCTTCTTTAATAACGCTTAATGCTAGTAAAGGTATTTCGTTCAACAATGTGGGTTACCTACAATGCGACGAGATGGTGTTGCCTTGCCTTAGCAAAAATACTAGAAGAAATTTGACAAGGATTAATATATTTTTTATTAATAAGTTATATTTTTTATTTTTAACCATTTAATTACTAGATGTATAAATCTAAAGAACATTTTACTAGAAAAAAAACACGCGTACCATACAGCAGACGGGACTCGAACCCGCACCCTTCGCTTTCCGAGCTAATGCATTGACCATTATGCTACCGCGACCCTGGCGGTTTTTTCTACTAAAATGTTCTTTAGATTTAAACTTCTAGTAACGAAAAAAAAATAACAAATATAACCATTATTGCTTTTTCTACTTTAAAATTTTTAATATTTGTAAATGTAATCATTTTACATCGTGGATTACCTACAATGACAAGAGATGGCACTGCCTTGCTGCTTAAGAACGGCTAGATAAAATTCGACACGGCCGTAAGGGCCGCGGTAGCATAATGGTCAGTGCATTCGCACGAATAGCGAAGGGTGTGCGTTCGAGTCCCGTTTGCTGCCTGATCCGCGTGGAATTTTATTCTAGTAAAATGTTCTTAAGGGTTTTAAGGTCGCCGTACTTTAAATGGTCCTTGAAATGAGGATGATGAACTTGAATAATTATTATGTTTTTTGAATTTCATTTTATTGCTTTCGCACTCAGTCCAAGATGATGAGCTGAGAAAATTAAACAATGCCAATAAACGTAACTGAATTTTATTAGCCAAAATACACTTAACAGGATTAAACTTCCATATCACGCCACATCTTCTTTCTCCTTCTGCCTTTCCGCGTACAACTGAGAATTCTTCACGGCCGAATATAAGCTGAATAGAAGATGCAAAGCTTGTATCCTTGCCGCTAAACCATCCCCTATTATTGGCACGTCGAACACAGCGCAAACCAACTCGACATATTGCGATAAAGAACAATCCAAACTGGCCGGCGGGAAACCGACCTCGTTGAGCGTCTCCTCCATTGTCTCCGGCCACTCCTCCATTAGATTGTCTATGTCTGGCATTTTACTGTAAAAAAAATGCAAATCATTTGACCTGCCCCATCCATGGGGGATTGTGAACTTTCTTCCACTTATCCCCATTCGATGCTAATCGAATTGAGACTAAAAGCCGTAACAGTGATTATACTGCCATCTAGTGAATATTAGTTGTATCACTTTTAGACCACTGGTTCTATCAAAATGATCAATTTGAACTGGAAAAAATCATAAACTCAATATTGTAAAAAAATAGTTAGGCCACTATGGTTCTCATGGCCTCAATTTGATAATGGGGATAAGTAAAAGAAAAAGTCACAGATTCCCATCAGTTGAAATTAAAAAGGATAAAATATTTTATATTTCATACTCATGATTCATGCAAAATAATTTAAATATATTTAAATAAAACCGTAAAAACTAGTTTTATTTAATGAGTGATGTGCGTGAAAACCTAAGAAATTAAATATATTTATTTCTTAGGTTTTCACACATACCACTCGTTAAATAAAACAAAGCTTCAACGGTTTAAGTGCGTTAATTTATTTGTTACTTTTTGTTGTGACTTGAGCCATTTTCAGGCTGCGTCTTTAAATAATCAAATAAATATTTAGGAATTCGGCAATTTTTTTATTTTCATACATACACTCACTGATTCATTTTAACACACTGAAACACGAATTTATTAAAAAAGTTATTCGTAAATTTTTACTGCGAATTGGTAAACAAGGCAATACACCAATCAAATATCCATTCGATTATGCAATTAATAGTTTTTTTTCCTAATGGGGACTATTACAACTGAACTTTTTTTCTATTCATCCCAAATATCAATTTGATACACACTGAATAAAGATAAGTGGAAGAAAAGTTCACTTTCCCCATTAATGGGGAGTCAATGGGGATTAGTGTAATATACCTTATCATGTTCTATAAGGAATAAAACATGAGGAGGACCTGCAAATTCCCAAATAGCTAATATGAACAGCTATGTGAAATGCTGTCATTAGGATTTAGTACAAGTAAAGTTAACCAAAACTATAAAATTTCTCTAACAGATTTTCAACTTTATTACCTTTAATTTACGGTTTTCTTCTAAGCAGCAGTTTATAACTGCTGTACCAGCTATACTTTATTACCACTTAACATCAGGTGGGGGAGTCGTTTGCCTACCTCGCACTAAAAAAAATGGATGCGTGTACCTTATGTACGCGCGTGAGAAGTTATACTTCTTTAGCATCATTAAAAATATTTTTTAATTGCATGCAAATAATTAATAATTACAATAAAATAATAAAAAGACTGGAAAAGGATAGTTAACACAGTCAATTAAGTTCAATTTTAATTTGAAAAATTAAATAAATATTCAAAATATTCAATTAAAATCACTACTGAATTTAAGTTATTAGTCCATATGTAATTAGCACTTGTAAGTAACTAAAACACGTTGTGTCTATATAGAAACTAGAAACATGTGGATAAATATTATAAATATGAAAACAGTGATCAGAGGCGACGAGCGTGCCAACATTGTTTTTGACAACGCGATCATCTTATGGAGCTCCGTGGATCGTTCAAAGTACCTTTCGAACAGATGTCTAATAATGGTGGATTATTAACCACTAAGTGGTTAATAATCCACCCTTATTAGACACTAACATTCATAACGCGCCCGCGGCCAACTTCATGGTGTTACTATTGTGTTACAGTGATGCGCGCGCATCTCGAAATTTCACTCACATGATTTTTTCATAACGCGCCCGCGGCCATCTTCATGCTGTTACTTTTGGGTTACAGTGATGCGCGCGCATCTAAAAATTTCACTCTCATCATTTTTTCATAACGCGCCTAAAGAAGTATAACTTCAAAAACAAAGTTACCATGTTATACCTATACCTTACCTGGTGTACATGACAGTTGGCGGTGGTTTCGAGAGATGCAGTTCGCTGACGTCCTTTATCCAACGCTCGATCGCTTTAGAGTTCTTCTCTGCGTTTTCTACCTTCTTGGTGAGCTAGAAGACATAAAATTACATGAAGAGAGGGATAAGTTAAGCTAAGATAAGAGAAGCTCGATGGCGCAGGTGGTTACTGCGTTCGGCCTGCGATCATGAAACATAAGCAACTTTCGCAATGGTCGTCCATCGGATGGGTGACCGAAAATTTCGAACTCCTCCGTGATTCGGAAGGCACGTTAAGCTGTTGGTTCCCGGCAGCTGTAGTCGTTAGTACTCATCAAGCCGCACTGGGTGGTCGTGACGTCACGGCCCATCATCATCATCATCAGCCCGCATCGGTCCACTGCTGGACATAGGCCTCTTCCATAGCACGGCATTGAAAGAAAGAAAGAAAAATAAATTTATTTGAGACAAAACAACGGTAAAAAATATATATATAAACAAAACACACATAATTTTTTGTCTCAAATCGGTCCCAACTCAGCATGTGCTGATGTTGCCATCAGCGCTGGTCTTCCGTTGGAACCGGTTTAGTGACGACATTGAGCTCGGTCTTCAGCTCTCTCCATCTAATCATTACCTGCTGCTTTTCGGATGTAGTTGCTCCATCTAATCACGGCTCAATCTTCCCTTTCCTCCCATTAATAAAGGAATTATAAGCAGACCCATCTTTCCCAGTGGGCACTTTGGGCAAGTGCCCAGGGCCCAGCAATCCTCAGATCAAGTACAAAGTCCCTAGTCCCCGTTAGATAACCAAACGGGGGTCATAGGGGCCCCATTATCCTAATATGCCCAGGGCCTCCAATAGGTCAAAGACTGCACTAATTATAAGGGTTCTAATTTATACTGACGAGTGTAGTCCTGGAGCTATTGGTCTTGGATATGGCTCGCAGTTGCAGATGCAGGAGCGCGCTGTCGCTCTGCTCCGCCGAAGGCTCGTCCAGCACGCACAACCCTGAATGTATACATTATACTGTTACAGTCAGGCGCGGTCGCAGCCTAAAATTTTGGAGGGGGTCACTCACTACACTAATAAAAAATAGGTACCACTTATGGGAAGAGATGCCAGATTTTGAGAAATGTCTTTGTATTTGAGTATAAATCATCATTAGCAACTTTGATGCTATAATACATAGTAGTACTAGATGTCATTTCCAAGTTATTTTGGCCATCGCAGTTACGTAGTTCAAAAAACACCACTAAATGTCAGCAAACTATAAATTTATCGCTGTTAGGGGATAGCTAGAAATTTCCTTTTATTATTTGGATTTTGGGGGGGGCTCATGTCTCCTGTGACCCTCCCCCCCCCCTTCGGACCGCGCCTGGTTACAGTCGCATTCGGAGACGTCGATTAACTTGTAAGCATGGAGGTTAGACAGAAGGAGAACGATGGCTACGTCCTAAAGCATTAGCTCGCCTGTCCCTGAAAATTTGTAGAATTTATAGTTCATTTTTCAGCCACCAGCCGCGTTGCCGTCGGTAAGTAGTATCTGTGAAGTTAGCTGTTAATGAGTACTAATAGATGAAGTTAGTTGAATAATGTACAAAGGACATTGCTCGATCCCCATACATTGAATGCCCTAGAATGCACAGCAATGAGAAAATGCTAGTTATGTTCGGAATCATTCATAAACTCTCATTAGGCATTTGTTGAAATACGGACAACTTGAGGAACCGTGGCCTACTACACAATGTATTAGATTTTGAGGTTATAATTATTATACTTAATCGTAAACGGTGTACACTTTATATCTTCTGAATAGATTTATTGTTTACCTCTATGTAAGCACTTAAATAATATGAATTAAATAAACATAAAATGCAATTAATAATAAATGCTTATATTCATATTTATTTATGAGTATTAGCAGTTGGCACCTATGATACCTATACCTACCATGTGTAATAATACATTTCTTTTCAAATGAAACTATTCTTATACTACTATACTTATAGTACTATTCTTATATTGATAAATACCTACGGTCACGTTTATGAAAGCTATTCTTTTTATATATTCAAAATGGAATAGAATTGAATTAAAAAAAAACACTTATTTGAAATCATTTTTTGAACCTTATTGGCGAAAGCTTTTGAATTTAGACGAGACAGTCTCATAAGGCAAAAGGTAACATGACAGCAAATTGTCTAAGTACCTAGTTACAGAACTTTTAATTTTTACAACAGAATGTCCGTTTACTATGATTAATTGCTAATAAAGTAAAAAAATAAAAGAAAAATAATAGTGAAGGACTTTCGTTTGTGCATGCTGGGGCCGATTTCGTCGATGTCCTTTCAAATAAGCGCACAACAGCTCGCTTTTATTTAGACAACTTAGCGATCGCATCGCCTCACTTATTTTGTCCATATTTCTGCGACACTATTTTCTACAGCGATCTGTTATATGGAGCCTCGAGATTCCCTTTTTAAAAAAAGATTTATTTTAATTAAGAAGTAATTTATTTGGATGCGAGTTACAAGATGTGTGTCTGGGACGCGACTGACGAGCCACGCAGGGCTTGCGCGGATGTGAGGCTGGATTGCTAGGTCAGCATGTCTAGCAGCCCTGTTAGCAATAACCCTTACAAATACCATATGTAACAGATCGTTCTCCTTCTCTTTAACTTCCATGCTTGTAAGTTTGACTGGAGTGGACGTTGTCACTTACGATAGCAGTAGAAACAGAAAACACGAGACTAAGGGACCCCCACACTAGCGTTGTCGTCGTGCCAGCGTCCGCGCAACGTCGCTTTTTTTATTAGACCAGATTATAAAATACTAGCAAACCAGTAAACCAAATGTTCACCAAAACCTGATTTAAAAAAAAAATAAAAAAAAATGTATTTAATTAATTGAGAACTTCGGAGATTTTGTGTGGTTTCGTTTGAAATTCGTGATTTCTCGAAAACCGGAAGTGCTACGTTACTCAAATCCGGTTTGTAGTCTTATCAGACTATTCTTAACTTATAACTTAAATATTCTCTTTATCTATCTCTTACGGTTTGGCCGCTGAAACAGCACCACAGACGGACGGACGGACTTGTCTAATAGATAAGAGATAGCAAAATTGATTGTTTGTGAAGGCATCCTAAACCCGGATTACGATGTCTTACCCAAGTTGTCAATATGTTCAAGCACTGGTTCGGAGAGAGGCAGACCGCGCACGTTGCAAGCAGGCGTGGCCACCTTGATGAAAGCGTCTATATCCCCCACCGCCGGTACGTACTCCGGCACGAACGGCTGCAACTTGAACTCTATGTCTATCTTCTGAGGGGTGTATCTGGAATGCACGCACACGGGCGTAAATGTGTTGGTCCTAGATTGCTATCTCCTAAGGGGAGTAACTTTTTTTTGACGCAGGCAAATCTCTATTTACAGACGACGACGCCTTTAAGAGGTACATCGCCGAACGAATCACACATCTGGCTCCCGCAAGCCTTACGAGCCGCAGTGGCCGCCCACTGAGGACCCCGTAACACTTACGGGCGCTTTACGGCATCATATCCGCTAAAGAAACCCTGCGAATACCCTCTAAGCTGCTAAATGCGAAACCGCGGGATTCCCGTTTAAGGATTCTGCCGCGTCTCCTAAGGGGAGTACCTGAGTGCACCCACAAGGGTGTAAAATTTAAGTTACGTATAACTGCAGCAATTGGACCTAAATGGTTATCTACTGAGGGGTGTATCTAAAATGTACACACACGCACAAGGGCGTAAATGCGATGGTCCTACCTAACATTATACTTTATATTAATGTTTTGGAAAGGCGTGAGATATCCTCGTTGCGCTGGAAGTTGCAACGAGGATATGTGAGGACTGCTCCTTGCTTTTATTGTGTCCATAGTACAGTTGGGATAATGTGGCCAACTCCTGACTGGGCGAAATAAGTAGGTACCTACCCTCTAAAATACAGAATACTTCTGCACAGATTACCTAACATGTACTCTAGGGTCTGAGGTCGTTCGAGTGCATGTCGAGATTGCAGGTGTAGTCGAGACGTACGTATTAAGACTGGTCACGCACATGTGGAGGGTACAATACGGACAATTTTTGTATGGAAAATCTTTTGGTGGCCCAAACGTTTCAATTACAGAGAGAAGGTTACGCTTTCTGCTTTTTTAATAAAGAGCTATTTTATCTTCTCTTCTTTGGGAAGCCGATGCTTTTGGTTTACACCATGCTCCAGCAATGATTTTCAGAGTATTTTAGGTAGTGTTAAAATTCAGTTAACGTTCGATATAAAATGGTTATTTATTAAATTCTTTGAGTGTGTGTATTATATGTAGTATAAACGTGCTTGAAATACGCTTCTACATAAGCGTTTTTCCGAAGTAATAGGTGTAGATTGTAGGGGTCAGGACAATTGTTTGTGACTATGAGAAAGTCGTTACGTGAGGCGGTGTACCGAAGACAATGTAGAATCAAGTTTGCTACATTGTCATGAAAAACAATATTCGCTTTTAATGCTATTTTGCATTCTACACACTATTTCGAACTATCCAGTTCTCACTGTACAATTTTAGTCCTACAACGTATTTAGTACAAGGTTAGGTCGTGGGAAGTGCCACCTACTTTCGTGAACCACCGATGCACTCCAGTCAATGAACGAGCTTTAAACTAATGCAATCCAGGTCACTCTCTGGTCGTATTAGCTTACTACGATGTTTAATCCTTCGCTATGACCTACATTCTTTATTGATGCATAATATTTATAAAATGTGAAAAGAGAATAGGTAGCCAAAAATACCGTATGCTTCATATGATTACGAGTATAACAAGGACCTGCTAAGATAATTATATGTCAGACAGGAATATTTGGAATATAATAAAGGTTATGCGTAGTCATCCTATCACAATTGTTTCAAGACAATATTTTCGACATAAAAAAAATGCCATTTGGAATTGTAGGAGAACTTAAGCATCGAACTATTACAAATAAATGTTATACTGAATATAACCAGGGCCCGATCTACAAATTTTGCCTGAACCAGCAAAAATTTTTGCCGCCCCTAAGGCATTGTCCTAATACAACGCGATAACGCGATCATCGCGCGTTTAAACGATGCGACCGTCGCGTGATCGCGAACTGGGTGTCCTAATAGAACGCGAATACGGAACGGGTTAGCCCTGCCCCTCTCCCCGCTTCCTATCGACGCGACGCAATCATCGCGCGAACTTCAGTTAGGACACCTATTCATCATTAATAGGTTTGATTGCGCGTTCGCGCGAACTAAGATCGCGCGAATAGATTTTTAAACATTTTAGTCGCGCGAATGCATCGCGCGATCGCCTATTAGGACACCTATTCTAGATCAATATGTTTGATCGTCGACTCGTACGATGATCGCATCGCTCATTCGCGTTATCGCGTTGTATTAGGACAATGCCTTAGTGACGTAATGTCAATTTTGCTGCCCCTAATTATTTCCACTCAGGGCAAATACCCGGCTCCGACAAGGCGAAGGCTGGAGCCGCTCACCTTTCTGCCGCGTCAGCAATCTTTGCAAGTTATCTCTACTCATACTTTACATCAAGCGGGGTTGGCGCCTTGTATTAATACCTAATATATGTAGCTTCAGTGCGGTCAACCGCAAAGCCGGCAGTATTACAATATTATTCAATTCAGAGACCGTACTATAAAAACCGGTCAATTGCGATTTAGCCTCGCGCACCTAGGGTGCCCTACAAACTTGTTTGAGTATGTAACTAAATAATTTGAGTTTATGTGCTACATGGTATTGCTTCTTCCCAAATTCATATTTTTTCTAGTCCAGATCAACGTGACATAGAACCTTCAGGTTCAAGTCACTCCAGACGGAGAGGAGACTCCTCCCGCGGGGAGATGCCATCCGCCTGGAATACCTCTAGCCACATTTGGGGAGGCATATAGAGGCACTCGGCAATTCTCGGCTTAAGGTCCCCGTAGGATCTCGCCGTCCCCAAACCCCGTGACGCTGTAAAGGTCATCTGCGACCAACAGCATACACACTTAAAAAAAAATTGACGTAGCACTAAGTTATGAATCTCTCGCGAGCGTCAAAAAATGTGGCAAAAACGACCGTATTTTTAGATTGCTTTAACCAATGACAATAAATGTCGTTGATTTAACTTAGAAGTTTGATTTATTCAGATCTCCCACGTATTGCACACTTGATAATTTGATATTAATTTCAGCTAGATTTATCTTCACGATTCCTTCGAAAGGGTCTTACCAAACAGACAAACAACGAAATTATAATGCTAGAGTCTGTGCGGAAAGAGAATAGGATTTAGATTGGAGGGCGCTATAGTGCTTTCCTACCGTATTTGCAAGGTTTTACCCCTTTTAGACATGATTAAATAAAAAAAACCGCAAGGAATCACAACAACAAACAAATCTGTATCAATACAAAACTTTGACGTTTTACAGATTGCTGGGTTTGATTTGATTGCCAAATAAAAATCTTAATGTTAGTTCTGTTTTTCACCACGCCCATTCTCTTTCCGCACAGACTCTATAAGAGTTTTTATTATTATTTTCAGGTAGGGAACCCCAAAAACAAACAATCTCTTAATTCCCATCCACCTACATACTATCAGATGGCGCCGCGTCATTCATCCGTAACTAACACCGAAATAGTAAGTAAAAGTGATTGTCACCGTCGAGTCTCGATAACACGTTATTTTCAACCAACGAATGACACCTTAGTAGGTAGGGTTACTATCTTTTTTTCTACCAAATATAGTAAGCATGTTCGAAGCTCTTAAAATATAGTAGATGGCGAAAAATGGAAAAAAATATAGTACGTGGTTACAATATTTACTTTATTTTTGAAATGAGTATAATATTTTTAAATAAATCAGTAAATCAGTTTTTTATTTTTAAGCAAGCTTTACTGGCAAAAGTCTCTGAAAATATAGTAGTTTCGTCTACTATGTATATTTTTTTAGAAATATAGTATTTTATCCCTAAATATAGTAGAATACTATATTATTTTTGTTGGCAACCCTATTGGTAGGGTATACTTTTGGGAATGGAAAGTGAGTGAGTGATGCCGATGGACAAAGAAACACATTTTTTTAATTAAAAGAGTTTAAAAGACGTAGCTATCGGAATAGTTATATAATGAAATAATTTGCAAGTTATCTTATTTTTCATGAGAAAGATCTAATTACCGCCGGCGAGTGTGAGAGCGGAGTGTTAAGACGAGCAGCACCCGTGTCAGAGTATCGTTGATCTCAGATCACTCAGAGAGATTTATTTTCTTGACTTAATTATTATTTCCCTTTTTTATTTTTGTCACGAAAAATAGGTTAAAATATTAAGTTTCTGAAAGGCGTTTGTTTTATTATTATTTAATAAGTATAAAATTCTTTCCTCTATTCTCAGAAATAGTTGTATAAATATTACACTCCTTACTTAAAATACGAAAAAGAATAATCAATGCTATTTTTTCAATTCTTCCTGTTTACTGCCACATTATTTCATGCATGTCTTGTCTTCCATTATATTATAAATTGAGTTTTTATAGAATAGAGTAGCTTCAGATATTACATACTGTATTAGTCGACGAGGTCCTCGACTGTTTTTAATGAGAATGAACGATAATAGAATAATTTGCTTCGATTCAACCACAAGGTCCTCCGAGCCGGATGACGACTCCTGTTTCACTACTACTTAACAGTGGCAATATATAGCAAATGCATGGGTACAAAAAATCTTATCAATGAATGGTTTATTTTGCATGAATTTTGAGTATATGAAAAGGTGTTCATTTTAACATTGGTTCTGCAAAATCTTCTTAATTTTAATCATACAAATGTGTTTTGAATATAAGTTATAATATTAATTAAAGTAACACAATGTTTCGACGAGGAGCTTGATGGCGCAAGTGGTTAGCGCGATCGACTGCGATCGTTGAAGTTAAGCAACTTTCGTAGTGGTCGGTCATTGGATAGTCGGCCAATTTACTATCTCGAGCTCCTCTGTGCTTCGGAAGGCACGTTAAGCCGTTGATCCCGGCTGTAACTGCAGTTGTTTGCGTGGTGGATTATGGCCTAATCTCACTATTCCATCCATAGGGAAGGCCTGTGCCCCAGCAGTGAGGACATTAATAGGCGGATGATGGTTTGCTGGCTAATCTATAAAATTGAAGTAGATAGATACTCACTTCATGATGTACTGGAATATGTTCTCCATGTCAGGGGGCACCTTCAAGTCCTGGAACTGCTTGGGGTCGTAGGCCCCCTCTGCAGGGATGACCACGCCGCCGCCGCGCTTGCGCCCGCTGCCCGACAAAATGTCCGCCTTCTCACCTTCCACATCACCGCTATCCGATTCTAAGAAATGACAGAGTACTTAAAATAGGAACTTATTCAAAGAGTGGCCATATTTCTGTGTAACGGCGTGGCATAGCCGCAGCCCTTCACTTTTTTTACTCCATATTCGACCTTCTCGACCACCACTAATTTTAAAAAGTTTTTATTTAATAATAATAATAATAGCTTTTATTTAGTTTGAATTCAGTCCTATCAAGGCCGTCACAATAACTTTATTGTTAGTCGTAAAAGAAGCAACTATGAGCACCATTTAAAATGTAAAATAGTAAAATTAGGTACTACAAACCCAACACGGGTTTCATATTTATACTATAAAATATATACAATGTCAAGTATATTGAAGGCGAATTATTCAATTAAACCCCCTCTACCTATACGTTTACCGTCGCATCTGGCGCCCAACGTGGGGCCTTCACAACTTAAGCCGTTACGTTAAGCCGGCACGTTAAGCCGTTGGTCCCATCTGCATCTGCAGTCGTTAGCACCCACCATCCCACACTGGGTGAGCGTAGTGGGACATGGCATATACCATCCACAGGGAAAGGTACCTCCTCCAGCAGCGAGGACTTTAATAGGTTGACGACAATTTCTTGTAATTCTGTTTGTCTGGTCTATTTGTCTATTAGGTTTTGACTTCTGTAATAGCAAATTCTTTCCCCCTTAGACGCTAAAAGCTCGGCTGGTAGTTCCAAAGCGGTCAGATAGGTGTGTCAGCTGCGTATAACTATAATTTCTGAACTGGTACACACGTACCCTGAAGGATATAAAGTATTAAGTGAGTCATCATAGAGATGTAACAAGTGCACCTACCTGAATTTGAGGTATCCGTATCTTTAGCGACCATTCTTGGTCTTCCATTGCTTTCTCTCTCTTTTTCTTTGGAAACTTGTCTTGGCATCTCTAGTTTATCTTGCATAGTCTTTTCAGGTATTGTATTAAGCCTATCCGGTGACTATAAGGTAATAACAAAAACATTATGTAATATAAAACATGTGAATCGATATATACACAAAAATGTGGGTAAAGCAAATCGAGCGCCCTCAAATGCTAAATGTTATCAAATTTTATTCCGGTCATGTTATCATATTAGCAAAAACAAAGTAGATTAGCACTCGCACTACGGATGTCGGTCTGTGAGAGCGACTATACAGGGCGTCCCACGGGTTTGCCACACGGAGGGAAAGTATATTAAATTTTGAAGATAGGAGGATATTTTACTGAACGAAGACATCATTTTATTTTTAATAATAAGTAGAACCCCATTCACATTTTTTAAAAATCCCTTGCCACATCCGGGGAACAAACTCGTGAAATGTGAAACAAAAAACACATGTATTTTATGATAACCGTCGAAAGGGTTAATCATAACGATTATTTTTTCCTAAATAAAATAGCATTGTGAATAAAGGCACTAACGCAAAATTGTATTCTTCAACGCGGCCCTGCCTGTACCTAATTTTAAATACGAATGTCGAGCAACTAAAGACTATGCCAATTCTATAAACAGAGATCTCGATGCGTGAGCAAATTAATTTGTATTTAATTACTATTTGCAATACCAAACATTCTGGACGTAGCTACATCAAGACTGCTCCCAGTCTTCCCAGTTAAATCAGCAATCGATAACGATATCACCCACCAAAGCGCAATAGGCCACCTCGCAAGTTCTGAACTCTCTTGAGTGATGATAATAACTTGGCTCGTGTGAGGCTGCAGATAGACAGAGGCGGCGTAAGACGTGGGCGACGTGGGCCACCGCCTACGGCCTCGCGGTACAAGGGGCCTCGCACCTCAAAAATTTTTATGCATTGCTTAAAAGTGAATTTCTTTTTTTTATTATTTTATAAAATCCGTCTTCAGGTCGCCACATAACAGGGCCTCGCGAAATCTGTCTTGCCCACATCAAATTTAGGTCTTGCCCCGCCACTGCAGATAGACGACGCGAAAAAAATCTTGCGGCCGCAGCGCGATCGCTGCGCATTTAGTTACTCACAAAGAATTTTAACGTTAAGTCTTAGTTAATAAAACATAAATCTGCTATGTCTGAACAGTTATTACGCGGCCACAGCGCGGTGACCGCGCGGCCGCCGTGCTGTCGCCGTGCTGTCACCGCGCGGCCGCCACGCTGTGACATTCTGTGTCATATAAACGCGCCTTTAAGTTCCCATGTAGGTAGGCTTAAAGCCAGGTGTGTGGTCCATTTCCATTAAAAACTAAGCTGCTACCTGCAAGGAGGCATACTTACTCCAAGTTCAAACCAGAAAATAGAAAGTAGCCAAAAGAACGGCAGCAGCCATCCTCATAAATTATTACCTAAACTTACAACCAGGTTTTGATTTTTACAGCACGTGTCGCCAGTCGCGAATGAATTCTGCATGATGAAACTGCGCGAGAATTGCTCTCAAGTCTCAACATAACATCAATGTGTGAGTCTTGAATAATGAAAGGCGTGTGTAAGTGTTTCTGTCTGAGCCGGCTGTCTGCTTAGACACGGTGGTTAAGTACTTTGTGCTCATATCCAGCTCTAAAGTCTTAATACAAGTATGCCTGCCTAGATCTGAATTGATTTATTAGGTATCTCACCTCTTCGTCACCAGATCCCAAGAACTTATCCGGCTCCGAGACGCTGTCGCTGTCGGAATCGAAGTCGTGTCTCGCTGTGTGCCGCACGGGCGGATTAAACTTCGCCATGGCAGCCCGCACCACCTCCTCTTCGTCGGATTCCAGAGGGCTTTCGATCTCTCTAGCGTTCAACACCGGCACAGTTTCGTCGTACATCCCTCCTTGAACATACTCAGGCGTATTACCGCTCTCGCTAAGCACGCAGTAGCTAGCACTCGAGAGTTCACTGTTGACATTGAACGTTTGGCAGTGTTTGTCGCTTGTTGCCATAGCAACGCACCGCGCGAACCACCAACGAACTCCGCTGCGACTCGTCGAGGAATATGGAAAGCGTTGGAATTGGAATAGCATCGCGCCAATATGGCACACACCGTTGAATAGCGAGTTCGTTCACCTTATTTTTCTTAGAAGACAGTGGTACAGACTGGCACAAATTTATGAACTAGTTTATTAGAGGTACCATTCGACTTTGCCTTGCTTGATATACTATTTATACACATAGTAATCGCAATGACCCTTGCAGTGCTCATGTAATGTTATTTCAAATTTATAATCCACCATTAAAAAATATATATATATTATTATTATTATTACAAAATTGCGTCTAATAAGGCTAGATTGGACATTAATATACGCTACGTACTTCGTGATGAGACTAACCATTCTGACTTGAATTTTTTGTTAAGGAAAATTAAGATTAAAACAATTTTAATTGGTTTTATGAAAAACGTCAACTTTATTTACTAAAATATTATTATAGTTTAATGTCCGTACATAGATAAAATATACAAACCGTGCGATATCATGATAAAATAATAACTTGTCTGAAAAAAGTATCTTATAATTTACGTTCAACATAATTTCTATTCAAGACAACAACTTACATATATATAAGTACAACTAAATAAGACAGGCATCTTTAATATGAGAGTGAGTTTCATAACAATATACCAACCTACCTGTTATTGGGGATTTTACCCAAATTTAACCCTTTTAATTAGGTACAATGAAAAAAAGAAAGTGATATATGTTCATTTCTGTCTTTATAATGCGATTCAATTAAGAATAGGAAAGCTAATGACCTCCATCTGTCAAATGTCGCTTGAAAAGTACGGCTTGCAAAAAAATCTTGGAACCCTTTTTTGGCACTCCGCTAATTATGGAATAAAAACCAAACATTTGTAAACAAACAATAACAAATATTGTTAATTAATATTAGTTGATATTTTATTTTCATTTATTGAGCTTTGGCTATGAATGTTTGATAACCTAAATCGTCAACCAAATGTTACATTAAGTTGCGTTCAGAAACTCGATATAAAACTGTGGTTTACATATAGAATGCATGTTCGTATGTGACCTAGTAATAGTGCATGATTATTCATAACTACTCCGGCGGTAATGCCGAGATGAGCGGAATTGAAGAGCTTAATTCTGATTAATGTTTTTTCTCGCACAGTCTTAATAAATAAATATTATTAAAAATCGGTTATTTGCTTTCCTCAATTTTAGTAAATAAATTTTATTAAAAAATCGGATGTTTTTTCTCGCTTAATCTTAGTAAATAACTTTTATTAAATAAACACTTTTTTGCTCACTCTCCCTTTTTCGTTTGAAATGACAGCTATGACGTCACAATGGCGCCCCGTCGATCCTATTCTTAGTTGAATCGCATTATAGTACTCGACACATTAATGATGATCGCACATATGTCAGCACCGTACGCGCCGCATTTCGTAGTCTATAGTAGAAATGTAGCGCGTTCGGCGCGTACGACGCGGATGGAAGTACGCGAGGTTTCATTGTGATTGTATACAACGAAATCTAAATGCGGCGCGTGCGACGCATACGTTGCTGAAATATGTGCGATCACATTTATTGGGCTTCATTGATACAACATGATAAATTACCCTGAATGTCTCTATCTACAAATTATCAAACGAAAAAACTACTAAATACTTTTGGGTATTTCCATGCAACTTTACCCTACTGTGATAAAAATTCAATTGTGTTATTAACTAAAACAAAAACCATATCTGGAGGTCTAAATATTCATACTCTCAAAAATTTGTAAAATAAAAATTTTAGTTCTTTTCCAAAATTATATTAATTAAGCAGTTTGTATGTCAAACTATTTAATTTTATTTAATTAATCAATCTATTAGGAGTAATGCTCCAAATATCTAATTTTTCATACTATTTCTCTTTATAAACGTAATTTGATATAATGAACAAACACTTTTTTATCTTGAAAAAACGCAGTTTCAGTGTCGCACCCGTTACAATGGAAATACCCTTTTATAAATCTACAAAAATACCTTTCATTAAAATCGTAAACATGCCCCTGAAAAATTTCAAAAATATTTTTAATGATTACTGACAAAATAAGTGTTGTTTTTTTTCGCTATACAACATCTAAGAAAATATTATAATTATAACCTACATTTAATTTATCATTGCTATCCATAGAGCGGCCGACGCGGCTAGGAGGGGAGTCGGCATTCACGCGTATGTAATTTGCTGTAAATCATAACTTACTTGTTTGACAAAACAATCGACTTGCCAGTACAAATTTCAGATCTGTCAATAAAAAAACTTAAGATTCATCTATGCCCGATCTAGCGCTGTAATTTTTTATATGCGAGTGTCGTAATTACAATTTCTTTTTACGAAAGCCTGTTGGACTGTATTTTTTTGCATATTCCGCCCCCCGCAAAAAATGGCAGAATCATTTCAATAGTATTATGTCATTATGGCTACTCTCCTCCTAGCCGCATCGGTTGTGTTACTCTATGTTGCTATCTATACTTTAAACTATTTTTTAATGGTACGCCAAATAAGGGTTGACATTTCATTAGCAAATGCCAGTTTTTTACTTACATATCAAATATTCATGGTGCACAAATTAAACAGTTTTTGATGCTACATACAAATGTCTAATAATGAGTTTTATGACCATACGTTACACAGTTACATTATGACCAGCATAGCGAAAACTGTGTAATTGTAAGATTTAAAATTTCAACTATCTACTCCAATTGGATAAAAAACATTTAATAAGCATTGTCGTAATCGTAATATTTCTTTCTTATCACAATTTACAGTCTTGAATTATAAAAAGGAATTAATTTAATTAGGCACTTGAATGTTTTGGCACAATGACGACAGACTAGTTTGAACTTAATGTACTTATCATAAGATAAGCGCACAAGCAAGAAGTCGGAATAACAGTCTAGATCACAGATACTGTAATACAAAGTAAATGTTTTGATATGACTAAAATTAGTTCAACCTACTTTGTTTATGAGCTCATCGCATATCGCCGTCAGCTCTTCGTTGGCTTTAGTTTTCTGAGCAAGGGTCTCCTCAAGCGACGTAATATGCAATTCTTTCCTTTTGATCATGGCGTTTAGCTTCAACACTTCGGATTCGTGCGCCCGATTCATCTTTTCCAATTCTTGGTTTGCGTGGTTCAATTTTGAAGTAGCATGTTGTTTCAAAAGTTCATAGTTTGATTGCATTTTAGACAGGTTTTCTTCAAAGTCTTTAATAGACTTTTTATAAGCATCTTCATTAGCTTTACAACTTAGGATAACTTGTTTGCTTTTTTCGTATTTACTGTGTAAATCGCTAAAAGACACTTCCATACTAGCTAAGTGAGCAGTTTGTTCATCTCTCTCTTTTATTAACTTTGATCTTTCTTCGTTGTGCCGTTTTTTGTCCTGCTCGCTTTCGGCTATCAAGCTAGCAATCGTTCTCTCATATTCCTCAACAACTGCCGCCATACTTTTATTGAGTTTACATTTTTCGGAAAGTTTTTCATTTAAGTCATTAATCTTCTTTAGCCGTACTTCACTTTCAGACTCTAAAGTTCGCATTTGAGATTCCAATGTTGACAACCTGTTTTTCAATTCTTTGCTTTCAGATCTTAAATTAAACACATGTATTTCTTTTTCTGCGAGTAGTTCTCGAAGTTGACTTAGAGCGTGTTCGGCTTCATTTTGCTCTCTATTTCCTTGTATTACTGTACTATCATGGCCAAGGAATGAGTTGTTACCACTTAGGGACAGAAGTCTATCAATAACAGCGATGGCGGGAGAAGAGAATGTAATAGAGCGTCTGTTCGAGCTTGTAGGAGTCAAAGACTTATTTCTGGGTGTAACTACAGGATTGACAGCTGGAGTAACAACCATCATAGGTTTCGATACAGTTACATTCAAGTCTTCTATGTTATCTCCAGCAGAATCATTTATATTTGGTTTTTGAGTTACATTTAAGGTAGATGGACCAGCAACTGGTTTTTCAAATGTAATATCTAGTTGTTGAGCAACTGATACTTTTCTAGGTGTACTCTGTTTCTTTTGCACGTTATTTAAAGCAGCAAGAACGCCATCTGTTGAAAGCCTTTTAGCAAATAGAGGGTCGAATTTGAGAAATAGACTTTCTTTGCCACTGTCTGTCACTATATTCGTTTTATTTTGGTTTAATAAGAATTCAAATGCCTCCGCATCAATAAACATTTCTTCACCTTCTGGTTGTTCCTGATAAGTTTTTGCCGGCAGTTCCGAAAATTGCATCATATCCATGTCTTCACCATCAAAGTCAGATATCTTGTCAACATTATTTAAATCATCATCTTCGAAAAATGGTCCTTCGATTGTATCTTCATCCTCTGTGTGAATTTCTCTAACTGTGATATCTTTTTCCTCTGTTGTTTTAGAAGAACATGATGTGTTACTGATGTTACTAGAATCTTTATCTAATGCTTCTGGTGTTTTATTAGTTACATTACAATCTTGAGATGGGTTATTACAGATAGAACTAAAGCTCTCACTCTTACTAGATGGAGGTGATTCACAGATCTTAGATTTAGTTAAAAATGGACTTGTGGCGTCAATTTCAGGAATATTGAAAACGTTCTTGTTTTTATTATTGTCTCCCGATGTTTCGGCAGAATAATAAGTAGACTGTTCGGATGATGACGTTTGCTTAATATCGTTAGAGCTAGAAAGAGAATCCACCTGTACTTTGTTTTCTTCAACTGTCAACACCTCATTATCTTTATTATACTCTACATTTAATAACGCATTACAATTATTTTGACTTTTGTTTTCGTTATCTATAAGGATTTCAGATTTACAAATTGAATTTTGTTCAATACTCAGATCAGTTACTTTTTCAGACTTAATCAGTATATCTTCATTATTTAATTCACAGAAAAGGTTACTCTGGGTGTCTGATGAAGCTACTAATTGTGTAATTGTGTCACAATTTTTCTCATTCTCTTTTTCAGCTATCTTTGTAGTTCCAACTAAGTCTGTAATTGTTCTATTATATTGAGAATTTTGTTTCTTTTCGTTCTGCTTGTTTTTAGTAATAGAATTTTTGGGAATAGGTTTGTCAATTTTCTCTTTGACATTATCATTAGGAGAATTTGGTGGCGGTGATAATCTGATCTTTGTCTTCGTAGCAAATGGATCATCCATTTCATCAAAATTAAAATTATATCCTTTTGAACAGATTTTCGGTGAAACTGGCGGAGACGTAGCGACATCTATTTTAGTATCACATAAATCCTCATTTTCTTCAAAATTTATAGACTGTTCTACAACATAGTTAACTTCACCAACAATCGATACAAAAGGACTATTGTCTTCAGACAAAACAAGTTCTTCATCTATGTTATTCTCTCTTGCTTCTTTATTTTGAAACATTGTCTCATTGTTTGCTATTTCAGATATTGATTCATTAATGCAGTCACCATAATTTTTTTCTGCTGTATCTTTATTGTTTTGGACAAGTCTTTCATCTGAATCATTGGATACGATATCAGAAATTACATCAGGTAACATTTCTGTTTTTGGCATACAATTTATTTCCTCACAGTGATCACTTACACAAAAAATTGTTTCCTTATTTTTTATAACTTCACTTGATTTCGACTCAGTTTTATCAGATGCAATTATAATAGATGTATTTGCAGGTGTCACATTATCAGGAATGGCGTTAGTAGGAACGATTAGTTTTTCTTGGTCTTTTGGAAAAACCTTGTCTTCAATGATTCTCTCAGAATTTTCTTCAATTGGTATCTCAGATTTTAATGGTTTATCTTGTTCAAATAGCTTTGTGTTATTTAGATTATGGGCTTCTAATGATTCATTAATATGTTCCACTTCAAGAGCCTTTGATTCAGACTGTGCATTGTGCTGTAAGCTATTATCTAATTTAAGGTCTCCAAACTTAGAATCTACAGCATATTTATTCAGTTGGTTTTTAACTATTTGTTCAGTGTCTCTTAAGTCATTTTCACTATCAGTTTTGAAGTCTAAAGAAAAATCATGTAATGTTTCAGTAATTTTAGTATTGGTGTTACTGCTATCGACACTTACATCAGTTGAAATAAATGTATTCTTTATGTCACTTTCTTTTACTTGCACATTAATTAAAGATGCCAAATTCCCTTCAATGTCACTACAAATTACTTTATTTTCATCTTGTTTGGCTAAAGCCATTGAATTACTTGGCATAGTATCAACATGTGGTGTGCTTTCTAATTCAGGATAATTTATTTCATTATTCATAGCAAATGTTAAATTATCTGCATTGGATTGTATTTCTAATTCAAAATTATCTTCTTCAGGTAAAGGAATATCAGCCGCAAAGCTACTTTCTTGATTATGTTCTGATACAAATAATGAAGGGTCATTTGATACTTGATAAAATTCATTGATATTAGACTGGTTTTTATTAGAAGAATCAATATCACTGAACATTTCTAAGTTGGTTGTTTGATTTAATGAAATATCTTTATTTCTAACAGCAGTTTGTGCATCTGAACACGAAGTTTCTAAAGTCGCATTTAAATTTTGACTTTCATGACTCTGTTGATCTATTTCTTTTGGTTCCATAACTGTACTTATAGAGTTGAATATTTCATCTTCTTTTATAGAAGTGACATTTGATGGTGGAGAAATAGCTACACTTTCTGTTATTGGTTCTTCACAAATAATGGTAGTGTTTCCACATACTGATTTCATTTCAGCTATCTCAGTTTTTTCCTGTGAGAGCAATATATCTTTGTTTATATCCACTTGGCTTAAATTACCTATATCTTGTATATTATCTTTATGTTGTGATGAGGAACTCGAGACACATATTGTTTCATCCCTTAAAATGTGTGGCGATTCATCAGTTATTGTGATACTATTGTGTGTTTCATTTTTATTAGTAATTATTTGTTGTGGTGATTCCGTTTTTAAAGTATATCCATCCAATGTAGTTGTAGGTTGTGATGAATCAAAACCATCTATTTTTTGATAGGTTGCTGAGAGAATATTTTCTATATTGCTTGCTGAAGCCGATTGATTTTGTTGCAATGATTGAATAGTATGGGTTTGGTCATTATGGATTGAAAGAGTACTATGAATTGCTGAATTGCATTCAGTTTCACTAACATTATCATTAAGTATCCCACTTTTATCATTAGTGAAAGTTGTTTCACAGTCTACAAATTCTCCATCAGACTCACCTACAATTTGTTGTTCCACATTTTGAATGTCTGTCAAAGTATGATCTTTCACAATAGAATTATTAGTTGATATATCCATATATTCTACAGTATCATTTAAATTATCTTCAGTAACTTGTTCTGAATTTGTGGGATTGCCAGATTCTGTAACACTATTTAAAGGTTGTGGATAAAATAATTTGTGAATTGGAATTTTTTCGTGACTAAAAAGAATAGTTGTCTCATCCTTCCAGAGCAGTTCCTTCTCTAGACCATCATTGAATATTATACTTTCTTTAAGCGGGCTGCTTCTTCGAGGGCTTTCTTTAATTTTATGTGACGCTATTGGTGTCGAAGCTAAAACAGCTTGAGTAGGTTGCAAACTGGAATCATGAGGAGTGACATCAGCAGGGCTCAATATTTGATTTGGTACACAATTTTCAGTTTCAGATGGAGGTATTGGGCTCTGGGATGACCGAAACATATTTAAGACACTTTTTAGACCTCTCATGATTGGAGACCCTCCATCAGCCCTTGGCACTTCTTTTGTAGGTGTAGTCTCATCAGGTGTAACAGCCATAGATGATGTTGAACTAGGAGTTTCAAAATTGTCTTCATTTTCATTTACTGATGTAACTGTGACAGTAACATTATCCACATTGGCCAAATTAATGGGATCTAAAGATCTTAAGAGTGATGTACGACTGTTTTCTGTCTGGTCAGCAGGAATAGACTGTAGTGGCAAGGTCTTGAATGATTTACTAACAAGATCAGTTTTTGATAGGGAAGAATTATAAGAGCGAGTTAAATTTGGATTGAAAGCGTCATCATTTAATGACAAATTATTATTATCCACACAATTAGCTGTATAACTTTTTGACATTGGAGAAGACACTGGAGTGACAGAATACCTTAGTTTCATATTCAACTCTGAAACATCTAGTTCTTCATACCCTTTTTCAGTACAAGGAGTTCTTGGATACACATTGCTGTGCTGAATACTGTTTTCCTTATTGTCAAAATCACTATCAATGTCTATGTCCATTGGCTCCACGTTATGAGCCATTTCGTTGGTTTGAGTTGATCGACACAATGCACTGCAGTATCTGGAAACACTTTCGAGTTTTAATCTTGGTTACACGGCCACTTCACTGATTTAACTTCTTTTCGCATCAATCTGTATTAACACACAAAAAATAATCAGTCCAATGTTTACAGCCAGTCGATTTCAGAGTTTCACTTTGATTTCTAACGCGTAACATACCTATTCACAATTCATGACGCCTTATGCATGTCATTCTTTATAAACAAAAATGTCTGATGTTCCGAACACGCAACTCCCTGAAAACGTCTATTTTTAACCTTTTTGTGGTGCACGATGAGCGCCGTTCAATTTATGTAACGCGCTCTCGGCACCCGAGGGAATGTTGCCAAAAAGCACCAGACTCCAATACAAATACACACTAACCGCTTCGAAAACCGTTTGAAATCCGGTAACTTTTTTTAGAATTCAAACTGTCAAAGAAAACTGTCAAACAAGGAAAATGACAATTTCACACTGACACTGCAGGGCCGCGTTCCAAGAAATTAATTCATTATTCTCTATAAAGGGGCCCATTGACGTTCCTGTATAGCAGTCCGCCCGTGCAGGACCACAGATAAGGGAGATTATGGTGTCGATTCCGGATTCATTTGAAATGGTAAGAAAATGCTAGGAGCGCACGATATATATCGATATTTCAAAAAATATCGATATATCGCTTCAATCCGATATTATCGAATCATCTAGTATCGACTGTAGTATCGATATATTTCATGTGAAGTTCAAAATATCGTACAGAATACAGAAAATTAGCAAGTGTTTTTTCTTTAAGTTGGCATTGATCGAAATTTTTTATTTACATTATCATCAGTAATATTATTTATTGTTGAATTTTTTTTAAAGCTTTCTTTTCATCGTAGTTTTTTTTAAATAATGAAAGTTAATTCAAACTGTGTTAAAAAAATAAGTATAGGTATGGATGAAGGTACAAACATTGACTTTTTTTATATTCCACATTTAAAATGTGAATTCAATTTTATTTATATTATTATTTTAGAATTCGAATCCATAAACAAAATTATTTTATAGAATTATACTTTTGTGAACATTGCAATGGCTTCATCGAATCATTATAATGACGCAGGCATCAATGTTTTCGTGGTAAAGAACATATTTATCAAGATGAAGAAGACAGCACAATCTTATTTATTCATAATTACTATATTTATTCATTACTGAACTTAACGCACTCTGCTGGTGCATTTGAAAACTAATTCACGTTCCAATTTAGCATCAGCATAATTCGGCATTGTGCGCCACTGAGTCGCATTATGCTCTGTAATTGGAAATCTACCTGATTCTGAACCAGCATGCACTCTGGCCGTACCCTAAGGGTACTCAGATTCAGATTCCGAAAACAAGCGCGAGAAATAAACAGTGTAGTCTGTCTGCTTTTTCTCGCGAGTCTGAATCTGAATCTGAATCAGAAGTGCACTCTGGCCGTACCCTTAGACATTGGCTCCGTTTTCAGTTCAAAATAACCTATAAATAAAAGTTGTCTGTTTTGTATAATACAGTTTAAGAAATGTGAATACCGTTAAATGTGTATGACGATATATCAAAACGGTTTTATGCAATTGTAAAGAAGAAGCAAGCTGTGACAATAGGCTAGTTTACTCATGTCGAATTATATTAAATAAATGTTTATTTCTTAAAGTATTTAGTCTAAGGAACGTTAATATATCGATTTCACTTCATAAAAGCAGAAGATTGCTGTAGAAATTTAATTTTAAAAAATATTTTTAGTCTATATTTTTTAAACACTAAAAACGCTGTTCGCCACATCCGCCATGATTTTGACGTCTCTTGTGGTAAACAACTAAATGTCATTCGCGTGTTACTGTAGGTGGATTCTTTCGTCTGACTTTTATCTTAAAACACTTTTAACGTTAGGAAAGAAAAAAACATTGACAAAACTAATTATGGATGCCGGCTTTGTGAAAGCAGAAAGCACAAATCTGCCAATAGTTGACGCATTGATGGTTGGTGAATTTGTTGCACTAAACCCCGATTTCTGCTCTGCGGAGCAGAGAAACGACAAGGCATCTATGTAAGTACAGTGCATTTAGTATTACAATGTTTAAAATTAAATAATAAACATAAAACTGATACAACATATGAATAAGTGTAATAAAGTTGCGTAGGTTAATTTCTTTCGGCACTTTAATCCACAACTTTCCTGGAGTCTTCAAGGATGTGTTTTTATATTCTCGTACAATACAGTAATGATAATTACTTTAGTTTTCGTGGTATTTATTAGAAATCATGTTTTTTTTTATTATAAACTCAGTTAAAAGTAATTTTCTACGTGTTTACGAGTTTTTGTTTACCACAGTTCACGTCATAGCATAGATAATCTATAGACTAAAATGTCCGACAGCGTTTTTGTATGTCCATGAAAAGTCTATTTTAAAATTAAAGATTTGTAGCTTTCTAGGTTTAAAAAAAATACAATACATTTTTTTTCGATCTAATAGAACATTTATTAACCATTTAAAACCTTTTTCCAAAAAGGGTCAACTAGCCTATTATTATAGGTTTTGTTAAGTAAACAAAGGTGTCAATTCTGGCATGATTCTCCAAACCTAAACCTAAATTTGACAATAGTGTATCCTTGTCATTATCTATACAAAATGAAAAGAAGAGACTGATGTTAAATTTAGCTTTAAATTTAGAGAATCGTGCCAGAATCGACTCCAATGTTTACTACAGTTCACGATTCATACCCAGTTAAAAGTATACCGTGTTTGAAATGATGGTCGAGGGAATGAGCAGTAATTTGACCATCACTATTTTGATTCTGTTTTCCACCTTTATGCCTATTAACATGCTAAGCATGACTTTTGGGTCGTATGGCTTTGAATACTGTATACCCCTGAAAGATAATAAATAGAGACCTTTATTTATTTATGATTTATAAATAAATAAATTTGATCGGTTTTTCTCTCTACACGTTTTGAATCATATTAAACTGATCCCTATTCAATATTAAAGACTAGTTAAATACAAGTAATTACTTTAGATATTTAAAAAAACGATTTATTTGTTCGATATATCGCAAAGTATCGATTCAACACTCCGATATATTGTATGCTTTCCAATTACAGAGCATAATGCGACTCAGTGCCGCAAAATGCCCAATTATGCTGATGCTTAATTGGAACGTGAATTAGTTTTCAAATGCACCAGCAGAGTGCGCTAAGTTCAGTGTTGAAAAAAAAAGTCAATGTTTGTACCTTCATCCATACTTATATTTATTTTTTAACAGTTTGAATGAACTTTGATTATTAAAAAAAAACTATTTAATGAAAGGAAAGCTTTAATAATTTTTCAACAATAAATAATATTACTAACGATAACATATAAATAAAACATTTCGATCAATGCCAACTTAAAGAAAAAACACTTGTTAATTTTCTGTCTCTAAGTTGGTACGATTGCACGCATCACACGAAAGCATCACTTTTGAGAGTGCTCAATTGTGCGAAGCGTTGCTGTAGTTGGAACACTCAACGTTAAGCATTATGCCGCATAATGCGCTATAATGCTGTAATTGGAAAGCAACCATTATATCGAAAAAATATCAATATGACACCTTTTTAAATGAACATCCCTACAAAATGCCCTAACGGAGGAACTATGTCCCCCGGGTTAGGTGGGGGGTGTCGTTCATGGTGGTGGTTCATCACTTCCATCTGTAAAAAGTAATAAGTGAATAGGCCTACAGAGCGTAGGTTCAACCGGCCTATTCGCACACTTTTTTAATATTTACAGTGTAACTAAAGAGAAAATTGCATAAGGATACGCAATGCTTGATTATTTTTTTATGATGCTTTTTTGAACAGGCATCTTAGTAGCTTATTAGCGTAGTATAAAGCAGTAATAGATCGCTAAATAGCTCGATGGTTATCACTTCCATCAAACGCAGTTAGCGAATAGGCCTACTGAATGCAGCCCAATGCGACCAAGGTGAACATTTGAACCTCGGGCCTAGATCTTTATGAACGTGAGTGACAGTTCAGGGAGGGTGCCACTGTCTACGTAAGTGACGGTAATTGACCATAATTGACATACAAAAATTACGAAATAATCTTAGTAATCGGCGATTACAAAATATGATGTTTAAGGTGAACGCAGACATGGCCGCACCGCACGCGCCGCAGTCTTCACATTCGAATTCTTTATATGAAGTTCTATGTAACCTCGCACACCCACCCGCGTCGCAGTCGCCGCAGTCCCTGAAACGACCGAACTCCCCGAGCCGCAGATGATGACGTCACCAACACCGTCCCGCACGCAGCGGACGCTGCGGCTAGCGCGGCGCGGACGGTGTTGGTGACGTCATCAGCTGCGGTTTTTCTTTTTCTTCTTCTTCTAATAATAAACAGCTGACAACAAATTGTTCGTCAAGAGCATACTAAGGTTACTTTCCAATTACAGCATTATAGCTCATTATGCGGCATAATCTAAACGTTGAGTGTTCCAACTACAGCAACGCTTCGCACAATTGAGCACTCTCAAAAGTGATGCTTCTCAAAAGTGATGCTTTCGTGTGATGCGTGCAATCGTACCAACTTAGAGACAGAAAATTAACAAGTGTTTTTTCTTTAAGTTGGCATTGATCGAAATGTTTTATTTATATGTTATCGTTAGTAATATTATTTATTGTTGAAAAATTATTGAAGCTTTTGTTTCATTAAATAGTTTTATTTAAATAATCAAAGTTCATTCAAACTGTTAAAAAATAAATATAAGTATGGATGAAGGTACAAACATTGACTTTTTTTTTCAACACTGAACTTAGCGCACTCTGCTGGTGCATTTGAAAACTAATTCACGTTCCAATTAAGCATCAGCATAATTCAGCATTGTGCGCCACTGAGTCGCATTATGCTCTGTAATAGGAAAGCAAACTATGGTAGCTTTCCAATTACAGCATTATAGCGCATTTTGCGGCATAATGCTTAACGTTGAGTGTTTCAACTACAGCAACGCTTCGCACAATCGAGCACTCTCAAAAGTAATGCTTTCGTGTGATGCGTGCAATCGTACCAACTCAGAGACAGAAAATTAACAAAGTGTTTTTTCTTTAAGTTGGCATTGATCGAAATGTTTTATTTATATGTTATCTAGTAATGTTATTTATTGTTGAAAAATTATTAAAACCTTCGTTTAACTCTTAATTTATATTACAAACTGAATGAAAGAAATCAAGTGCGACGCGTGCGGCGACGGGAACGACTGCAGTGACTGCGGTGCGGATAGATGTGCGAGGCCATTAACAAAAAGCGATGACTGCGGGGACTGCAGAGACTGTGGTGCGGCCAAGTCTGCGTTCACCTTTACAAAGACTGTGGTGTTAGTTCGTAGTCTGTGGATAAGTTAGTTCATTTTACGTAGTATCTCTAACTAGTCTGTGTTCATTTTGTTTTGGATGTGCTCGCTCAGTGTTTGCTCGTATTTTGCAATTTTTTCTGCTGTGTTTTTCTTTTGAGTATTTAGACTAACTAAGATGAAAATCAATTACCGAAAGTAAGTTAACTACCTACATAGTCATATTTTGATAGTTTTCTATTTAAGATTACATTAAATGCATTTGTTAAGAAACTGAGGTTATTTTTTATTCCGAAATTATTACCGAAAGCCGTTTCTTTTCGTAGATTAAATAAAAGTTACATAAAGTTGTACCGAATAACATTCTTGTGACATTACATGTATAGAATTTTAGATTTATTTTCTTCTTTTCACGAAGTTAGTTATTTCATGGACATTCTATTTTCTTATTTTCACTAAGATAAGTTATTAGGAAATTTATCATTTTATAGTTTTAATCCAAACCTATAATCACAATACTAATTGCTTTAAAGCTAAATTTGCGCCACATTACTAACCTGCGTGGAAAGTTGGAAACAATTCTGCATGCCTCAGTGAGCATATTTCAATAGATAGCATGTCGAGTTAACAACAGGTTTTATGACCTTGTTTTTTTTTGTAAGTGTACATGTATTTCACAAATATGAACTGCTACATTTGTATCATTTTTATGTGCTTCCGAACAAGTTTCTCAATGATTTAATCTAGTACAATCATAAAAATCTACTTAATATAGGTTAAGATTACCTATTCTAACCAAACAATGCTAAGCTAATAACTAGTATGCAGTAATTAGACTTTAGCAAAGTTCAGAAATTAGTTTGTCAAATTGATTGATGAATCTCTGGTATATAAACCTATAAAAAAGTGATATAAATATATATATCATAAACATCAAACATTTTCATACCCTGATTTATTAATAGAAAAATATGAAAAGATTCATTCACATACTACTACAACTACTTTATTCTATCACTAAATGACATGTTTGTCATTTATTACTTAATAATGTATTTATTATGAATTTGTTGCAGAATGTAATTATGGACTTAAAACATGGTGTAACAGTGAAGCTTTTATTTTTTGCTAAAGCGAAGGAATTGGCAGGCCTCAAAGAAACCACTGTACAGTTACCATCTAAAATAAGTTATGAGCAACTTGTGAACTACATTGTTGACAGATTTAATTTAGAAACCATTAAGAACAACATATTATTAGCTAAGAATGAACAAGCCTGTGAACAGTCTGGTGATATAGAAATAAAAGATAAAGATAACATAGCTGTGATTCCTCCGTTAAGTGGTGGCTGATATTATATATACCTTTTTTTTACATATTAAGATTTTTTAAATATGGATCACTTAAAGTTGACATTTGATAAGTTATCCGTCGAAACTGTAAGTGACCTGGTTATGGATGACAGCTGTGGAGCTGTGTCTTTGTTTGTTGGAACTACTAGAGATAACTTTCAAGGAAAAAAGGTAAAGCATTATACAATTCCAGGTTGCTATCAGTTTTTTTTTATATGAAAAACAGGCAATGCGTTTGATCACAATCTCACCTGATGGAAAGCGATGATGAGGCCTAGGATGGTACACGCCTGCCTAGAAGATGCATGTTCACTGGCCTTGAAGGTGTCCAGATTATATTGGTCCGGGAAAACAGACCTCGGCAAAGAGTTCCACTCCCTAGTCATTCGCATAATGAAGGCCGAAGCAAATAGCTTTGTGCAAATGGGAGGAACTTCAACAACCCTCCAGTTGCGGTTGTCCAGTGGTGGAAAGGGGAAGGAAAGAATTTAGATAACACAGATATTTGAACTTTTAAAATATTTCTTAGAATCTCTTATCTATTAGACAAGTCCGTCCGTCCGTTTTTTTTGGTGAACATTTGGTTCACTGGTTTGCTAGTATAATACTAATACACAGCTCTTTAGTACACTTTTATCTTTCATTATTTTGAAACTGTTGTAGTTTAAAGTAGTCAGCACTAGATAAATAAAATACAAAAAAACAAGCAAACACTAATATTGTAAGTGACTTATTATAAGTACACTAAATAATTTATAAAACAAAATAACTATCATTCCAAAAGAATTATAACAAGTACATGCTCATTCAATAATATTGGACAAGTGCTGGCCTGTAAATATATTTTTATTTTGAGTGAAATGAATTCAGCTGATGGATGTTTAAATTTAATGAAACTTTTACTAGAAAAATATCCACTCAGTCCTGGTTTCAGATAAGTAAATTCGTGTTGTGTTGTGTTTAGAAGTGAGCATTTAAATGATAAGCAACTAAAAAAAGTCTGCTTTTTAAACTTCAAGCGGGCATGCTAACCTTGAGTATTCTTTGGATAACAAAAAAAATATTAAGGAACATGAAACCTTTTTACATTCCTCAGACTGGTTTATATGCTATATATTAGAACATAATTAAACTTTGGTGTAAGCGATGGTAAAAAGCAAAAGCAAATTAAGCAGTATGCTTTTCAATATCAAGTGCTGAGTATGCGTTAGTGTGTTGTGTGCGCTTTTCTTGCATTTTTTAATTAAATTTAAGTCATTTTGCATACAGTGACTTTAGTGATCAAACTTTTAGATATGTTTGGTAGGTGGATAAATAAACACAATAAACACAATAGGTACTTGTGTAAATAATAACTATTTATATAATAATAAGATTTAATAAAGTGCTTTAAGTTTTGTCTAAATAATAGAAGTATGAACAAAAGTTTATTGATTATCAAATAAAAAGATAAGGAATACCTAAATTTGTTTCGTGCGTTTTAGATGATTATGTTAAAATTTTCATTCTGCCTCAATTAATGTTTATAAGCTTTCAACATATAACATTTATCATTGACGGATTGTAAGCATCAGGTTTACATTGAAATGTTTTCCAAAGCACTTAACACACAACATACTAAAAAAGCACATAAATGAAAAGCGTTTTTATATGCATGCATATAAGTTGAATAAAGTTGTTTACTAAAGTTATCTATATTACTACTCATATTAACAAAAACGAATTTAGTGACTGACTGATTTTTGCGGATAGACAAAAAAACATAAGTACATATCTGCATAAAAATTAAGTATTTTGATACTAAAACTAATTTATTTTAACTAATTCTAAAAATTTTTTGTTCAGGTGGTACAATTAGAGTATGAGGCTTATGAGCCAATGGCATTGAAGGCATTGAAAACCATCTGTGAAGAAATGCGTGCCAAATGGCCAGCTGTTCATGCTATAGCCATTTACCACAGGTAAGAATTAATATATATACAAATTCAACACATACATCACTTGTATATATTATTATAAAATGAATTAAAATAAATGAAAAGCAGAAAGAAGGATTGTGATTGATGACCAAAATAAGGTCAAAATAAGCAACTAATTTGCTGGGAAACAATTTAAATGTTTTTGGAGTTACAGACGACATACAGTGAGTGCTGAAATCCATTTTTGATTACGAAAATAAAAAAATCCAATAAGACCAAGAAAAAAAAATATTGACTGACCTTGAATAACTTCATAATTAAAATTAAAAATAGTCCTGATGATGGGCAGAATAAGTGGGTTTCGGCTATGTCGAAGGTCTTTTTACACCCTTCCTTGTATTTCTTTATTTTTGTATTTGTCAAAGGCATGGTGTAAATGGAAAAATCCCATGGAAAAGATGCAACGGAAATGCGTCACGAACGTTATACAACTACATATATAAATATAGTTACATATATATGATTGATGCGTACGCTTCTCCATTTCCCTATGCCTTATGCACCACCTAATGTTAGGTTATTTAAGAAAAGAAGTTTCACTTCAGATGTGTGGTCCGTGCACACTAATTTTTTTATAATATTTGTCCCAGGTTAGGTGTAGTCCCAAGCCGTGAAGCGTCTGTAGTTATAGCAGTAAGCAGCCCCCACCGCCGCGATTCCTTAGAAGCCGTGTCGCACTGCATCGAACGGCTGAAAGCAAGCGTGCCAATATGGAAGAAGGAAGTTTACGACGCGGCTGCCCCTCAGTGGAAGGAGAACGCTGAATGTACGTGGTCAGTTGCTTATAAAGCTAGCGGACAGAAAGCTTAAATATTTTCTTATGCAACAATTAATAAGGTTGATTTTTCAATACTAGCAAAAAACACTCAGATACAAGGTTGTTAAGGGGATTGGTGGGTGATAATAAGGGATTGATGGGTAAAGGATTGGTAGATATAGGCACTGTTTTCTCGCATATGTGTTGAAAAACGTGGTATGATGTTCGTAAGGATTGGTATTTACAAACACGTGACTGTGGTAAGCCCGAGACGAAGTCGATGGTTTACATTCATATGTATGTGTATTTGTAATAACCAATTTACCGCACTTGTATCAAAAATAACTATTGTTGTATAACAACACAAAGGACACAAAAGTAAGATTACACTGACAGAGAGACGTTACACAATGGGCGGCCTTATTGCTAAATAACAATCTCTTCCAGGCAACCCATGATGGAAAATGAACTAAGTACCTATATAAGAACAAAAAAGGGGGGGAAGGGTGTAAAAGCAATGATTTTTCAACACTGTTTATTGCCAATCATTAATTGTATCTATATACCAATTTATTTCAAGGCAGTTGATGTCGATATGGTTAGTGCTAGTGAGTTTTCCATGCTTCAAAACGCATGTGAAGTAGGTATACATAACGCTAACTTTTTACATTAAAAGGTATATTATATTATCTGAACCATCATTTCTAGGGATTGAAAAGTTGGTCTATAAAACTTTATAAATTTAAGATGGTTTGTTTTTGGGTTTTAGTTTTAGGCTGGGGCAAGGGTTTTTATTCATACATTTTATAAAATTGCACTGCAAAGAAATGACTGAATGAATTGAATCTTATTCCACATTCTTTTAGTGCCCATATTTTTTTTTAATCATAGTGGTTTATTATGCATAGTGGTTTGCTGAATAATTGACCAAAGATAAAGGACGTAGAACTTAGAATCAAAATAACCTCTATAGTACGAAACATTGACTTAGGCTAAGACATTCTAAAATTAGTACTGTCTTGTCACTGTTGTTGAAATATAATTTCTTATTTTGGTGAAAAAAAAATTAACAGTTATGTATACATATAGAAAATAATAAAAATATACATGCTTAAAAAAATAATCTTGTTCGGAAACATTTTGTTATAAAACTTTCAATACTATTTTATTTTGCCACTAATTTAAAAAAAGTATCTGTAGAAAAATGATTTATTAACATTTATTTTCTTTATATAATTATAATTGCATTCAAAATGTGTAATTTATACACATTCTTTTAGTCCACTTACCAAATTTTAATGTGATCAAGGTGCATAATGAGATATATCATAATCAATCAAACATAGATTAAAGTAAATACTTAATTATTAAGTACATTTATAAATAAAATATACATTCTACTATGATAATTTGTTAAGTACATGCCAGTTTTATGTTTACCATTTAGCTGATAGGTATGCGGGTGATAAATAATGTAGACTTGGACAAACACGTCTTTTTGTTACTGCTCGGTTAGTGAAAAAGTTTCTAATGAACAATTTACGTACTGTTGTTTTTTAATGTTGTTCTATTTTTATTTGTTTACTTGTAAGAAGTGTTATTTGTTAAACTTTTTTTTGTGTAATTACTTTGTGTGTTTATTAACAATTGTTATATTAATCAAAAAACCTATAAGGTTGAATAATATGTTTAGTGTTTATAAATACGATAAAGATTTTAAAAATAAATATATGTGTGAGCACATTGTTTTTTTTTATTTGACATATTTGGTCCTTCGAGCCGGACTTTTTTACCCTTTTTAACTCTCATCGCCTCACTTTACCCTGTATCCTTGCAGGTACAGTCGAAACATCACCACATTCACCACCATTACCACCAGACCCTGAAACACCTATAGACAAAAACCTCATACAAATAAACGTGTCCAGTGAAGAATTACAAAAGCGCATTCAGAATTTTATAGAGAGGAAAAGGGAACAAGTCAACTTGAACAATATACACGATTTCATACCAAAACAGAGTCAAAGCGAGACGGAGGAGACGGACACGTGTGCGAGAGTGAGAACTCAATTCGTTAGGCGAAGTGACTCGAAAGGACATTTGAAAAGTAAGTTGAACGCAGCAATCGAAAAAAAATAATCAGCTTTTATAGAATATATCGAATATATTGAGGAGCTCGATGGCGCAAGTGGTTAGCGCGTTCGGCTGCGATCGTTGAACTTAAGCAACTTTCGCAGTGGTCGGTCATTGGATGGGTGACCAAAAATTACTATCTCGAGCTCCTCCGTGCTTCGGAAGGCACGTTAAGCCGTTGGTCCCGGCTGCATCTGCAGTCGTTAGCTCCCGCCAATCCGCACTGGGCCCGCGTGGTGGGTATGGCCCAATCTCCCTATTCCATCCATAGGGAAGGCCTGTGCCCCAGCAGTGGGGACATTAATAGGCTGATGATGATAGAATATATCATTAGGTAATTTGTTAGGAAGAAACTTCGAATAAGTGGGACTTTAGACGTAATTCAATTTAGAGTAGCATACACCTACTGTACTGGGAGTAAAACAAGAGTGTGCCTACTGTAAACATTTCCGTACATATAATAATAAACTACCAATGGATACACTAGAAAAATCATCAGCGCAAATGGCTTTTCTATTTACCTACGTGCTATATCGTGTTTCAGTCCCTGTAGCATGAGCATCACAATTTGCATTATAATACGTTTTTTATCGCGCCTAGCTATCAAACTACATAGTAAGTTGATGATTGTGCATGATATAAACGAGTTTTATATCTAAAGTCAAACATTTATTGCATATCGTAATTGTTACAAAAGATGGTAGGTATATAATATAAAAATATTTAATTGTATCGACCGAATTATGTTACCCATTTGGGCATAACAAAAGTAAATTGTATTAGCGTGCAACGGACATTCCATAAATACAATTATAAATAATGGATTATTTATCTCTTATCTATTAGACAAGTCCGTCCGTCCGTCCGTGTAGCTGTTTCAGCGGCCAAACCGTAAGAGATGATAAAGAGAATGTTTAAGTAATAAGTTGAGAATAGTCTGATAAGACTACAAACCGGATGTGAGTAACGTAGCACTTCCGGTTTTCGAGAAATCACGTGATTTCTATTTCAAACGAAACCACACAAAATCTCCGAAGTTCTCAATTAATTAATAACATGTGAACATTTGGTTCACTGGTTTGCTAGTTATTCCTAATTTTACTTCTTTATTACTACAATAGCATTTTATTATTATATCGTGGTGTTCATGCTAGTAGGGCTGGTGTCTACACTGTCCTATTGCTAACTGTACAATCCTTTAAAATCTTACCGCAGCACTTAATGATGTCAATTTAGCGCTTGTTTTTAATGTGATTTCTATAAATTCTGCCAATGTCATCTAGATCGTGTTATCACAAGAACGTGACTGTACCAACTTTATAATTCATAAAATTTATTGACTTCTAGGTGCAGTGGTATGTCACTAAGAGGTTTGTACAGTCAAAAATACTGTACTCTTATGACAGTATCAAAAACTGGCGCATCTATCAACGTCTGACCGCCTTATTACATAACGTTGACTAAAGTTAAACCTGGTTTAAAACTGATAGGGTGTCGATTCTGCCACCCTAACATGAGCACCACGATATGATATATAACACTGTTTTATCACGCTCAATTGTCAAATTAATATGGAGTTTGACAGTTGGGCGTGATATAATGTAAATTGTGGTGCTTATGCTACGGGGACTGGCATGGTTCTCCAAACCTAAACTTAAATTTGACTACAGTCTATCCTAGTCATTCTCTATACAGAATGAAAAGGAGATAAAATCTTAGATTAATCTTATCTTTTTATTAAATCTTAAATTAAGTTTTAAGTTTAGAGAATCATGCCAGTCGACACCAACGGCACTTTTGTTTGATAAAAAGAAGACAGAGATAGCATTAGATTTAAACCATGACTAACTCTACTCCGCGTTTTGGAATAAGGCGGTAGAAATTCTATCTATATATAATACCTACATTATCCACGGAACCGCAGGGGCTGCTATCATTGGGTAATTTCTCGTGTAACGCAGATTTCCGTTATTATGTTTTGCAAACGATTGTTGTTAAAGAAAGCATTGATGCTCCACTCTCCACTCACGAAAGCATTTACGTGAACTGAGTACACCTCTGACACCTGAGAGAATAACCTTATATTAAAACAAGAAGGAAAGAATTGGCACTCACGTCTCAAAAGTGTACCGCTTAAATTGTGGTGCATGAACACAATTGGCTTTAGTCACAATTGGACATTCAAACACGCTGCATGTGCACTCAATATAACAATATATATTCCGTCTTATAAAGATAAATCCAATGCCTTCGATGCTTTTATAAAGAACACAAATACTTCAAGATCAAATAATAAATTCCACGGCAACACTTATCATTCGTAATACTATAAAAACATACTTTTCTCAAAATTCACGATTTTTCCTGAATTTTATTTACTTAGGGCGCTTTCAATTTATGCGTTTCTAGACGGCCTGCTGCGGTGCCGAAGCGGTGCGTTTGTCGTACAGCGTACGGACGATCCTTTTTTTTCATACAAAACGCGCGGTGCGGCGACAGTCCTGTTGTCGTGCGTTCGCGGTACCGGCGCCGCACTGTTGCGCATAAATTGAAAGCGCCCTTATTCGACTTAGTTCTCAAGAAAAGGACAACAATACAGCTAAGCTATTTGTAGAGTGAAAAGAAAACGTAGTCGGTTGCCAAGCGACGTGGACTTGGGGCTGCCATCTCTAAAATGTGGCAACCAGGATAATACGCGTGATAACCCCGGATCTTGAAGCCCAGAACCCGGACAGACCAATAAAAAAACAGTTAAAAATGTCACAAATCAACTTTTTTATGTTGATCTAGGCAAAAGAGCTAACGATCTACCTCATAATAAGTGGTCACTGCTGCCCATGGACCTTGCAGCACCAAGGGCCACTCATGCGTTGCCATAAATTTTTAAACCCGGACTACAAATAAAAACCCGCCCGGACGCTCCCCGGACGCCCCATAAACTAGGACAAATCCGGGGAAACCCGGACGGATGGCAGCCCTACGTGGACTTGCAGTTTCGCTCACGCTGCGTTGAAGCGTACAGTTCGGGCTCGCTCGCTCGATTGAATGTTTATTTACAGAAGTGTGCGTGTGTGAGAGTTGCTTATGTGTTGAGTAGGAGCATATTTTATTTGATGCTAGTATGAGCGTACCGTATCTTCCCTTTTTGTTTTAATCTAAGGGAATAACAATTGAGGTACCATATTTGTCTACATCACCTGATATTGTGTGCGTTGCATCCGAGGATCCGTTTGTTAACCTTCCACTTTGCCATATGGAGGGAAAGTACCTAATTTAACTAATTTAGGTAAAAAATACTGAATAAAGACTTAATTTTTATTAAAAAAAACAGCACGTACTGTATTCATAGAACTTTAAATAAACGGCGGGCGGAAACGACCCTGCTAAATGTGAAAAAACATAGGTACTTGTAATTTGTCTTGTCACATCAACAGATTTTTAGGCATGGCTCCGATTCTTTCTTAGATTACGAACAGCAGCACGAATTTTGATAGCTCCCAAATCGTATGGCATCTTTAAAGTTTCCATGAAAACTAAGCAACGCTCCTACCGGACGTAAGAAGAAACTGGCTCCTTCCATACAATATTTGACGATAACGATACAATTACGGATCTGTCAAAATTCGTACATGAGCCTCTTTATGGTCATACTGTATTGTATACTTACCTATTATCCTGTACTAAGTGGTAATAAAAACGTTTAAAAATGAAACTTCTTTTCGGACGGGGTCTAAATGGAAAAATCCTATGGAAAAGGTGAAAGAGGAAACGGAAATGCGTTACGAGCGTATATATACAGGGCGTCCCACGGCTACCTCACACGGAGGGGAAGTATATTAAATATTGAAGATAGGATATTTTTCTGAAAGAAGACTTTAGCAAAAAATAATCCTTAGGATTAACCGTTTCGATGATTATCATAAAATATGTCGTTTTTTTTTTCGAAATTTCACGAGTTTGATTCCCAGTCGGAACAGGCGATTTTAAAAAAATCTGTGAATGCAGAAAAATTAAATGATGTTTTCGTTCAGTAAAATAGCCTATCTTCAATATTTAATATACTTTCCCTCCGTGTGAGATAGCCGTGGGACGCCCTGTATATGAGTAATGCGTGCGCTGCTCCATTCCCCAATGACTTATGCACCGCCTAATGTAAGGTTATTTAAGAAAAGAAGTTTCACTTCGGATATGTGGTCCGTGCACCCATTTTTTTTTTCTTTGTAATTCTATTATACCGTCCGAAATGATAACTAACACTTATTAATCTTAGTACGCAAAGTGCACAACGAGTGGGGCCCTCAAACGGTGCGCAGTTTCGACACCTGTCAGGAATCGAACCCGCAGAGCTCCGGCCTGCCGACCTCCATAGCAGAGCGTGTGCTGTCCATAGAAAAGTACCTCAGCATCCGCTCCGTGTCCAAGGACGTGTTCAAGCGACTCAAAGACATGGAGGATAAGATTGCTTATCTGGAGTCCGTTTCGCCGGAGTACGCGCAGTTTTGGGTGAGAATTTAGTTAATTAACTTACCTTTTTATCATTGTGGCGCTGCCTTGCAGCTTAAGAACATCTAGAAGAAGTGAGGGCCGTGGTAGCATAATTGGTCAGTGCATTCGCCCGGATTGCGAAGGGTGTGGGTTCGAGTCCCGTCTGCTGCCTGGTCCGCGTGGAATTTTTTCTAGTTATATTTTCTTTAGATTTCAACATCAAGAAATTATATGCTTTACAAAAAATAAAAATTTATAACAGGATACTTTTCATCCCGTAAAATGAAGGTTCCTGTGGGATATTTAAAAAACTAGAGTAAACGTGGACGAATTCGCGGGTATTCATTAGTACTTAAATGTTAAATTAACTTATCTTTGGGTTGCCTGGAAGAGATTGCTATTAAGCAAAAAGGCCGCCCATTGTTTAATGTCTCACTGTCAGAGTAATTTTACTTTTATGTCCTTTGTGGTGTTATACAATAAAGAATATTATTATTATTTACAGAAAAGTAAATCTTCGTCCGAGGAACGCAAGCCGGAGTGTTCAATAGACTATGCATTCTCCGCGGACGACATAGCGCGCAAAATTGAACTATTGGAGGAGCAGGGGAGCTCTTAGGAAAATCCTGATCAGTCAGTAGTACGAACCAATATCGAATTCGAATAGTTAGCGAGTGCGAAATGTCAATGTCAAATTTTCCAAACTCGAACAACAGCGCCATAACGGACGTAACGTGAACTAAAAATCAGTACACATTTGACAATGACATTTCGAACTCGCAAACTATTAGAATTCGATAATGGTTCGTGCTAGGGGTACTGATTACGCATACAGGTCGATTTTTTATCCGCCTCGGATTAAATATTAATAAGAAAAAAATAATGATGATCCGATACTAGAAAGAAAAAATAAATGTGAAATTATTTTTCTTTCGTAGCCTTGTATAATAAATTTAATGTTGTCTTAGTCCTTTAATAGGCGAGTCTTCTTTAGTTAAAGAGATTGAACAAATAGGGTAAATAGGAACAGCGTGAAGTACACGCGAGATAAAATACTCCAAAAGATGGTTGTACCTGTGGTTTAATTGATTACAATAAAACAATACGACAAATTAAATAGTTTTATTTACTATATCACTAATGAATCTCCTCCAACACCATTGTTCATAATATTGCACACGACACTCGCGTTGTATGTAATCCGCCGCCGTCGCGTCTCGAGAATAGCAAAAAAAAACTCAAAATCATTTTATTCGATCTAGGCTGTTACAAGCTCTTGTAATTCAGAATAACAATGATAAAAGCTCAAGGAAGAATGGTTATTCGGATAAAATATTAAATCTTTATTTGTATAAATACCGAGCAATCTCTCTCATATCTGTGTTAAACGGAAAGAGCCACAGAACAAAAGAAAAAGAAGCTCTTGTGAACGTCAACTTTATGCCATGGGTTCTTGACTCTACGACGGGAGACCTTGTATTGAGAAGAACCGTCAAGAAACTCAGCAAGGGTAATTTTTCCCCCCCTGTTTTATTTAATAGTGTCGTCAATTGAAAGATGACATCAAAACTTGAAAGATTTTAAATTTAAATATATTTTTAACGATTTATTTTACTATAGCTACACACGCACAAATTTAATGATTGAGCACAATCTTGATTTTAGAGTCACATTGCGCGTAAAATGAGCCATTTTCTTTGCGGGATTTATTTGGATTGCTCCATCTGGGCATTTAAATAAATCAAAGGTTCTTCTAAATAAAACAATAATATGAAATTAATAGTTATGTTTACTTTTTGGTACAATCTCTAGGTAGTAAATTTTTACTTATTTATACCTAAATTATTTTCAAAAATAATGGAACGAGTCCATTTCGTTACCCGCCAGGAGTATAAGATTATTTTTCAATAAAAACAAACGTTGATTAGATAAATCTATTTTCACTCAGATTAGTTAAAAATAAATAAAATATTTAATAAATCACGACTCGAGACAGACGGTGGCATAATGTGACAATATAATATTGTCTGTGGCGTGCATACCATAGACACAGCCTGCTCAAATTGTAAGTGTGACTTCATAAAAACTGTCCGCATTTAAGTCACTTTAAAATATATTTTTTGTAAAGTCCATTGTACCTATTAAATTATCAAAATAATAAATAGACACACGCGAGGCAAAATTTGTCACTTGCTTTAGATTTTCTTCGTAGGAAATATTTTGTTTAAGTTTATTAGAATCAATGGGGCTGCTGCACAGGTCTTCGCAGGTAGACCACCAGGCCTAGGGCTCCAAGTAACAAGGTGATGAGGTACAGATCCCAGTTGGAGACCAGTGTGGACTCGCCGCTTAGGAATATCATCGCCAGAGGGCTCTCTTGTGCAGACTGTGGAAGAAGTTAAAGATTTTAATATCTCTCATCAAATTACACTACTTATTTTAGTTGAATTGGTTTCTTTATTTTATGACCGAATTTTATTCTAATCAAGATTTGAATGCAAACAGGGTATTCGAAAAGTTTTAGGAAACAATCTGATGTTATTTACTAATGTTAGGAAACAATCTGACGTTAATGTTTAGCAAGTCCATAAAAAGTGGATTTTTAATTCTGTCGTGTAATTCAATAAAAAAGACGACAGTTGTAGTAACCGCGAAAACGGTTATCTGGACATTATGGCGTCGCGTCTCACTAGTATGTGACGTCACACGACTGTCATTTAAACAACAAACGATACAATGTAAATGTCACTTTAGCCTACTAGCGTGTGACGTCATTTTAGTCTTGGCCAATCCCAGGCGTTTTTGGTCACGTCACCAAGGAGCAATAAAAAATATTTATATTTAATGATTTTATACAATAGTACATTACGATACGCGTGACCTAAGTTGCCTATTACTGCACGCCGTGCAGTAATAGACAACTTAGGCCACAAGTATCGTATACTATTTTATAGCAAGTGTGACATAAACCCGCCCCGGACGCGGGCATGAGGGGGGGTTCGGGGGGGCCGGAGGCGCGGAATGAATTATAGCTAACCGTTTCTCCTTGTTTTGGCTGTCACTGAAAATTCCTAACCTATCGCTAATTTGTCATTTGTTTGCTGTGAGTTTTTAAGCTCAAAATGACATTTAAATGTGTTTCCTTTTATTTTTTCTACATGAGTGAAGTTGGTCAATTCATTTAAACACCGTGCAGAAATAGGCAACTTAGGTCACGGAAAAGCGTGCGTAAAGTGCGGGTTTAGGTCACACTGTGCTATAAAAGTTATTAAATATTTGTTCTTCCAGAATAGTAAAATTGCTGCTATTATTTATATTAAATACAGATGCCAACAATTGGTACATTATTTTTCATACTGTCAAATACGCAATGACAATCAGGATATTGATTGACATTAATTTTGGTTAATACATTTTATTTTTATTTGAAATGCTTACTTGACGTTGCATGATTTGTTACTACGATCATTTAAAATGTGTGAAACTGACAAATGTAAATGTATGATAAATATAATTGCTTTCTGTCGTTTTTATCACACTAATAAATAAATAAATGTGCCTGTAATACCTCTAGAGGCACTCGCTAATTCTCGGCTAAGGGGACCCCTTACGATCTCGCCGTCCCCAAACTCGGTGACGCTGTAAAAAATAAATAAACATACCTGCATTATGTCGTGGAATGTCCTCGTGGCGGTCAAAGCGGCGAGCGCTAAGGCGGCCGGCAGACGGGCGTCCGGCGATGTGTCCGCGGCCAAGTCGTAACAACGCTTAGCCAGGTGCAAGTCTTGGGCCAATCCGAGGCCTCTGGCGTGCATATAGCCCAAATTAAACGTCGCTTGGGCGTTGTGCAACTGTTCCGACGCTATCCTGCACGAAATATGACAAGATATCAAAAGGAGAAATTGAAATCTTCCTAGTTTTAAAATAAAACCTATTTTTAACGGGTCTAAAGCGAGATTTATTGTCTTTTTCAAATATTTTGGACGTATCGAATTAAAAGACTAAATCTGTCATATGAACGTTGTGCAACTGTTCTGACGCAATCTTGTATGAAATATGATATAATCAATAAGTCAAAGGCGTCAATTCTGCCATGATTCTCTAAACTTAAAACTACATTTAACATCAAACTCTCCTTTTCATTCTGTATAGAGAATGACAAAGATTCGATAAGATAAATACTGTTGTGAAATTTAAGTTTAGGTTTAGATAATCATGCCTGGATCGCCGGCAGTAGGTTGCTACGCTAACTGTAGGCACCTCGTGCACTAGACGGCCACGACCACGACCAGTGGCCGCAACGACAAGATTAGCTAAAAACCCATACGAACGTCGCGCACTTGGCCGCAACAGCCAAGCTTAGTTAATCTGGTCGTTGCGGCCACAGTTGCCTTACTAAGAAGTATCAGTAGTCAACAACGCCCAGTCAGATGCAAGTCTTGGGCCAACCCGAGGCCTCTGGTGTGTATGTTAGCCCAAATAATCGTCACTTGGGCGTTGTGCAACTGTTCTGACTCTATCCTGCACGAAATATGATCAAAATGACAAAAAAAGAAATTGTAATAAAACCTATTTTAAACGGGTGTAAACCGAGATTTACTGTCTTTTTTAATTATTTCGGATGTATCGAATTAAAAGACTAAATCTGTCATATGAACGTTGTGTAACTGTTCTGCCGCAATCTTGTATGAATTATGATATGATCAATAAGTCAATAGGTTGCTACGCACCTCGTGGACTAAATGGCTACGACCACGACCAGTGGCTGCAACGACTAGATTAACAAAAACCCATACGAACGTCGCGCTCTTGGCAGCAACAGCCAAGCTAAGTTAATCTGGTCGTTGCGGCCACGGGTCGCATGAAGTTCAGAAGGTCAGATGAAGTTTTGGGCCAAACCATTTGGCATGTAGCCCAAATTAATAGTCGCTTGAGCGTTGTGCAACTGTTCTGACGCTATCCTGCACGAAATGACAACTAAAAAGATGTACATTTCCTAATTATTCCTTTAATATAGTTAATATAAGTTAAAACCGTTCAAAGTGTTTTTGATCTTCGAGTTTGGTTCAGGAGACTAGTCAGTCTCGATCGTGAGTAACTATAGAGATGACTCGCCTGTAATGATGCGCGGCCGCCTCCAGATCCCGCTTGGTCCCGAGTCCGTAGTAGTGGTAATCGCCGAGTTTCACTCGAGCGGAGGCACAACCTTGAGCCGCGGCTCGAGACCACAGTTGTAGTGCGCGAGCATGACGCCATTTCTCTCCGAATATGCTTCCCTCACCTGAATTCGAATATTATTATTACAGTCGAATGAAATGAAAACCCACCTTCCCCTTTCCTTCAGAGGATCACGCGCGCAAACCTACGTTGCCACAGATTAACTGTGGCCACAATAGGGCATTTGACAAGTTTTAGAAAACGATCTCACGATATTGACTAATGTTTATGGAGTCCGTCCGGAGTGTTATGATTCATCATTCTGTTGTATTTCAGTAAAAATAACCAAATAAAAAACTCCATTTTCAAGTTGCCGCGAAAACGTTTCTCTGGACAATATGGCGTCTTACTAGTGTGTAACGTCACACGACTGTTATTAAAACGTCAAACGATACAATGTAATGTCACTTTAACCGGAAGTTTACTTGCGTGTGAGGTCATTTTAGGCTCCGCCAATCCCAAGCGTTTTGGGTCACGTGACAATAGATAAGAAAACTATTATCTTTTTCGTGGGTTTTTAGTCAAATCATGAATATTTTTTTTTGTAAAAATAGTAAAAACCCCTGCCAATATTCATTCTAAACACAGATGCTAACAATTGGCACTTTATTTTTAATACTGTCAAATACCCTATTCCAACGCGTACAAAGAAGTTTGGTGACTCATTTCTTTGTCGCACTATCCGTAAATGGAATGTTCTGCCCGCTCACGTGTTCCCTCCCTCTTACAACCTGGGATCCTTAAAAAAAGGAGTGAAGAAGCAACATGCAGGCCGGCAAAGTGAGGATGGCTGGTGTGGCAGGTAGAACTGCTGTATCAGCTATCTTCGCGTCTAGGCTTCACCGTCACTTAACATCAGGTGGGATGGAGTCATTTAACGGACCAATCTATAAAAAGAAATGTATTATGGTCATATACCGTTGTCCAGTATGTAGGCGGCGTTGGTTTGAGCTAACTCCAGTCCCCTTTCAGCTAGCGCTAAGTATTGTAGTATGGCAGAGTCCGAGTCTCTCGCTCGCCACGCTGCGTGAGCGAGCATTAAGCGAAAACTCCACCAGCCACGCTCGCAAACGTTCTTGAACAACTGTACGGGGAAAAATTATTACGTTTTAATTATTTTATATTCATTTCAAGCATTAGGCGCCGTCCTAATTGAGAACGATCGTACGATGACACGATGCGATGAGTTCAAACATGAAAATTTCTTCAAAAGTGTCCTCATACAGATCGTAAGCTATACTACGAGCACACACATTATTTTCAAAAAAAGTAAAATCGTTGCCAACTAGGACAACGCCTGAATCTTTTCGATTTATAAATGTAGAGAATTTTATTTCCGGGAAAAAAAAATAAGTCAGGGTTACAAGCAGGACTCGAACCTGCGTCTTCCGCTGGCAGGGCAGATCAATAGCACTAACCGCAATGCTACAGTAATATAATATTCATCTTATTAAAATATTAGTTAGGCAGCCGGAGAGTACGAAGAAACTTTGAGCTGAAAAACTTAGTGTCTAATATAACCTAACATGATAGGTAAAATTAAAGCGATTGGGCTTCCTTAGTTCTATGTAGAAAAAATGGGCAAGTGTCATAGCCTGTCTTGAAGTACTAAATTCAATATCGTTTATTCAGTCTAGGCTGTTACAAGCACTTGTGAATGTCGAAAAGCTACGCCATCGGTTCGCAAATCTACGGCGGGAGACCTTGTACTGAGAAGAACTGGCAAGAAACTCAGCAAGGGCTGCTTTTTTCTCCCTGTTTTATTTCATACAGTGTCGTCCAATTGAAAGTTGCCATCAAAATTGCAAACATGTGTTGAGGTCAACTTCCATCACATAATGTCAAATATGTAACAATAGACAATCAACGAATTTACTAAAAATAAGTGCAAAGAAAAGTCCAAAAAAACAGCAAGAAACAATTTTCAAAACAAAATGACCAAGTATATGAAAGGGAGTAAGTGCAAGGTTCTCTTCAAAACTCTTTCTAAAGCTGTGAGCCTTAGTTTCAACTAGCGGCCCGCCCTCGCTTCGCTTCGGTGTAGAGCTGAAGTGTAGACATGACATTCATCTATGATTCTTCTTATAACTGCATGCTAAGTCTCAGCCCGATCGGTTTAAAATTGACAAAGTTTCATACAAACTTTCATTTCCTATTTTATCCCCTTGGGGGTAGAATTTATCAAAATCCTTTCTTAGCGGATGTCTACGTCATAACATCTACCTGCATGCCAAATTTCAGTCCAATCCGTTCAGTGGTTTGGGCTGTGCGTTGATAGATCACTATGTCAGTCAGTCAAAGTTTTATATATATAGATATAACTTTTGAAAAATATAATGAGTAACTAACTATAACGAGTCAGTATTGATGTTTATAATGAAGCCTACCTCAGTGGCAGTAGTGCAGGACTGCAGTATCCCTTGCCCCTGAATAGTAGAGTAACTTATCTAATTTGTCATTATTGTTTCCTAATACTATTAAAACCTCCCTACCTCAGTGGCAGTAGTGCAGGACTGCAGTATCCCTTGTTCCTGTTTGGTACAGTAATTTATCTAATTAGTAATTATTGTTTTCTGATTCTATTAAAAACCTCCCTACCTCAGTGGCAGTAGTGCAGGACCGTAATACCCCCAGTCCTTGTGCATGCATATGAGCGAGATGGTACAGCGCTAACACGTGGCCAGATTGAGAGGCCAAAGAGAAATACTTGTTGGCCTGCTTGAAGTCGCGACGGACGCCGATGCCGCCTATAGGAAAAATAAGTATATATTTAAAGAAAAGTTTACTAGAAAAAAATCCACGCGGACCAGGCAGCGGACGGGATTCGAACCCGCATCCTTTGCTATCCGGGCGAATGCACTGACCATTATGCTACCACGGCCCTATTAGCCGCGTCGAAATTTTCCTAGCCTTAAGCTGCAAGGCTGCGCCATCTCTTCGCATTGTAGGCAACCCACAATGTCAAATGAAAAAATGTTTAATACTTGAAAAAGGCATAATGGTCAGTGCATTCGCCCGGATAACGAAGGATGCGGGTTCGAGTCCCGTCCGCTGCCTGGTCCGCGTGGATTTTTTTTTTCTAGTAAACTTTTCTTTAGATTTGAACATCTAGCAGTTAAATGCTTAAAAAATAAATAAAATCATAAGTATTTATTTTTTTATTAAGTATTTATTTATTAATTAGTAATTGTAAGATTGTATATAGGGTAAATGTGATTAAGTGCCTAAAGGCTCGATGACACGAGGCGAGCTTATAAGGCACATGGCAGCTCGCTAGCAGCTTGTAAACTCGCCCCGTGTCATCGAGGCTTTAAATGGTCGTAAGATTGTTTATAGGAAAAAAGGCACTGCCTAATGTTAGGTTATTTAAGAAAAGAAGTTTCACTTCAAATACACGAACCACGCACACGATTTTTATTTTACATTGGTAATAACAATAATAAAGAAAATGAGCGTTAGGTATTTGAAAACCTTCTGCGGTCAGAAATATCAAAATAAAATCATAAGCTCTATAGCTCATGATTTCATTTTGATATTTCTGACCTTACCCTTAGGGTAACGCCTAATGGGATTGCTATGGCTATCCATAGCAATACCATTAGGTGGTACCGTAAGATCCCTTGGTGAGTGGTCAAAGTCAAAATATCTTTATTCAAATTGAATGCAAAATACAACTCTTTTGAATCGTCCATATTTTTTTACCTACCACCAGTTAAGGACATTTTTTTAGCTGTGGAGAAAAATTGGCGAAAAAAACTTCATAGCGTCAAATAATTAAGTAACAATATTTACAAAAAAATATATTGTTACAGTGTGAATACAAAATCATTCCATCTTCATCATAATTATAGAAAAAGCCTGCCGGAAAATTTTCACTTCATAATAAGCTTTATTAATAAGAACTCTTTTAATGGTAGTTTTAAATTTATTGACGCTTAATTTTTGGATATTGCTAGGGACTTTATTGTAAAAGCGTACACAAAGACCTTTAAATGAATTATTGATTTTGTGGGGCCTTGTAATTGGTACAGCTAATTTATTTTTATTTCTAGTATTAAGCGAGTGCTTATCACTATTTACAGGAAATAATGTAATATTTTTCGATTCGAACATACATTAAATTTACATAAATCTACTGAGAAAACAGTCATTCTATCGATTTCTTCAAATTTTTCTCTTAAAGAGCCTCTAGTCTTAAGATTGTAAATTGATCGAACAGCCCGGTTTTGCCGCACAAAAATAGTTTGAATGTCGGCAGCATTTCCCCACAGCAAAATACCGTCCGACATCACACTATGAAAATAACTCATCATCAGCCTATTAATGTCCCCACAGCTGGGGCACAGGCCTTCCCTATGGATGGAATAGGGAGATTGGGCCATGACCCACCACGCGGGCCCGGGCACCCGCCAATCCGCTGGCGGGTGCTAACGACTGCAGATGCAGCCGGGACCAACGGCTTAACGTGCCTTTCGAAGCACGGAAGAACTCGAGATAATGTTTTGGTCACCCATCCAATGACCGGCCACTGCGAAAGTTGCTTAACTTCAAGCATCGCAGCCGAACGCGCTAACCGCCTGCGCCATCGAGCTCCTCATAAAAATAATAAAATGAAAATAACTAAAACCAACTAATCGAGCGGTCTACGTCGGTTAATTGACGTATCCTTATTACTGCGTAGGCTGCAGAGCTCAGTCTCTTCGACAATGTATCAATATGTGGGCCCCACTGAAGCTTCGAATCTGGTGTGATGCCTAAGAATACTGTATTGTCCACAAGATCCATATTCTTATCTTTGATAGTTACACTGGTTTGTGTCTGCTTTACATTGGGTAATAAAATTTTTAAACAATGAGGGTTTTTTGGAATGACGGGCACCAGGTGGCAGTACTGAGACGAAAGGTCTAATCATCCGTCATATCGCATATGATCTCATAGTCTATGAATCTGGTCTATGGAGTTGGCGTTAAAAACTTCATACAAAAGACCTCACGTAACAGTGGCGCCAACTGGTGACGTAAATTTTCATAAACACCCTCATTAGTTTTACCTTCATTAAGAAGTAAATTATTAGCATTAAACCAGTGGATTACTTTAGTGATGGCATTGTTCGCGTCGTCAAAGTGGTGAGGGGTCTCCCGACTTCGCTCTGTTCAACGGGGTTGTTGGATGGCTAAACTTCATTTATTAATAAGATATGAAACTCACCGAAGTACATGAATCCAAGATGCAGCTGCCCCTCCACCCAGCCCTGGTTCGCGGCCATCGTGAAGTATTTGAACGCCGTTCGCGTGTCCTTGGGGACTCCCCGGCCCTAAACAAATCATAAAAGGGCAACGCCCACTTTTTATGGGAATTCGGCTTAACATGGACAGACATTTTGACAAGCAAAATTAAACAATGCAAGAAGATTAAACTACCCAGAACCTTTAAATAAATAAATATTTCCAACACTCACACCAATTAGCCTAGCCCCAAAGTAAGCACTGTAAAGGCTTGTGTTATGGGATACTAGGGTAACGGATAGAATACATATACTGTACATATATAAATATATTTATATAGAAATACATATTAAACATCCATGACTGGAGTACAAATGCTCGTATTCATCACACAAACATCTGCCCCCACTGGGATTCGAACCCGGAACCTCTCGAGTCGGCGACACCATGAAACATACAAACCACTCGGCCACGGAGGTCGTCATCATGTATTCTATAAATTACCCTATTATCAAAGGGCAACGCCCACTTTGTATGGGAATTTGGCTTAACATGGACAGACATTTTGACAAGTAAAATAATACAATGCAAGAAGATTAAACTACCCAGAACCTTTGAATCATTATAATTTTGTATCAGAATCCTTTAAAACCATTTTTATCACCGCGATGAAAAAAGGTAATATGAGCAGGAGCACGAAGAAGTCATTTTCGCAACGATCTATGATATTTGAAGTCTTTATATTACCAATACGATGTGTAGACACTGGGTAGATACATTTTCTGTTACACAAATAAATAAAATTGCAAATAGCCATCTATTCTTTAAATATGCCGGGAAAATTTATATTGCGCTATATGGCGTGTGACGTCACATGGATATCTAAACGAAAAAACGCAGTGTTCTTTTGACAGCTTGGGTGCGTTACCAAACTAGGCTTCAAGTACAACTTTTCTGTACAATTTTGACTTTAATGTATGAAACTTCTATCAAATTTGACATTTGTTGCACTTGGGGCTTAGGCTTGGAACGCAGCCCTTATCTGAAAATGTCATCTTAGATCCGGCTAATCCTAGCCGTTTTCGCTGAAATGACATGATGCTTACTTAAATTAGCCCAATCATAGCTGTGTAACATTAGATATCTAATGGAAGGAAGTGACAGTTTTTTTTTTATATATTTTTGTATTATTAATGAAACTCTCCATTATATTACGTTTATAGAAATTGATTAAAAATAAAATAAAATTTTGAAATTGAAGGTCAAGGTCAAAAATTAAAGGTCATTACAATTTTAAATAAAATGTTTACCTGCAAATACATGATGCCGAGTCCGCTCTGTCCGACGGGGTTGTTGAGCTCGGCCGCCTTGCCGAAGTACCGGAGGGCGGTCTCGTTGTCCGGCTTTATACCGTCGCCCCCCTCCAGGTATATCTGATAATATTATTTTTTAAAACAAAAAACAAACGAGTAATAACCAATTTTTTGACCAACTACCTGATAGACGAAGAAAAAGCAAAAGTTAGTCATCAAGTCGGAAAAAATAAGATGATTTAAAAGATCTTGCTCTAAATCAAATTGATAATAACATTGTAAATTGTTTAAATAAAGAAAACTTTACTAGAAATAAATCCACGCGCTCCAGGAATCAGACGGTTCTCGAACTTATCGCATCCGCCCGGATAGCGGAGGGAGCGGTTTCGAGTCCCGTCTGCTGTCTGGTCCGCGTGGATTTATTTCTATAGTCTGTCCATTCTATTATTATCTTTTTGACAGATCGAAGCCCATGATTTTTTTATTTCAAATAATATTGTAATATTGGTACCGCCCACTTAGTGATGTGCCACACATAATGATTACTAGCGGTGGGTCGTTCTCAAATTTTCTGACGACGAAAGCAACCGTTTTTTCTTAAACGAAAACTAGTCCTCGAAACGGTTCTCGTTCGCAACTGGTTTTGGTTTCGGCCGGATGACACAACGAAACGACACGTGACGGTCGAACGAATGTAACGCAACGAAACTGAACTACATGAAATCTTGTTAACGTTCGTTTCGTTGCTGCGAACGAGACGACGAAACATCGAAATAAATGTTGTGTTATACGATAATCGATAGAACGAAACGGCCTCATATCATTGCGTTCTATTATAGACTGTATTTACTTCATCATAAAGTACATATTGGCGTGCAGACAATCCGAGGACTAGTTGTTCGACGAAGACTGTTTTGATCCGAAACGTAAAACGGTTCTATCGTCGCGGAACACAAAACGGTCCTTGAAACCGGTTCGTCTTTAGAATGTGGTATGTTGGGTGATGGCGGCAGGTTATAATAAATACAAAGACGTAGATAGGTTGGTGTCCATTTATTGAAGAAGGCTTAATGGTACAAAACATACTTATTTATAATATTAGTGCACTACGTAGTTACACACACACACACTTATAAAATATAACACACAATATTATTACAAAACATCAGCATTTCACGTGGCCTACTTTCGTGTCATTCAATGTTGCGTTGTATTATTAATACATATTTATTAAATTATTTTCATACTATCACACGCCCCCCAAAAATCTCCATTACACCCCTCTCCTCAAAAAGGAAAAAAAAAAGTGTTACATTTTTTTTTCAACCACATACATTCAGCTAAATATTATCATTATAAAGTTTCGTATTATTCTTATGTACTACGTACTCTCTATTATTTTTTAATATCTTTACATTAGGTGACAATTCCTCTATTACTTCATAAGGGCCGTTATACACTCTATCTAACTTATCTCTTATTTGATTTTTTACCAAAATTAAATCTCCTTTTTTATATGATATCGGGTAGCTATTTTTATCAAATGTATTTTTTCTACATAATTTATTAGTTAATAAATTTTTTCGCGCATCACACAGTGCTCTTTGTAGTCTATGTCGAAGTTCCTTAGGATAGTCATCATAGTTATATAAGGGAGTTACAGAGTCACTTAAGTTACTAGGTAAAATACAATTTTTTCCAAACACTAGCTCGTAGGGAGTGTATTTTGTTTGCGTGTGTACCGAGGTGTTGAATGAGAAACACCAGTACGGAACCCAACTACTCCAATTGCTTTTGTGACTCTCACATTGTATTCTTAGAAAAGTGCCGAGATGTTTGTGAGTATTTTCTAATGATCCCATAGTTTCATGGTGATATGCGGTGGACTGTAATTTTTTAATACCTAATAAGCTACATATTTCGGTCATAATTTCGTTAAGAAATTCTGTTCCCTGGTCTGTAATTATTTCTTTTGGGATTCCATATCTAAGGATAAAATTATTTACAAAAGCTCTCGCTACCGATTCGGCGTCTTTGCGCTGCAAGGGATAGGCTTCAACGAACTTTGTTAGGTCGCACTGTAGAGTTAGTATGTACCTATGATTGTAATCGTCAACTTGTAAAGGTCCCATTATATCTAAACTAATTCTTTCGAAAGACGAATTAGGGGTAGTCGTTAATGACATAGGTTCCTTAATGTATCTATTGGTGTATTTATTTATTTGACAAAGCTTACATTTATTGACATAATTAACGACATCCTTTGTAATGCCTGGCCAAAAATAGTATTTTTTAATATTGTTTAGCATTCTATTTATCCCAGCATGCCCACTGGTGGGCAACAAGTGGAAGTCATTTAATATAACTATCTTTTCGTCCTCATTTCTGATACGCTTAACATCTTTAGTTATCAATAATCGCGGCCGACTCAACTTTAGTTTTTTAATTGTACTTGCAAGTAACTTAATATGTCCTTCATATATTTTATTTTTGATAATAAGCAATTCTAAGATATTTAACTTACTACAAAAACTCTCTAAATCTCTCGCTAACGCTTCTACAGCTGATAGCGATCGAGCATTTAGATAAATTATTGACCGCTTTGGTACATATACACAATTTCCACTTGAGGACGTAAAAACTTCGTCGTTTCCGTCATATTTGACCGAGTGACTAAAACATAATTCGATAATATCCGGTGGTGGCTTGAGAATTTCCACGGCCAAGGGGTGATCAGTCCCGTGACTATGCAAATTTTCAGGCTTACTATAATTCTCTAAGTCACAGTTTTTATTACGACTATTTTTTTTTGTTTGTGCTCTAGTAAGTACTGATACTAAGTGTTCACGCATATTTTTTAAATCATCCGATGTCACCGGGATGCGACTCAATGCGTCTGCAGCCGCGTTGTGTCGTCCTGGGACATAGCCTATCTCAAAATCATATTCCTCTAAATATAAACGAAATTTAGTTTGCCTACTGGAAGGATCTGTCATAGAAAATAAATAAATAAGAGGCTTGTGATCGGTTAGAATTTGGAATTTCCTACCATATAAATAAGGTCGAAAATGCCTCACTGCCCAAACTATGGCTAATAGCTCCAAGTCTATAATCGGATATCGCGTCTCAGCGGGCTTTAAACTTCTACTTGCGTATGCAATAACTCTATCATTCCCATTGGATAGTATTGCACCTAAACCTGTTCTTGAGGCATCAGTCTGCAATTTAAAAATATTATTTTCAGAAAAATCGGGATAATCCAAAACTGGGGGTTTTATTAAAGCAGATTTTAATTTTTTGAATGCTTCGTCACAATCAGCTGTCCAATTAAATGCAACATTCTTTTTACAAAGTCTATTTAGTGGATGTGCAATTTCAGCGAAATGTAAAATAAATCGTCTATAATAGTTAGCGAAGGCCACGAATCTTCGGACCTCGTCAACGTTAGTCGGTGTCGGATAACTTTGCAAGGTTGTTATTTTGCTTGGATCAGGAAATATGCCTTTACTTGTTATTTTATGTCCTAAGTATACTATCTCTGTTCGTAAAAATTCACATTTTAAAGGGTTTAGTTTTAAATTAACTTTTCTTAAGCGTTCTAACACAGAAATTAGGTTTTTATTATGATTTTCTATACAATTTCCTATAACGATACAATCGTCTAAATAAATAAAACATTGATTATAATTCAATCCAGACATAGCTATAGTCATCAATCGAGAAAATACGCTAGGGCTAGTTTTAAGTCCCATCGGACAACGCTTCATTTGGTATATTTTATCAGCTGTGAAAGCGGTGCACTTACGTGAATCGGGATGAAGGGATAATTGGTACATTCTATCTAAATGGAAAGCAGTGTATTTTCTTGAATTTTCATTTAAATTTAATTGATAATAACTTTGGGACAAATCTAATTTTGAAAAATACATAGAATGTGATAAGGAATCTAAAATATCTGTAATATTGGGAAGTGGAAATTTATCATCTTGAATTCTATTATTTAATTGCCTATAGTCAACGACAAACCTATACTTCTTTTCATTATTTTTGTCGGTCTTTTTCGGAACAAGCAAGACGGGACTAGACCACTCCGAGGTGGATTCCTCAATAATATCGTTGTCTAACATATCCTGTATTTGTTTACGTAACTCTGGTTTTAAAGAGTGTGGTATTCTGTAGGGTTTTATATAAACAGGAGTCGCATTATCCTTTAAAGTAATTTTATGCTCCATTAAATTAGTGACTGACAGTTTATCACCTGGGAGATGAAAAACGTCCGCGTACTTAGCGCAAATAGACTCAATGCTAAGTCGTTCATCTTTGTTTAAATAACCTAGGTTAAGAAGCTCAAATAATGTTTTTACACGATTTACGGAAATTTCCCTTTCCGAAAAATTACAAACATCGAAATGATGCAAACTATATACTTCTAAATGAGAAAAATCATAAATTAGGTCATTTTCCGTCGTATTTAATATTCTAATCGGGATAAGCCCGTTTCTAGGCCTCGACAAAACACCTGCAATAAATACTCCCTCTCTTATTTCATTCGCAAGGACGACACAATCGTCGGTTATATTCGTAGGTATGAACTTAATAGTTTCACACCTCGCAGGTATGTTGTGTTTATACCTGTTATTTATACACATACTTATCGATTTAGACGACTGAGTTAGGCTTAAAATGCCTTTACCATAATCAATTAACGCTAAATATTGTTTTAAAAAGTTATCACCTATTATTCCATCTGCAGAGCATGACAGGTTCTTAAATACGTAAAATTTATGTGTAAAAGTCATACTGTTACTACTTAATTCTAAATAAATGTAACCTTCTGATATTAACCTACCGCTAACACCTCTAATAGTTAATCTTTCGGGAACAATTTTATTTTTCAAATCACTAAATACCTTAGCTAAATATTCATACTTAATTACACATAAACTGGCACCAGTGTCTATTAATAAATGTATTACCCTATCTCCTAAACTAAAAGCTACCGTACTCGAAGTATTATAATTGAGAACTACATGCTCTGTTTTCGTTTGAGGAACGAAAAAACTGACTCTCACTCATGGTTGAGGTTGGAGCTCGAGGCTGCCTTACCTCAGTGTCGCAGTACGTATGGTGGACACGGGAATAGCCTCGTGTACGGGGCTGATACTGCGCGCCTGGCGTTGACCAGCGCGCGGCCGGGGAGGGTGCGCCTCGACCTCGACCGGAACCACGGTGCGGCGCAAACGTGCGCGGCGCGCTCACATAATGCGACTGGATCGGGTTACCGTATTGAGCACGCGAGTTACTATAATAATTATTGCCAATATTTCTACCGCGGAACCCTTTATTAATAAAATGAAATGTTTTCGTGGACTTAGGGTGGTGACGAAAATTCATAACTTGTTCCCCACTGGTAGAAAGCGTTTGCTCGTCTATAGCACTACGGATTGCCTCGGGAAGAGAAAGAAATTCCTTTGATGCAATAATAATACTCAATCTAGAGTTTGTCAAACCATCGGCAAAGCGTTTTATAGCGATCTTTTCATTAATTGGTCGCAATACGTCATATTTTGAACTATCGCCATCGGCCTGTGCTAATGTCAAATTAGAGAAGATATCTTCTAGTTCATTACCGAATGCTTCTATTGACCTATTTCCCTGTTTTACATTTTGTAACCGAGACTGAAGAGCGACTGCCGATTTTTTTTGTACTAAATACTTTTTCATGTCACTGAGCAATGAACCAACTGTTGTATAGCTACCGCGTAAGCGAAGTTTCGCGCTAGGAGATAATCTTGTTTTTATAACAAAATCTATAAGTGAATTTTTCGATGTCTCATCAAGTTTAGAACTATACATTTCTATACCGTCGATTAATTGTTTGGTGACATGTTCCTGACCAGTCATTATGGGAAGTAAACTAATAGCCGTTTTAAAGTCAAAGGACATTGTATCTGCCATTTTTACAGTTTTAGAACTATCGGGATCTCTAGTTGCAAAAGTAACTAATTTATTTATTTCACTATAAATTAAATGAATATTATTTACTACAGAATTAACTTTAATAAGATCTTCGGCACTTATCTCAGAATTATTAATATTAGCTTTAATTTCACACAAAATAAACTCTAGTTGCAAATAAATGACATTGGCTTCTTTTAATTTAGTTTGACCGATTTCTTTCTTTCTACGTTCAGGGCCTATTTTACTTAAATATACTTTTATAACTTACTATATAATTCAACTAATTTATGAGACATAACTATCTATTACTTCTAATTTAATAAAATAACTCATAATTGAATTCTGGAAATAGCAGCTAAATTGTACCTACATATATTTTCTTCCAATTCACTTGCTGACGTCACGAGCTGCGGCGGGCGGCGTTCTTGTGGCGGTCACGTTCTGCTGACATCAAACAACGTGGCCCGTGCTGCTGTTCCTGTTGACGGCCGGGACGGGGACTTCCTAGTTTGATGGTCTTGCTTGCATTTCTAAGGTGCTGTGGTTGAGCTCCCTTCTCAACGAAAGAATAGCATTTCTTCGGCACTTCTTGTAGAATAGGTATGCGGCAGCGACGAACAGAATGACGAATAGCGTGATGAGCAGGATCTCGGTAAGGTTCAACTTGGTCTCCGTTACTTGAGCGCTTCCACCGGCGTTTTGAGCGATGATAATTTCTTCTTTGGACTGTGAGCTACGGCACATTGTTATTGGTAATTGGCGCGATTGTCCCAAAAATAAGATTCTTCATAATAATTTTCAATCTTCAAACTTCTTCTTACTTGACGTTCAGTTTAGTTTCAATATCTTCTTTCTTCAATTTATTTCTATAATTTTTCTTCCAAATTTCGCAGGGTCGCCATGTGGTATGTTGGGTGATGGCGGCAGGTTATAATAAATACAAAGACGTAGATAGGTTGGTGTCCATTTATTGAAGAAGGCTTAATGGTACAAAACATACTTATTTATAATATTAGTGCACTACGTAGTTACACACACACACACTTATAAAATATAACACACAATATTATTACAAAACATCAGCATTTCACGTGGCCTACTTTCGTGTCATTCAATGTTGCGTTGTATTATTAATACATATTTATTAAATTATTTTCATACTATCACAAGAACGCTCACACCTAATGATTACTAAGATTGTGCCACAGATTACAAATAATCGGTAGAAATAAGAAGGTGATATAGTTTTTAAATAAACATTTTTTTAAATGATATTATTAATTATAATCAATAAATCTAATTGTACAGAGTATAAGTATTAGGATAAACAAACATATACTGCTTTTTTGTTGTATATACATATTATAGATAAATCGCACCCAGACAGAACAAATACTCGTGCTCATCACACAAATATTTGTACTAGGTAAAATAATAAATCTAATGAGATTTTGTAATAATTTATTAAACACCAATATTTTTCATAACTAAATTATTTCGATGCTTATAATCGATTAAACAATGTTCTAGCATAAAATCGATTACAGCTTTAAATCAAACGAGTTATGTGATAGGGTGTCACTATTTTTACTTCGATCGATCTGTCAAAAAGATATAATAATAGAATGGACAGACCATAGTAAAATTTCCTTTAGATATAGCAGTTAAATGCTTCAAAAATAAAAATAATAAAAGAAATTGTAATTTTACATTGGTTTTTTTTTAATTTAATCTCACCTTGCCAAGGAAAGCGTTGGCGACGGAGTTGCCAGTATTAGCGGCCTGCGTGAAGTAGTGCAGGGCTTTGTTGATGTCTAAGGTGACGCCGCGACCGCCTTGGAAGTGAAGCTGACCGAGGCCGACCTGTCCACACAAATATAATTATAATATTTAATGCTTCATACTGGCGACATTCAGGTCGTAAATCTAATATTATCTCGCAACATGAGGCTTGCAAGAGCATTCAAAAGTCAACAGATCTTTATTCAATTGATGCACAATACAAATCTTTTGCAGCGTTCATATTTTTTTCCCTACCACAAGTTCAGGACATTACAGTGACAGTACATGACAATAACATAATATTGTTTTAAACTTTCATGGTCACTAACATAACAGTAATATAAGTTATCCCCGGGACTGTTACTTACCATGTACCTTGTTTTTGACGAGTTTCCGATATTTTGATATTGAATATCGGACGACACTTTTTTTCATTATTTCTTTATATGTCCCCACCTGTACCTGCACGTCTCCCTTCTCTGCCAGTAGTTATTAGTACTCTATGAGGTCGGAGTCGAGAGCTTAAATTATATTGACTAAGATAATATTGACTAAGTCAGATTTCTGAATAAGTGTCAGCTTGGATTGCATGCCTTTTTAATGGAAAAACAATTGAATTATTTTATTGTTTTATGTTCTAATTCTAATTTTAAAATTTAGAATATTATAAAAAAAAGAAATTAATAAAAAGTCTTCTGTAACACGAAAAACAATCTATTTTTCAAAGTGATCGAAAACCGTTTTTTGATGTGTGTGTGTGTACTCTATGAGATCGGAGTCCAGGGCTCCTATATCTACATATATATGTCCCCACCTATGCCTGCACGTCTCCCTTCTCCGCCAGTAGCTGGTAGTACTCTATGAGGTCGGAGTCGAGGGCTCCTATATCTACATATATATGTCCCCACCTGTGCCTGCACGTCTCCCTTCTCCGCCAGTAGCTGGTAGTACTCTATGAGGTCGGAGTCGAGGGCTCCTATATCTACATATATATGTCCCCACCTGTGCCTGCACGTCTCCCTTCTCTGCCAGTAGCTGGTAGTACTCTATGAGGTCGGAGTCGAGGGCTCCTATATCTACATATATATGTCCCCACCTGTGCCTGCACGTCTCCCTTCTCTGCCAGTAGCTGGTAGTACTCTATGAGGTCGGAGTCGAGGGCTCCTATATCTACATATATATGTCCCCACCTGTGCCTGCACGTCTCCCTTCTCTGCCAGTAGCTGGTAGTACTCTATGAGGTCGGAGTCGAGGGCCCCGCCGCCCCCCTCGGCCTCGTCGGCGAGTCGCGCGCGGTGAATGGCCGGCCCGCCGCTCCAACTCACTTGACTCGCCACTGGAGGTAACCGTTATATTAGAGAAAGCAAATATTGGACCTAATAGGCTAGTTGACTCATGTCAATTTGCATTATACAAATGTTTATTTCTTATAATGTTTGGTATGAGGAACCTAAATAAATCGATTTCACTTCATAAAATTAGAAGATAGCTGTAGTAATTTAATTTGAAAAATGGTTTTTTAGTCTATGCTTTTTAAACACTCAAAACGCTCTCCACTTACATCTTGTAGAACAATTTCCGTTTATTGGTTTTATTGACTAAATTAATGCTGGAGGCCGTATTTGTGAAAGCAGTAACGACAAAACTCTTTGACTTATTAGGTGCATTCATAAACTTAAAAATTGTATTTTTAAACTTTAAATATTATTCAATCACTCACATTAAAGTGATCTTTGTTAAAAGAAATGAGTTTCAGACGGTAAAATTACAGGATTTAGCAAGTTTTAAACATGACTGCGTTCATGTGTAGGTATGTGTATTTCTCTAGCAAACACGAATAGCCATGTAAAGTTATCACTTTACAATTACTATCGTATTAGAATCTAATAATGCGCTATTCTAATGATTAAAGTATGGAATGGACTACTTATGACGATCACAATACGCGAGCACCAACTCCGCGTAATCGCAAACCCCGTAGTGTTATGAATTAACATGCGTATGCTTTCATTGCAAATTCACCCGTTCGGTATAGAGAAGCGTTTTATGTGCGAACGTATAAATACTTTATTCTGTATAATTTTATATTTGAATTAGCAACCCGCCTCAGTTCTTAAAAAAAAAACATTTTAACGCAGTAAAATATGTCATTAAACTAAGAAAGAGTCAATAATTACAGAAACCAAAATGTACGTGCTTCAGAACCAGATATAATGATAATAGGATATTTGACAGTATTAAAAATAAAGTGCCAATTGTTAGCGTCTCTGTTTATAATGAAATTAAATGAAATATATTTAATTGGAACAAAAATAGTGAATACAATAAATGTGTACAATAATAATTGCATTAGTTATAAAAACTGTGTCGCAACTATTATCGCCCACCTCTGAGAGTACATTGGAGTTCCTTACATATAACAAACTAACAATAAATATTATGAATAATTTAACTTTAATTTAACGTACTTAAATTAACAAATCATTTAAATGCATTTTATGCGTGTGCGCATGGGTATGTGTGTATGTGTGTGTGTGAGAGAGAGTGTGAGTGTGATTGTGTTGTGATTGTGGGTGTGCAGCTTAATGGAATAAGCTGAGGTTATCCTCCGTTACTATCTACTCAGAAAGTCTTCTATCTGCTCATAAGTAAGCGTATATAGCCAATTGTCAACCAAAGCTTTACATTCGCTTGAAGAAAGCCTGTAAATGTCAAGAACTCTATTTACCTTGTTATACAATTTTGGGCTCAGGAATCTATACTGTCGACTCACCACACCAAGGCTGCAGGACTCTAACTTGCACACTCTATCAGACCGACGTACTTGTTTTGACAGGTTAGGGTCATACACCAGGGTAGCATGTTTACGCAGCACAGTATTTAACACAAAAGAGTGTCTAACCCTTGGTAAATTACAAATAGCGTACAAAGTATTTGTCGGGAAATACGGGACATAACTTTTAGTACACAAGATAGAGTGTACTAAGGCAAAATAGACGACCTTTAGTATACTGAAATCGGCGGAAGCTCGTATATTTCTGAACACAAAAATTAGTTTTCTAACCCTTGAGACGAGGGAATCGACCTGATTATTCCAAGACAAAGTGCTATCTATTAACACGCCAAGGTATTTTATGTTATGTGTTCTAGTAATATTAGGACAGTCACAGACATAGTCCATTGTCCTGTTACATCTGTGTGCAATTATTTCAAAGGAGGATATATAATGAATATTGGCAGGGGATTTTACTATTTTTACAATATATTCATAATTTTACTAAAAACCCACGAAAAAGATAATAGTTTTCTTATCTATTGTCACGTGACCCAAAACGCTTGGGATTGACGGAGCCTAACATGACGTCACGTAAACTTCCGGTTAAAGTGACATTACATTGTAATCTTTGACATTTTAATAACAGTCGTGTGACGTCACACACTAGTAAGACGCCATATTGTCCAGAGAAACGTTTTCGCGGCAACTTGAAAATGGAGTTTTAGATTTGATTATTTTAAATAAAATACACAACAGAATGATAAATATCCACTTTATACGGACTCCATAAACATTAGTCAATAACGTGAGATCGTTTTCTAAAACTTGTCAAATGCCCTATTACAAATTGTATGAATTTTGTGTGTGTGTGTGTGTGTGTGTGTATATGTGAGAGAGAGACAACCTACTGTCTAGGTATTTGAAAGCTTGCTTACCCTTAGCAGCCACCTTCATATAGAGGTCCATGGCCTTCGGACAGGAGGAGGGCACGGTCACACCAGACCAGTATCGGTACGCGAGCGCCATCTGCGCGTAATCACTGCCGCCCGCAGACCCCATAGTGTAGTGAACTAACGCTTTCGATTGGGACACTGGTACTCCTAGCCCGGTGGCGTACAAGAATCCCATGCCCTAACAGCAAAGGAAAACGCAATCGTATAATAAAACAGTACCGGAGGAGCTCGATGGCGCAGGTGCTTTAGCGCGTTCGGCTGCGATCTTTGAAGTTAAGCAACTTTCGCAGTGGTCGGTCATTGGATGGGTGACCAAAAATCTCCGTGCTTCGGAAGGCACGTTAAGCCGTTGGTCCTGGTTGCATATGCAGTCGTTAGCACCCGCCAATCCGCACTGGGCCCGCGTGGTGGTCATGGTCCAATCTCCCTATTTCATCCATAGGGAAGACCTGTGCCCCAGCAGTGGTGTCGATTCTGGCATGTTTCTCTAAAATTAAACTTTTTTACAACAGTGTATCCTTGTCCTTCTCTATACAGAATGAAAAGGAGAGATTGATGTTAAATTTAATTTTTAGTTTAGAGAATCGTGCCAGAGTCGACACCAGTTTTCCATTCGTATTTCCTATACTGTTTGTATGGCCAACATATACATACTTAGGCCAATACTTAGGCTTGAGTGGAGTTCAAGCACTTCTTGATTGGGACACATTTTGAGCGCATGTGGTGTATCTAGGGTATTTAATATCGTTGATAAGCACAGAACCTGAAAAGGGTTCAAAACACACAATATGTGTATCCTTTGTAGGCAGAGCATCAAAAGCAGACTACGCTACATATTCAGAAAGTTGTTATCAGCAAACTATAGTGACTGTGTTGCCAGCTCATTGGCTACAGCAATTTCCGAATATTTGCCTACAAGTTGATAAACTTTTACTATCTGCATTTCAAATCAGCAGTTTGCTCATATTATGTTTTGTCAGGAAGAATAAAGTAAGTAAGTTCCGTTCACTGCCTGGTCCGCGTGGATTTTTCTAGTAAACTTTTCTTTAGATTTAAACATCTAGCAGTTAAATACTTAAAAATAAATAAAAACATAAAGAACAAAGTAGTCTATCTCTGCAATAGCAAAAAACATTCATTATTTTATAAAGTCGCCATTTCATAGTATCAAAAATCTTACCGCATGAGCGTCCGCGTTGCCTTCTTCGACGAGAATCTCAAATATAGCTTTAGCCTTCTCAATGTCCAGTTCGACTCCTTCGCCGAATATGTGCGACCAGGCGAGTTTGATCTTGGCAGGGATGTAGCCTTTGTTTGCCGCCTGTTGTATCGTGAGGATCGTACTGCGCAAATCTGGGGACCGACGGCGGAGCTTCGCCATTGCTACGTCGTACATCTCTTTAGCTGTGATAAGAGCAAAATAAGTTTATGTTGTATTTATGTTAAAAAGATATCATACAAGCGTATGGCCCACCTCTTGGTAAGCGGCTACCCATAGCCTATAGACGTTTGCGATAACAAAAATATTACTCACACTTTTGCCTCGCACCATGATCCTGACCCAATTCCCTATCTTGTAGAGCCCCAGAACCTAATTTACCGACAGAAACTCAATACCACCAAAAGGTAGTGTTTTTACTGTGATCTTGCAAAGTACAGGCGCCCCAAATTGAGCGGGAAATCCGTTATGCCCTAGCTCTCTTAAAATTTTAAAAAACACTTTAAAATACTAGTTCGGACATTATTTATTATTAAATGATATTGAAACTGGATTTATTTATAATAATGTAATAAGAAAAAACTTTTGCTTTTGAGTATTTAGGTGATATTTGTGATTGTGCAGTTTCTAGCAATCTACTAATATTATATGTGAATGTATGTTTGTTACTTAATCACGCAAGATCACCTGAACAGATTTTGATTCAATTTGGCACAAATATAGTTTATTACCTGGATTGAGTCATAGGATATTTTTATCCTGGAAAAAGTAAGATTCCAAAACTGAAGTAAATCCGGAGAAAGTCAAGCAAGTCTTGGCTGGAAAAAAAACAGCTGATTTCAGGTATTAAACTGGTTTAAAACCACCATCCCTAGCTATCTCGGCGGGTATACTCACCAATTATGGGATCAGGGCCTGAACAAACTATCCTATTTTTGCAATTACATATTTATTAGGCTACAAGGTTGAGCAATTTTCTCAAATTGTGAACATATTAAAATTACATTGATATTTAATCTTTTAAATAATTGAGATATAGAAAAGTTTTTAATAAATTATTGCTGTGAGAAATAGCAATTTAATTTACTATATTTTTAATTAAATATTATCATTTGCTTGATTCTTTTATCTATGGAAATCTTTACTAGATATAATTTACTTGAAGCAGATGTAGCAGTGCCTTCAATCAAAATAAAATATATATTCAATAATTGTACCTTCTTGCAATTCTGGAGTAAGTACCTCCTCCTCTTCTTCTGGTAACGGTAGTAAACTTTCTAAAATATTTTGAGGGCTATCTTCTGTTTTTTGCTAAAAATAAATACAATAATTATAAATACTATGGTGTAGATTGTGGCATGATTCACTAAACTTAAAACTAAATTTAACATCAGTCTCTCTTTTTTCCTTGTGTTTAGGGAATGACAAAGATACACTGTTGGCAAAATTAAGTTTCGATTTAGGGTATCATGACAAAATCGGCACTTTAATCATTCTTAGAGAATATAATACATCAAATTGAATGCAATATGATAAACTATATCAACAGTAGAAAAGCAAAATAGCATAAACGCCACTTTAGTAACTTTACAGAAACGAGGACCAAAGTTTTTTTTCACAAACAAAATCATAACTCATTGTAAATGAGAAGTAGCTCCATAATTATAAAAAAATATTCATAAAATAATATTTTCTAAACGTCCTTCTATTAAAAAGTTACTTAGTGCCTTTACTTTACGAATCAGATGTCGCTTAAGCGAAAATCACTCGGCCCTCTATACATTTTTGTCAATCAAACATCAAATTACACGCCAAATAGTAGGTCGTAAGCGCCATTGGTTCAAAAAACACCAAGAAGGGCTGACTAAATTAAGTGAAGGTATGGCGTCGCTTTATGCAGCGAGTTGCTGCCACTGAATCCACCGATAACACTAAAGTAAGGGTCACACTCTGCCAATAGTGTAACGAAAAAGATGAAAAGAAGATTACTTACTTCAATCTCATTAGAAGTGGAATCTGTCTTATCACTTATCCAGTTAGGTTCTGTGATACTTAATAGCCTCTTTTTCAGTAGCTTCAATGTAAAGTCTACTTGATCTAGATTATTTTCTGAAATTCAAAGATTATTAAGATAATGGAAATCTTACGGCCATTTTTATGATAATGTTAAATAAAAATATAAAAACACTAAAGAGTAGGGAGAATTGTGATCAAGTACAATTAAAATCAGTCAATCAACATAAAAAAAAAATCAAGTGTCTGTATATATTTTAAGCATTAAAGACAAAGATTAAAAAAATACCATGAAACTACATTAATTAATAATTTGTGTTCTCAAATCATATCAACAATAATATAAGAAAAGTGTTGCCATAATATAATAGATAATGTATAAACCTTAAAGTTTTCAATGTAGATAGTAACATCATTGCACGCATGTATGGCAACTTTAAGTTGATACGTTAGCAAACTATCATCATCATTAATTCTGGATAATAGATCTATTAAATAATGGTTCAAGATTTAAGTTTTTCAATATACCTTTGTTATTTTCTTCTTCTTTTTCCCCCTTGACTTCTCTCATCGCATTTGCGAACTCCTGAAGGGTTATTATGTCCTTGTTGACAGCCTCAGTCAGGGCTTTAAAATATTCAGGGTCTACCTTAGACTCGGCGTCTAAGGCAGCCGACGATTCATCTTCTTCTTCGTTTTTTTCTGTTTCTTTGCGAGTTTCTGGACCAAGCAACTCCCCAATCGAAAGACCAATACAAAAACACAGCACCAAAAATGTGTAACGCCGCATAGTGCAATAAAACTTCGTGAAACCTGGAGAAGACTTGCTAAATATAAGGCTTACGTGTCCTTTAAAATTCTCTTGAGAACACCTTCTTAAGAGCTAATAAATATTTTGTAGAGGTTTCCAACAGTTTCATAGCAACACCAATTACAAATTAACACGTGTATTGCGTAATTTAAACTAATTAAAACTACATTATTTCGTAAAATTGCATTAAGGATAACATTTTTGTGAACTGAACTGACAAAATGCATCAGTTTGACAGTGACAGACACAGTAGTATATGTCATTTTTTTTGTTAAATTCTCCCTTTTCAGGGAAGGCAAGAGGAACAATGCCCATACAGCCTAGTCTTAAGTTAAATTATTCTGTTTTTCTTTTTACATTAGAATGTCGGTGTGACGCATTCTAATATTTCTTGAAGTGTTTGGCACGAAATGTATCGAGCTGGCTTTTTCGATAAGCTTCTGTGAGGTAGTCAATACTACTCGATGAAACACCCAAAAAACATTTTATATTTTTAGAATGGCAACCTATACCCTTCGTTCAGGAATAGTATTCTTAATCAGAATCAATCACGATTGCATGAAAAACAAAAAAATAGAGGATTCAACGATGACTTATTCTGTAGGCCTATTTGCTTACTGCTTTTGAGAGATCAAAGTGATAATTACTACTTTATAACAGCGCCACAGCGCCACTGAGATACTTGTACTGAAAAGCATCGATGCAATTTTCTTTTTAGTAGTCATTTAAGTAATTTTGACTGATTCCTATTTATTGTTTAGCTACAATTAATAAATGAATTCCAGTCTAGAAGAGTAGAAACAGCAACAAAAATCAATTAACCAAACCCGGTAGTTTTTAATATCCGGCCATCAATGGGCCCGATTCTGAGTAGAACAGTAGTCGATCCTTGTCATACTCCATGCAGAATGAAAAGGAGAGACTGTCTTAGTTTTAAGTTTAGAGAATCATGTAAGAATCGGGTCCAAAAAAATATTTGACATTCCTAAACAAAAGAAGTAGATTGCCATTTGAAAAATAGGAATATTTTGTTTTATTTGACATTGACATTGATTTTCGAAATTTGACATGATGTGGCTGTCACTATTTTGTTGTTGAATTCTCGTTCAACTTGTCTTCCAAATAAAGCAAAATAATAAAAATCTAGTTTTTATACCTTCTCCGAGAAAATAATTCTACGCAGCATATAGTCGATCTGTTAAAGTTGCTTCTTCAACCACATAACCTTAAAAATGTTTCGAATACCGGTTAGAACTAAAACGATCCACCAAAAGTTACGTATGAAGTCCACTGATTCCAACTTTATTAGGAGTACTTTTGTGGACTATTTCATTAGCAAACATGGTCATAAATATGTGAAATCCAGTCCTGTGGTGCCATTATGTGACCCAACAGTCCCGTTTGTAAATGCAGGAATGAATCAAGTAAGACTTGGTACATCTAATAGAACACACATTGTTTATTCTTTTGCATGCTTTCAAGCCAGCTCTGTAATAACAACAATTCTTAACTGTAGCCTTTACCCATATAAAGATAGCAATATTCTTTTGATATCTTTAAAACTGCTATAAAACAGAATTCAATACTTGATGCTGCTGCTGTTTTTAATTTACAATTGTTGTCATGTTTCAGTTTAAAGGAGTATTTTTGGGTAAAGTAGATTCTCCATATGCAAGAGCTGTAAATTCTCAAAAATGTGTCAGAGTTGGTGGCAAGCATAATGATTTGGAATTGGTCGGCACTGATGGTACACATCATACCTTCTTTGAAATGCTAGGGAATTGGTCATTTGGTGATTATTATAAAGTAAGTTTCTGGTTTGTTCAAGTGTTTTTGTACTTAGAGTTGACTAAAGATCACTTATACTTGGGACATTGATGAATTATTATTTATTTATTTATTAGGACCACCAGGGAAAGTTACATTAAATCTTATTTTTAAACATTATAGTGATACATACTAAATGCAAAATTCTATTGAAGGTAGCCACATCATGCTTAAGAGACACTATGAACGGACCAAATTTTAATTAAATAAAATTCGGTCCATTCATACTGTCTCTTAATTATTATAGTGTTAATTTGCCATAACATTAAATATTGCTTTGTATATTAGGTTTTAATGTTCATTTTGCAAAATGAAAATATTTTTATAATAAATGTTCAGTATGGTATTGTCATTGAGCTACATGTTTTGTTATTATGACCTTGCTTCGTTTGTTCATTTTTCAGAAAGAAGCTTGTCAAATGGCATGGGATCTTTTACTAGGCCCTTATAGACTGAAGCCTGAGAACCTAGTGGTGACTTACTTTGCTGGTGATGTTGTGCTGGGATTGACGGAAGACAGGGAAACTAGAGACATTTGGAAATCAATAGGGTAGAACATTTATAATACTGTTCCACAACAGTTATTCATTTGGATACAACAATGAAGGTAGCGGCACCAATGATCAACATTCCCTGCCGTGATCAATGAAAATAGATCACTAAACATGGTAACACCAACATGCAATAGATGCTCAGTAACACAGATGCACTCGGAGGCTGGCCATTCACTTTTATTTTCATTGATAACAGTATAAAATAAAGATCGCTGGTTCCTATCAGCCATTGGTAGCCACTACCTTTATTAAGCCTATTGGTTTGGGCCTAGTAATAGTAATATCTACTTTTATTACAAATGATTAGGCCCAAACTAAGATTAGTTTTTATTTTTACTATGGAAACTACTAAACTTATCTAAAAGCATATAAATCATAAACAATTCAGTAAATAACCATGACTCAGAAATAAATATTTGTTCTTATCACACAAATAAATGGCCTTCGGAGATTTAAATCCAGAATCTTTAGATAATAGGTTGCTGCCATTTTTACTAACTATAGTCTATTCACATTAGCGTGAGAGAAAATGTAAACAAATCATAAAAAGGATAATTTTTTAAGGTCAAGTTTTACAAAAGTAAAGATTAAATACTGTTCACATAGGAAATGCAGGGAAACATTATATGAATAAAAAAATCATCATAAATTTGTATAATTTTATGTTGCTGCTAAAAGTATTTTAACAACTTAATCATTCCTAAACTTAAGACGTATTTTAATATAACAAAATTTAAGAGTAGACACGATATAAGTATTTTACGTTGAAGTGTTGTGTTTTGTAATCAGTTGGTTTACGTTAGCCATCTTTATTCTCCTGATCAACCTGTTGACAACAGCATATTCTATCATATTTGTTAAATTCTTGTTATTTCCTTGTTTTATTTGTTGAATTTGTTCAAAGTTGTTAATAAATTGAAGTTAACATAAATTATACGTAATCATTGACTTCGGTACTTTCTGACATTGTAAAAGTTTTAGAACCTCAGATTTTTTGTTTACATTTTGTTTCATGCCAAAGTGAATAGACTATAGGTATCAATCAGGGCAGTTTGTAATTGTTATTAGTAATAATTTAGGGTTCCAGCAAGTAGGCTCAAGGCTTTAGACTCAAAAGACAATTTTTGGGAGATGGGAGCCACTGGTCCATGTGGGCCCTGCACCGAAATACACTATGTCAACCCAGATGGCACTTTAACAGAGATTTGGAATATTGTGTTTATTCAATGCAACAGGTGAGTAACTAATGAAAATATATATTTGGTAATGAAAATGAAAAAAAAAACATTGGTTTCGTAACATTATTACTTTATTACTAATACTGATGTAAAAAGTTGCAAAAATGGGTAAAAATATTCCATTCGGGAGATTCCGTGACGTGTGCTGCGTAAATGATTAAAGTTACACCAAAATCATGTATGATGGAATTGTTCCCATTTAAAAGTTCTGCCAAAAAGTACATGACAGCATATGCCCAACTTTTAAGTTTGACTCACGCTATCCTTTTTCCTCAAATTAACACACAACTAAAGGTACTCCACCTTTTAGTTGTGACATAACTGTAATAGCTAGACATATGTTTACGCGGACGTTTTTTTGTAGATATTTATGTCCCCTATAAAACTTCAGTACATCACAAACTTTCGCAGCATAAGCGATATATATCTTTATAGTATTAGTATAGATATGGTTTATTATAAATTGAATTTTCGCAAAAATCCTAGGGATTACTGAAAAAAGATAGGATTTTTGTGAAAACGCAAGTCGTCTCAATAAGTTTGCCGAAAGTATAGTTGGCCTATGATAAATATTCTGGGGTACTTGTGTTGCCATTAGATTGGGTAAGGTCAGTGTTATGACCGTTAACATATTCCATGCCATCGCCATTATCTAATTATCCGCGTTTGCGTAAAATTCCTAGGATTTTCGCAAAAATTCCAGTTATCAATATATTCATCTTACGACACATGCAGTCAACAGTTTTTATTTGTTCAGGTTTTTTTTCTGACCTAATGGCGCAATTACACTTGGTCGTTAGCCCGAATACGAGTGCTGCCGAGTGAATTCGGATAAACGACTAAGGCTAAGACTTATAGAAAGATTCTCAGTAATGAATCTAGTCTTGAGCATAGATAGAAAGGGATGTCGCTATATATAGCACATAGCGACATCCCTTTCTAACTGTACTCAAGTAAAGATCAACACTTAGTTGTCATTCTATAATATTGGGTAAGTGTTAGCGAGTACGCCCAATGAGTATGTATTCAGGTAGTTTTCGTTTCGGTTACCCCCATATCGTATTCCAGAGTAAACATTGTTTTGGGTGCCCAAATTCGAGTAGTCTTTCGGGCAACCCGAATACAAGCTAAAGACCAAGTGTAATTGAGCCATAAATGAACGGATTCGAGTATGCCTGTATTAGGGTGGTTTTCGTTTTATTTACCCAACACCGTCTTCCAGCCCGTATCCCAGTGTAAATATTTCTTAGGATGCCCAAATTAGACAAATGTCTTTCGTGCACCCGAGTACGAGCTAACGACCAAGTGTAATTGAACCATAATAATGGACAACATTTGTTAGGGAAGCCGACGGCAAAGTGTCAGGGCTGCGTCGACACCACGTGGACACTGGAATGGGATTGGAACGAATGGCGGCGTTACTGCAAGGAGTGCGTTCTAACTACGACACAGATCTGTTCCAGCCAATCATTCGGGCTATTGAACAGGTATGGAATATATATTTGACAACCTCTGTTGTGGTTTGTACGCTGGGTTTCATGGTGTCGCCGTCTCGAGAGGTCCCGGGTTCGAATCCCGGTGGGGGCAGATGTTTGTGTGCTGATTACGAGCATTTGTACTCCAGTCATGGATGTTTAATATGTATTTCTATAAATAAAATATACTTGTATATGTACAATATATGTATTCTATCCGTTACCCTAGTATCCCATAACACAAGCCTTATAGTGCTTTTTTTTACCCGGCTGCGCAATGCAAGAGCGCGAAGCGCGACGCGCAGACAGGGTTATGTGTTTAACAGTCTATATATGTATGTTTGTTCCTTTGTGGCACACTAGAGACCAAACGCCTGGACCGATTTTGATGATTCATACATCAATCGATTCGTCTCAATCATGGGAGTGCTACTACAGATATGATAGTAATCAAAATTCAATATGGGCAAAATTAGGCGCCATATTGTGACGAAGTAAAAAAAATAAGTTGATAAAATATATCGAGTGGGGTATCACTGTCTAGATAATCAAAAATCATATTTAGGTTCTTAACACCATTTTTCATTTAATATGATTGTTTAGGATCTATAACGCTTTAAAGTTGTATGTTAACCACTTACGCTTTTAATTTCAATCTTACGTTTGTATGGATCTTTGTTACTCTTTCACCTAAAAAATACTGAATGGATTTTAATGAAACTTAACAGTAATATAGCTCATATATGATAATTACATATATATAATAATTTATGTAGTTATTGAGTGAATTGGCCAATATAAAACAATAAGTCACATAAGACGGAAAAAAATCTCCCATCTGCGAGCCATTTTGGCCTGCACTGCAAAAACAATAAAAGTTACATGAATGTAATGTAGAGTGAAAATGTATCTCTTAAATAGTTCTAAAAAAAAGTCCGTGAGACCATATATCTATTTGTAATGTGTAAGTCATTAAAGCTAAAATAGTGAATCAAAACTAAAATATTATTTGATATCTATTTCCAAAATGCACATTTTGTATTAACAAATCACTTTTTATCAAAACAAATACTTCAATCGCTTTTGATATTTAAAGACGATAAACTTTGCTTTTTACACTATGTCATTTCGACAAATATTTAAAAAGTTACAACGATGACAAAGTGATAGCGCGGTGTACTATGTAAAAGAAAAAAAAAATGGGGTATTCGCAGTATCTGATCCTATACGAAGTACTAACATTAAAACTGTGATACAGTTCCTTCTTATTAAATGATGAAAAATATATTATCATAATGGGTATTTATGATTATTGAATTTTAATGAAAAACTCAGAATTTTACTTTTTCATTTTTTTAACGATATTACTTAATGTTACAAAAAAGGTTTACTTAATATAATGACAGATTAATGAGCTCGCGATAATATTGGTTTTGTAATAATTCTGCAAAATTCAAAGTAAATAATGTAGATTTTTATAGGTAAATCACCCCCTTCATCACCCTACGCCTATAATTATTGCGATGATGTGCTAAGAACCAAGTTCCCATCTACTTCTATATGAAAATTCATTATATTCGATTTAGCTATTAGGGCACGGAAGCGCAACAAACAAACTCACTTTCACATCTATAATATTATATTATACTTACTAGTGATCCACCCGGGCATTGTACGGGCGAAATTTATTTATCGGGGAAAAAATAGCCTATGTCACTCGGACAAAATTTATTTAAATAAAGAATAATGTAATAATAAATAATGTAGCTACCTTATGATGAATTAATATTTGAAACCGGTTTAGTAGTTTGACAGATTATTTGTTACAAACATACAAATCTTGCCTCTTTATAATATTAGTATAGATAGTTAGGATAAGATAAGTATTTAATTGATGAAAAAGATTTAAAAATAAAGTAAGTAATCGGTTTATTTGATTATATTTGTAAAAGTTACTTAGCATTTGTGCTTAATAGTGATGCGTTATTCGGTATTTTTTTAAACAAAAAAAATTTGGAAAATAATTGCCATGATTGCCCTACTGGGAGTACTCTTCATTCGAGCTTTGCACTACCAATAAAAAAGGGTCGATCACAAAGTCTTTGACATGTTATATGTGAACGCTTTAAAAGAAAACTACAAACAGAACTATAAATTGATAATAAATGAGATTGCTATGGTGCTCTACCTAACTTTATGAAAATTTTAATATGCGCCTTTAGTTTAATCAAATATTATAAACTTTGCTTTGGTGATTGCATAATTATTTAATTTAGTGATCTAAGGCAGTTGCCACCATTTTCCAAAACAACAAACGGGAATTACTGCTTTCTTCAACCTGCGACATAAACGTCATTGATTGGTATTGTATATAGGGTGATTAAAAACATTTGAAGTTAACTTCTGGCATCTACATATTGGGTTTCTGTGAATTATGTAGGTATATCAAATTATGAGACTAGGGACTGACACTGCATTTGTGTATATCACAATCTTAGACGTCCGGCATTGACATGACAATGCAGCCACTGCCAATTTTAAATAGTCGACGAATAAAAGTAAATGAATTTTATATTTACTACTAAACTATTAAAAAAAAACATAAACAAAAGATGACTTTTTGAGTAAGTTCTAGTTGTATGTAACGACTTGATTTAACTTCACACATTTTTGCAAAAATTGAGGCCCATCTGTAGCCTTGACCCCGCTGGTAAAGTCTCTATATGTCTTAATAAATCAATCTTTTAGACCGACGCAAGGAACTTAATAATTCCCGCGATATTAATTCCCTTACTGAAGTAATAAGACTACGGTATATACCGTCTTAAAATACTAACTAACTAAAAAGTGTGAAATAAAAAAGGTAAATTTAAAAAATCAAAAAACCCGACTGCTTAATTATACTTCAAATAAAAACTGAAAAGAAAAAAACAAGTTCAGTAGTCTATCATTCTGTTAATAAGGAACAAAGCTACTTTAACAGTCGGGACCCACTGTTGAAAAATATTATGTATTCTTAAATATCTAATGGGTCCCGACTGTTAAAGTAGCTTTGTTCCTTATTAACAGAATTATAGACTACTGAACTTGTTTTTTTCTTTTCAGTTTTTATTTGAAGTATAATTAAGCAGTCGGGTTTTTTGATTTTTTAAATTTACCTTTTTTTTTATAGATAGGTCCGACAAATGACTCCACCCCACCTGATGTTAAGTGAAGGTGAAGTCCAGAAAACTTACTTTGGGGCTAGGCTAATTGGTGTGAGTGTTGGAAATATTTATTATTTATTTATTTATATTTGTTTCTTAGGTTTTCACGCACACCACTCATTAAATATAACAAGTTTCAACGGTATACATAGATGCACTGATTTATGTATTTGTGACGTTTCGCATCAAGAATTAATTTAATTCTGACGACGCGATGCAGCCTGAAAAGGATGCGAAACTTCATAAATAAATAAATCAGTACCCTTAGTATGAGTTTTACAATTACGAAAACTATGATAGTTTTCGTGAGCTCGTTGATTTTATTGTTTTCGTTTCAATACAAATAAACAATGTTTAAATTCCACCAATAAATCATTTGCGTCTTCTTAAATTTTCAGTATATTTGGTTACTTTTCACCAAAATGGACATAGAAACATAATTTACAATTACGAAAACTATGATAGTTTTCTTGAGCGTAAACTCGTACTAAGGGTACAGGTATAGAATACTTTGAGTGACTGGCATATTGAAGCCGCATAGCTTAACCTGTAGTTAAACATTATAGGTGATGTGACGTCAAATTCATAGTAAATGTGTAAAATTTCGGCAAATACTTATTTTCTCTAGTTTTTTAAATGTCTTATATATTCTCGTGTCACAATGTTAGTTACCATAGTCCTCCGAAACGGCCTGACCGATTTTTATGAAATTTTATATGCATATTCCGTGGGTCTGAGAATGGGCTACTATCTATTTTTCATATCCATAAGTGATAATGGTTGTCCACCTGTAACGTAGTGTTCTGAAACCTACAATGCGCCTTCGCGCCAAAATTCAAACTATTGGGTATTGTAACGTAGTGTTCTCATATTCTCGAAACCTCACCTTATATAAGTAAAAAAATAAATAAAACCTACTACAAAAGGAATAATCCATTTGTACATTATGTTCTAAAATCAAATCAAACAGCGTGCGCTTCCCAAACTTCATGTTACACACTTCCGTCCCACTTCACGTAATCACTCCCACAAATTGCACGAAAGCGAGAGGAAAGATGTTACACACCAAGAAGGGGGATAATCAAATCAAATCACATCAAATTTATTTAAACATTACATTGATCAATCTATGTTAGTGACAATTTTCACTTAAGAAATATGTTAGTCAACGTTACACATAGAGATACTTATTTAAATTATATTAACAGTACAGCTCATAATATAATGTTTGTGTGTACATAGAATATATTTGTTGACGGAGGCGACTACGGCAGCGATAAAGGGCGGGACATCGCCTACCGCCGCCTCGCGGACCACGCGCGAATGGTGGCCGTCTGTCTCGCCGATGGAGTCTTCCCGGCTTCTAAGTAATCTATTTGTTTAAAACATACATTTTAAAAGTGAAACTTTTTCGGATGGGGTTTAAATGTAAAAATGGAACGGAAATGCGTCATGAGCGTCACGTCAATATCTTATATTTTATATAAAATTCTCGTGTCACAATGTTAGTTACCATACTCCTCCGAAACGGCCCGACCGATTTTTATGAAATTTTATATGCATATTCCGTGGGTCTGAGAATCGGCTACTATCTTTCTTCATATCCTTAAGTGATAATGGTTGTCCACCTGTAACGTAGTGTTCTGAAACCTGCTTTTGCGCTTTCGCTCCAAAATTCAAACTATGTGTATTGTAACGTAGTGTTCTCATATGGGTTAGGACGAATGTTATTTTGGACAATATTTTTTTTATAATGTGATATTAAAAAATACATACAACGCTAAATTTTCTCTTCTACCACCTGCCCCTATTTTTAAGGCGGTACGAAGTTCGCTGTATATATATATATATATAAGATAGTGATGGATGCCCTGCTTTTTCCCTAATGCCTTATGCACTACCTAATGTTAAGTTAAAAGAAGTTTCGCTTCAGATGTGTGTTCCTTGCACACGTTTATTTTTTTATACGACGCTCAACAAATTATCCCACTCCACCTGATGTTAAGTGTAAGTGGAGTCTAGATCCGAAGATAGATCACGTGGTAGGTGTGCCGCTTCAGCCAGCCTCACCTTTCTGGCCTGAACCCTACCTTGTCCTACTCACCGAACGAAACAACATCACCAAAAGGTAGTTGTATTTTACTGTGGTCTTCTGAAAGATGGAGGCTGCTTCACCAGGCGGGCGCTCCAATTTCGAGCGGGAAATCCGCTGTAAACTTCCTCTCTTAAAAATGCACACACGTATGTGCACAAGTTATCGCACAAGAAACCCTACTTCCGACTAATAAACGCGAAATTTTGCATATATTTTTCTTTCTGTTTCAAGCTAAAATGTTTATAAACAAAGGATTTAATAACACTACATAACAATAAAAAAGTTTATTGAGCACGAGCTTTCGCATACGCATTATAGTTTTATGAGAATCCCACAGCAACTTAAATTCTGATAATAAGTGTCAAACGTCTCAGTTCAGCAAATAAACTATATGTGTGCCAAATTTCATACAAATCTATTTTTAGCCGGTTTTGCGTGATCGAGTGACAAATATACAAATTTTTACACATCATTTTTTCAAGCACACCCCTCACCCACCCATCACAGTTTTTGGAACAAACTGGTCTGCTTATAGTCTATATAACTGCATAAGTTTATCAGCTGCCGCATCCTATGATTTTCTATCGTACCCAGTCCAGCATGACAGAATCAGTTTCAGCTCTAATGTCACTCATCTTAAATTACAGCCTGAATTTGAAGCAGATAATGCGTAAATGCTTCAGGATATCGTCAGAAGTTTTTCGAAACCCACAACTGCTAAGTTTACTGTACGAACCAGTAAGAGACACTTTGGGGTCTACTTACCCTGAGCTTGTGGGTAAAGAGAAGCAAGCCAAGCTCATTATAGAGCACGAAATGCAAGCTTACGAGAAAATGAGGGCTGGACTGGCGAAGAAATGGAAAACACTCGCGAAAATTTACCCTGAAGTTGAGGAGATGACTGATGTAGATCTGGCGGGATTCCCGTTGGGTTATAAGGAGTTTAAGGAGGTATGTTGGTTTCGAAATACGGGTAATACTGTTTAAATAACTTTTTTAGGTGAGCGTTTTTTAAACAGTATCGACGTTTTCGTAATACGAAAGTAACATTCAACATTTTTAGTGTCTCCATAATGAAACTAATGTTTTTTGTATAGTATAGACGCTTCCGAAACCAAAAAGTATCAACCCAAATTTGAATCCTACTGACAAATGACTTTCGCTAAACTTGGTCCTTCGAGCTCCTCAAAATTAAATAATATGCGAAATAACCTTTCTCATTACAGACTATGTCCAAAATCAACTCTAACGTCATACCGGGAGAGTTAGTTTTCAAATTGTACGATACGCACGGCTTCCAAGAGCAGATTATAGAGAGGGTTGCCCGATTGAACAACTTGGAAATCGACAAGAAAGGTTTCTGGAAACTTCTCTCCGAGCACAAATCGAGGCACAAGACAGCTTTCAAGGATCAAGCCTCCGATCGGGCGCTTTTATTTACCCAAGTTGTAGAGAAAATAATCAGCGGTGGCGTCAAATCAACAAACGACCAACACAAATACGATTATGCACCTAAAGGCGACGGAATAGAGTTGAAACCGCTCAAAACTAAATTAGTAGCTATATTAGACGACGAATGCCAATGGATAGATTTCTTGGAGGCATGCGAGAATAGAACTTATTATCTAGTCACGGAAGACACAAATTTCTACTGCGAGAAAGGTGGTCAAATTGCTGATACCGGTGTAATACGTGTTAGCGATAAAGTGTCTTTTACAGTCAATAGTGTGTTCAAAATCCGGGATTTTGTTTTTCATAAAGGTAGTTTTAATGTAGCCAAGGATACTGAGAACAATTATCTGAATTACCGTAGTGATGTGACTTTAGAAATTGACGCGGATAGAAGACTCAATGCAATGAGGAATCATACTGCCGTACATTTATTGAATGCGGCGATTCGAAAAGTGTTGCCAAACAGTGTCGTGTGCCCCACCGGGTCTGGTGTTACTGATAATGGACTTTATTTAAGTTTGTCGGTTTACGGTGATAAACTTTCACCGGAGTTTGTTTTAGACGCACAAGAAATTATTAGGTAAGTTGCGTTATAGTTAATCTGACCTTTCTTTTAATTTCACTCACACTTGTACGCTCACACTTAATCAATATTTGATAAATTGTTTAGTTTCGTTAGTTGATTACTCACCTCAACAGCTGTAGTCAAACCTATTGGGCTGCACTAAAATTAAAATATTTTTGCAATATGTCGACCGAGGAATCACTAACCCTGATAATTACAGTTTTTACTAGTTTCTGGGTTAGGGGTCCATTTCTTCAGACTTTTATATAAATACCCGTAGACTTTATTAGCTTAATACTTTAAATGTAAAATGTTGAGGGTTATGAATAAATGATTATTATTATTATTAATTAATTAAGTGTGCAAATTTACAACTTTTGTACGCAATTTTTAGCGTTAACTGCTGTTGTCCTTATCACACGATATTTGCCAATGCGGAACAGCATTAGGTTTTTCAAATACTCATTTCTCAAGTCTCTCAGCTCGCTTCCGCTCTTAGTTGTCACGCACACCGCTCATTAAATGAAATGCGCTTAAACTGGTTTAAAATGCGTCTTTTTATAACTCTTTTCACGTTTCGCATCCATTCAGGCTTTTCAGATTGTAAAAAAAAGTAATAAAAAAATGTGAGCCGTCACGGGACGCCTGCCTAGCATTAGCATTGCGACATGATATATAATGCGTTTTTATCACGCTCACTTGTCAAATTACTATGGATTTTGACAGTTAGACGAGATAAAAACCTGATATAATGTAAATTGTGGTGCTTATGCTACAGGGACTGGCAGGGACAGCCGATTTACGATAAATACACTCTGAGAATTGCTCGGGTTGCGTACGGTAAAAAATGACATAGGTCCTACCTTGAACGGCGCTGGCACGGTAATATTATCTATACTGTATTCTATCTTCATACAAACGGTCGGAAACCGTGTCATACCTACGCCACTCGAGTTCGCGCGGCACCCGGTGGGCATCCAGTCGCGAGGCGCCGCGCCGCAGCGACGACCGAACGGTGTGAATTGTTTTTAAGCAGTTAGCCGTGTTTAAACGTTTGTATTGTGAATATTTGATTGAATTAAGTAGATAATTTAATATGGCAAAGAGCAATAGTCTATATTGTGCTGGTTTTGGTTGCTTGAACTCTTCAATAATTTAAATTTTTATTCGAATGCGTATTTATTATACTATTAAATTTAATATAAAAATAAAGCTTTCCGTACGTCTCAGTCGACACGTATAGTAGATTGTTAACCGAGGGTGGAAAGAATCAATTCCCGAGGTATTTAGACTGTAAAAGTAGGAGACTCTGTTATTTCATCAAACGATGGATTCCATGGCGGATACTCCCTGGAAGTTTGAAGAAGAAGTGAAGAAGAAATACACTTTCGGAAAACGATTTTATATTCTTCTCTGCTCGCCACTTTATAAGATCATTGTATGTATTCATATATCCTCTTTTGACATTTCTGGCAAAAGATTCTCTATAACACAATTTGCCTCGTCTTTAATTGAATACGGTGTCAACATTTCTGAATCGCTTAAACTCATTTTTAATATTCAAATTTAGATTGCTCTGTTTTACTTATAAGTTTTTTTTTATTCCGTCACAGATACATAACAGTTTAGTATCCCGCTAATTTATGTCGACTTTTTAAATTTAAATATGGAACAGCGTAATTGTTGCGGCTTATTCCACACTGGCTGTCTAGAAACTCACATGGCATCATATTTTTTTTTTTACATAAAACTCTTCACACCTGACAGTAGTTCTATTTTTAAAGTTCATTCCGGCCCTTAGGCGGGTAGTAATTTGTATGAGTTTTTCCATCTCTAGGGAGGGAAGCAGCATTTTCCACCCAACAAACAGATCAAAACAACACCACTTTCCGAGAATGAGAAATGAAAAATATTTTTCTGTCTCAAATCTATATTTTTTTTTATTAAATATTACACTTAAAAGAACATGTATTTTATGTAACACTTCCTAATTCATTCACAACATTTTTTTTACATATGAAATGAAATATTTACAATCACAAAACTAGAAAGAAACTCAATTACGTAGATGAAATTAAAATACTGTAGGCGGGCAGCCCTACCGCGTGGATACACGCCGCTCGGCCGTAGGCAGTTATTTCAAGGACAGGGCCGAGTCACAATACTGTATAGATAATATTACCGTGGCGCTGGCGCCGTACTGATCGGCGAGTAGTTGAGCACTGGTATATATTGCATTTTACGAGCGAGCGTCGCCACGCCAGAAATCGGTTTTACGTGCACCAAAAGATGTTTCACATCAAAAGACTCATTTTGAACCTGTTTAAGTTTAAGCGTATCTCATTTACCTAGTTAGGTTAAAATCTTAATTTGACAGTCTTCAATCATGTTTATTGCACCTAGGGAATCGATCAAATGCAACGTGCCAGTAACTACGCGCGTGGTAGACGGACTTGAAGTTTCACGCGAACCGGATGTGGTGACCGTGCCCGGGGAGACTTACCCGGAGACTGGCCTCAGGCTGGTCACTGCCACGTTGCTGCCCTCGCTGCTGTCCAAGTAAGATGATAGAAATAAGCTATTTATACTAGAAGACAAGTTTTCTTTAGGGATCAGAATTATCTTTATATATATAATTCTTCTGTGAGTGTGTATGTCACTGAACTTCTCTTAAACGACTGGAGCGATTTTGATGAAATTTTTTGTGTGTGTTCAAGGGGATCTGAGAATGGTTTAGATTCACAATTTTGTCTGCTGGACAACCCCTATTTTTTTAGGGCGGTACGAAGTTCGCTGGGTCAGCTAGTATTTATATATAACTAGCTGCGCCCCGCGTTGTAACCCGCGGTTTATTATGGCAACCTAACATTTTTTCGGGATAAAAGTAGCCTATGTGTTAATCTAGGGTGTCAGCTAACTCCATACCAAATTTTATTAAAATCGCTCCAGCCGTTTAGACGTGAAGAAGTAACAAACATACACACTCACATACTCACAAACTTTCGCCTTTATAATATTAGTGTGATTAGTGTGATAAATGCCAAAGTTTGTATGGTTATTTGATGTGTTGTAATTGTAACTGCTCGATGTTCAAATCTTTTTTTGTTTTGAAATTACAACTATAATTTCTATTGCTTCTTTCAAATGTTTAATACTTGTAAAGATATTCATTTGACATTGTGGGTTACCTACAATGCGAAGAGATGGCGCTGCCTTGCAGCTTAAGAAACGCTAGATAGAATTTGACACGGCAATCAGGATCGCGGTAGCATAATGGTCAGTGCATTACGGTTACGGGTTCAAGTCCCGTCTGCTGCCTGGTCCGCGTGGATTTTTTCTAGTAATATTTTCTTTACTCTAGCTATGTTCCATTTTAACTCCTGACGAATAAGGTGCAGTGTCGTGTGATTTTAATCCTGTGTTTTGTATAGGGAACTATGTTGCGGCACTCACGTGCCATCTACTGGGCACATTGGCCAGTTCTGCGTGACCTTGGTGAAAGGGGCCAGTTCACACTCGCCCACTGTACACGCCCTCACTGGCCCGAAGGCAGACCAGGTCAGTGGTCCATTGAAATTGTTGATGAGTGATGGCGCAGGTGGCTAACGCGTTCGGCTGCGATCTTTGAAGTTAAAGAACTTTCGCAGTGGTCGGTCATTGGATGGGTGACCAAAAATCTTCTGTCTCGAGTTCCTCCGTGCTTCGGAAGGCACGTTAAGCCGTTGGTCCCGGCTGCATCTACAGGGCTGCACCCGCCAATCCGCACTGGGCCCGCGTGGTGGATCATGGCCCAATCTCCCTATTCCATCGATAGGGAAGGCCTGTGCCCTACAGAGGTGACATTAATAGGCTAATGTCGAATAGGATGTAATGTATGTCTTATAGGTGTTATAAATTACTTTCAACCTTAATACTAAGTAATAAGAATGTGTTTTGTCAACAATGAAGTATTGAAGTAGTGTATTTTATTATGAAGGTATCCACAACTGTTTTTATTATAATTTTGTATGGTGTCTTCTTTCCTTCTTCAATAAACCGTTGAACAACATGATCGTATTTTCACTGCAATTCACAAATAGTTTAAGGATTTGAAAAATAGGCGCTGGAATAAGAAAGTTAATCTTAGTCGTAACTATGTGTTCCTGAACAGGCGCTCGAGTTATTCTGCCGCGCCCAAAAACTCGAGCAAGTGATAGACCTAGTTGACCCGGAGCGTCGCAAAGACGAGATATCCACCATAAAGCAACAGTTGTTAGAACTGTGCGGCACTGGTGGCGCCCCCTACGGCGAGTATGCGAAGTGTCTGGCGCTTTTGGACAGTTTGAGAACAAAGCCGCCTAGCAAGGAAGAGATGGCGTTGCAGTAAGTTTTCAGTTTATCTGGATAAGATTCGTTCATTCAGCTTCCTTAATATCAATGGTCATGATAATAATGCTCTATGATTTTATAAATTTTTTAAGCATTTAACTGCTAGATGTTTAAATCTAAAGAAAAGTTTACTAGTAAAATCCACGCGGACCAGGCAGCGGACGGGACCCACATTTGACATTGTGGGTTACCTACAATGCGAAGAGATGGCGCTGCCTTGCAGCTTAAGGCTAGGAAAATTTCGACGCGGCTAATAGGGCCGTGGTAGCATAATGGTCAGTGCATTCGCCCGGATAGCGAAGGATGCGAGTTCGGGTCCCGTCCGCTGCCTGGTCCGCGTGGATTTTTTCTAGTAAACTTTTCTTTAGATAATGCTCTATTTTAATTTTTATTGATACCAACATGCATGGAAAAAATAAATACCGCACGGGCTAATTTGCAATCTATACATATAATAAAATGGTAGGAAAGTCAAAATGGTATATTGAATATTTTTTTAAAAATTTTAAATTAATACTTGGGGTGTGATCTATAATCGATACCGAAGCCAAAAATATAGTTTTTAGAATTTTTGTCTGTTTGTATGTATGTCCGGGATAAACACAAAAAGTCCTGCATCGATTTACTTCAAACTTGGCACGAATATTATTAAGAAGTCGGGTCAACATATAGGCTACATATTATCACGCTATCACCTACGGGGAACGAGCAGTGAACCTTTATTTCTAACTAACTGCTCGCGTACGAAGTCGCGGGCGGCCGCTTGTTTATAAATCCCGGCTGACCACTGCCTGTAGAAGACCTGTACCCCTAGCACGAACCAATATCGTTTGCGAGTCCGAAATGTCATTGTCAAATGTGTACTGATTTTTAGTTCTCGTTACGTACTTTGTGCCGCTGCTGTTCAAGTTTCCATACTTGAAAATTTGACATTGACATTTCGGTTTGCAAACTATTCGAATTCGATAATGGTTCGTGCTAACTGGAGCCTAATTGTGTAACTTTTACTCTCCGCTATCCTTTTTTATTTGATATTGGGAAAGAGAATAGCTTATGTCACATGGACACTCTCGTTCAATTTATATTATTCTGAAGGCTTTGGATCCGCGGTAATATTCGGCTGAAGTAATTTTTTTTGTCAGCCCACAGTGGCATGATGTCTTCTTTTAAATGGATTTTCTTTCGTACGAATTCACTTAGCTTATGTAAACGTAACGTTGTATTTTTTCTGGTACTAGGTAAAGACAGTAAAAATACAGGTAATTTCCGCTATCCCCCTGCATTATCTATGCTTTTACATATTTTTATGTAATAAAACACTTTTAAACAAGAGCTTTATTCTTGACGTTTCGTACCCGTTCAAAAAGTGTTTTATTAAATGACTACCTGTGCCCCGCGGTGTTACCCGCGGTTTATTAGGGATATTTTCCCGCAGTAAAACGTAGCCTATATACTCCAAATATATCCAGGGTGTCAGCTAACCCCATACCAAGTTTCATTAAAATCGCTCCAGCCGTTTAGACGTGAAGAAGTAACAAACATACAAACTCACAAACTTTCGCTTTTATAATATTAGTGTGATTGCTGTGCGTAAAAACACAAGAAATAAATACATATATTCACATGGGAATATATTAAAATCAGGGACATAGCATCCGCGGAGATCCGCTCTGCGTTCGACTTGGCTCGCGCCGAGGGTCGCAGGTTCGTGGTCCAGTTCGTACGATGCTCCTACCTCATGCAAGGGAGCGGTTTAAGAGCTGCCCTTACTGCTACCATACCAATCGACCACCCTTTGCCTTCGTTACTGCTGGGATGTGCGGGTGGGAACATAGTCGCCGTATGCAACGTGCCACAGGTAACGTAAAGCTATTTATAATTTTTATTTTTTAAGCATGTAACTGTGCTTGATTTTTAAATCCAAAGAAAATATGTATTACTAGAAAATATTCTGTTATTTATTTAGGAAAAAATAATCCTTATGATTTACCCTTTCGGTGGTTATCATAAAATAAGACGGGGTTTTTTTTTTCAAATCTGACGAGTTTGATTCCCAGTTGTAGCAGACGATTTTTTAAAAAGTCTGTGAATGCAGTTTTATTTATTATTAAAAATGAATTGTAGTCTTCTTTCAATTAATTCAATTAAGTCGTTATTTTGTCAGGACATGGTGACGGATCAGTTCAGCGCTGAACGTTGGTTGCGCTGCGTAGTGCCAGTGTTTCAGGCGACAGTGCTGCCCTCTGCTAACAATACACAGGCGCAGATGTCAGACACCAAGGTGAATAATTTATCGTTTAACTAAACTAAACTAAAGAAATAGACGGAACGTTGTTTCCGCTGCGCAGATGTCAAGACGAAGGTGTGACCAAGGTGAATAATGTATGCAACCTAGAAATTTCCGATATATGACTAAATACATACAGTAAGCCTAATTGCATCAAGATCAATAAAGTGGTTACAGGGTTTATCCGGAACAAACATAGCTTGACACGAGATTTTGATATTGCTGTGATTATCGACAAATTTATCCTGTATTGCATAGTGTTTTACAGTAAATAATGATAATTTTTATTGACTGTGATTTATATTTTACTAGAGTTGCCCATGACTTCGTCTATTTCCAATACCCTTTTCACCCTCTTGAAGGATGATTTCTTAAATAAAAATGTCCTTCTCCGAGGTTCAAATTATCTATATACCAAATTTCATCTAAATCGGTTCAGTGGTTTAAGCGTGAAGAGGTAACAGACAGAAACACACTACCTATAGATATGTCATATCTTCTGAAAGATAATACTTCTTGAGAATCGACCATGGACAAGAAATCCTGCGCAGGAGCAGTTTTACATACTAAAATGTCTACTGCGCAAGTTTTTTTGTCTGTGGTTTTGTTCAAGAAGTTTGCCGCTTACATAGAAATGTTATATAATCTGAAAGATAGAGAGTTACCTACTAAATAGGACCTTATTACTCCTACCCCCTTATTAATAAACGAAGAATAAGCTTGGATTAGTTACTCCATATTTTGTCTCTGTTCATTGAATGACAAATGGCATATGAGTGACACGAACAAAACACAGCGTAACTAGTCTATAATGCGATTTAAATAAGAATAGGAAAGCCAATGACCTCCATCTGTCAAACGTCACTTGAAAAGTACGGCTTGCAAAAAAATCTTGGAACCCCTTTTTTGCACTCTGCTAATTCTAGAATAAAAACCAAACATTTGTAAAAAACAATAACAAATATTGATAATTAATATTGGTTGATATTGTTTTTCCATTTATTGAGCTTTGGCTATGAATGGTTGATAACCTAAATCGTCAACCAAATGTCACTTTAAGTTGCGTTCAGAAACTCGATTTAAAACTTTCTTTTACATAAAGGATGTATCGTATGTGACCTAGTAATAGTGCATGATTATTCATAACTACTCCGATGGTAATGCAGATATGAGCGGACTTGAGAGCTAGATTCTGATTAATGTTATTTGCTACATAGTCTTTATAAATAAATATTATCAAAAATCTTTATTTTTCTCAATGTTAGTAAATAAATTATATTTATTTTTTTTGTTTCTCACTTAATGTAAATAGTAAATAAGTTTAAAATAACTTTTTTTTGCTCACTCTACCTATTCGGTTGAAATTGACAGCTATGACGTCACAATATGGCGCCCAGTCGGTCCTATTCTTAGTTGAATCGCATTATAAGCTTATTCCTTGTTTATTAATAAGGGAGCTATTGTATTACTATTATATCTTGACGACCTCCGTGGGCGAGTTGTTTGTACGCCGGGTTTCATGGTGTCGCCGACTCGAGAGATCCCGGTGGGGGCAGATGTTTGTGTGATGAATACGAGCATTTGTACTCCAGTCATGGATATTTAATATGTATTTCTATATAAATATACTTATATTTATATAGAAACGTTACCCTAGTATCCCATAACACAAGCCTTACAGTGCTTACTTTGGGGCTAGGCTAATTGGTGTGAGTGTTGGAAATATTCATTTATTTATTATTATTAACTTTTCTCTTTCAATTTGGACAACAGGTGAGCTTGATAAACTGCGAGCAGTTGGTACAAGACGCTATGCGCGTTGCTATAAAGTATGCGCAGGCGCATACGAAAGACCAACCCACGCAAAACCCGCATCCAGACACTAGCGCCACTAAAAACAGGCAGCAAAACTGACATCGAAACTTTCACAATATGATTGATAAAATCATTTTTCAGTTTTCAAACTCTTGTTACAAGAATGAGTGAAAGAGATGAATGATTGAAAAACATTTTTGAAGCTTTTATAAGAATGAACGAATGGAAGAGCTTGATGAAAGTATTGCCATTTTGAGATTCTAAATATATTTTTTGCTAAGAATATGCATGAACTTATTTATAGTAATTTGATTTTAACGATTCTTAGTTTATATTGCACAAAGAAAACGAGGGACAAAGTTGTCTTTTCTGTGTTGCCATTTTGTGAAGAATGTTGTCAGGGACATTTTTTGAATTTGTTTGTGCAGTCTTTCAATACGATCGTAATTTTTTTATAATAAACATAGGAGATATAATTGAAAGTCAAAAAACTTTTTTTCAATATTGGCTTTAAAATTCTTTAGAGCAAGAACTGAATAAATTTAAGTTATTTTCACACACAGCCAGTTCATAGGCGGCCGAAGGTTCATTGTTCATAATTTTGATAATATTAAAATAAAACAAAGTTGTTATCAGTTCATAGATGCAAATTTTCACTTTTAAATAAGCCACATTGAGATAATCCTCTTTAATAATCGTCTTCCAACGAACGGCTGAACTCAGACACGTTAAATAACTTAAACCCTAAGTCACATGTTGTTTTACTATACCGTTATAGCGAAGAGAGTGATAGCAATAACTTTAATCAAACTTCAAAGTTAATTGACATCTCTGAGTATAGCTTTATGGTCTATTCATAATACCTTTGGTACTTGAAGTGAAGTCAAGTATATTTGAAAATATAATACTAAATATTCAAAATCATTGGTAGCATCATACACCTGAATATTATGTATGTAATTCGAAATAAAATTATTCTAGTCAGTACATACGTTGTGGGCATAAACGCAGGCACGCATATTTAAAAGGCGCACGATATGTCAAAAGACTATTGGTATTTTTACATTTACAAATTATTCAAAGATTACTTTTAATTAAAGTCATAGATAGAATGATGGTTACCACACTGTTTAAAGTTGGTCTGATTTTATTCTGGAGATTATCCGTCGTATTTGTTAATAAACAACATCTTCACTCTTAAAGGATCCATCTGTATATATACATATATATGTATGTGTACAATATATACACGTATGTACATATACATATTTCATTTACTAGCTATAAGAGAAAGAAAAAGAAAATGTGCACGCGCACTGCTTTCGCTTGCTTATGTTCCCCACTCAACTCCTGTTCGCCTCGCCCTGAACACACTTTTCGTAACGCGTAACGCATTCGCCAGCTCACCCCCCAAGTCAAGCGTGCGTAAAGAGGTTTTACTTCAAAAGGAATCAGTTTAACTTTTGTACAAACACAACTTGATTATACTTTGTTTTCAAAGAGCAACACGGTCGACGCGACCAGGAGGGGAGTAGGCATACACGGCTTGCCCCTCTGCCGGGTTGGGCATACAAACACGCACGTAGTGTGCAGGAATTGAAGACATATTGTGTCATTGTTTATGTGCGAGTTACAGTTTTGTTTTATATTTTGACGACCTCCGTGGTCGAGTGGTTTGTACGCCGGGTTTCATGGTGTAGCCGACTCGAGAGGTCCCTCATTCGAATCCCGGTAGGGGCAGATGTTTGTGTGATGAATACGAGCATTTGTACTCTAGTCTAAGATGTTAAATATGTATTTCTATATAAATATTCTTATATACGTACAGTATATGTATTCTATCCGTTACCCCCAGCATCCCATAACACAAGCCTTACAGTGCTTACTTTGAGGCTAGGCTAATTGGTGTGAGTGTTGGAAATATTTATTTATTATTTATATGCGTGTACATTAAACTGCGTTTGTGTGCACATTCCCCCCCGATTTAATGGCAGAGTGATTTGAATAGTATTATTTGTTCTGTTTGTTTTGTATGAATTCATAAAAAATGGTCTTTCAAGTTTAAGGCTTATGTACTTACCTATATTGGCATTTTATATGATACTGCCTGAATTCAATAATGGTAGGTAATATTTATACTGTATGGTATGGGAGGAAGAAATACATGTAGATGTATATTTTCGTATGATTTATTGGAAATAAGAGATTTTCATTATTTAATTGGTGAAATAAAAATTGTAAAATATTGTATTAACTGACTTTTAGATAAAAAAATTGTATTACATTTTGATGATCAATAAATGCCGATTCGAATGATTGTTGCGAGAATATTTATATTAGTTGAATAATTAAATAAAAACAATGAATGTAATATGTTCGTTACTATTAATAATTGGATATTTTTCGAGTCTCCTGTAAATATTGTTAACTACCTCTTTAGTAATTCTATCATATAATAAATTATTTGTCCAAGTTCATTTGTTTTATTATTTACTAGCTGTGCCCCGCGGTGTTACCCGCGGTTTATTAGGGAAAATAAATTAAGATATTTTCCTATAGTATAGGCATGTAGCCTATGTGTTCCAGGGTGTCAGCTAACTCCATACCAAATTTTATTAAAATCGCTCCAGCCGTTTAGACGTGAAGAAGTAACAAACATACACACTCGCAAACTTTCGCCTTTCTTATATTAATGTGATATCATCAGCTCACAATATTTCCAAACACTTGGAACAACGGATAATGGGCAAGTTGCTCTATCTACTTGACACCAATTTGGCATACGTGTATCAATGAAATTTATTTATTTAATGCAAAGCATATGATTGTACATACTTTGTTTCATTGTATCACCGCAAATGTCTGGTTGTGTTCTTTGTGTAAATATCAAAAAGTACAAGTCCCATAAAAAAATACAACTGCTCGAAAGATATATACATACTTGGGCTATATTTTGAGCTTTAAGGGTCAATTTATACTAGCGCAGAGTCGAAGTGCATCGAAGCGTAAATCCAATTATTTACATAACAAATTCAACCTTATCTCCACAGCGGACTGCACACATTACTACGGAGATTTAAAAAGACGCGCGCTCGATTCGACGGAATACGGCTTTCGTCTGCACATGACCAACGCTGATTGGTGCGCGCGCATTCTCGCGAAATCCGCGCGCCCACAAACAAACCTACGCGTCATCAGTCGGAAATTTGCCTGTGTTGATAGATCAACTGACAAGTGATGCAATAGCACTGCTGCTGATAAAAGCGTATTCGTGAGAACAATAAAAAAATATTTCTAACACACACCAATTAGCCTAGCCCTAAAGTAAGCACTATAAGGCTTGTGTTATGGGATACTAGGGTAACGTTTCTATATAAATATAAGATATTTATATGTATGTATAAGTATATTTATATAGAAATACATATTAAACATCTATGACTGGAGTACAAATGCTCGTATTTATCACACAAACATCTGCCCCCATTAGATTAGAACCCGGGACCTCTCGGGTCGGCGACACCATGAAACCCGGCGTATAAATCACTCGGCCACGGAGGTCATCAAACGCGCATACGCGCGTCTCACAAATACGCGTGCATTCGTTCAACTTCGCTTTAGTTGTGAAGAATTTTACGCTTCGGTGCGCTTCGACTCTGCGCTAGTATAAATTGACCCTTAGCATTGAAATAGAGAAACAGGTTTGTTGTTTCAGAAAAAAAACCAGATATCATAAAATAAAAATAGGATTTATTTCAATTATAACTAAATAGCCGTCTTTAATATCCTACCGCTATCTTAAGATATCAACTACTATGAAAGACACACTATTATGTACATGATTAAAAAATTACAACTGTTGCTTCCTAACTAAACGATAGTAAATCTATCTTTTTGTAGGGTAGGATATTGAGATCGGCCTTAAGATTTATACACATATTTATTGTACAGTTTGTAAGGCTAATGGTTGTCCATGTATTGTAGTTCTGATAATAAGAGTACAGTGTTGGGCAGAGGTCGCGGTTGCGGTGAGAGGATGGTAAGGATCTGTCTTTCCATGTCCACTGCGGTACTGTAAAACACAATAGCAATATTTTAATAAATGAAATTAAAGGCTAGGTACGTGCAGTTTAAATAAATCTCTGCATCAATCAAGATGAATATTCAACGCTTCCTGTCAGGTAAATAATGGATTATACTTTATTTAAACATATAACTGATACATTATTGTACCTAAAAATACATAAAGCTATAGAAATAATCACTTTTAATAGTAGATTACAAAAAATGGTAATGATTGGCAAATTGAAATTGCTAAGCTATAGTTTTCATAAACTTCGTTAAAAGTAGGTATTTGAATGTCTGACAATGATAATTAAAAAAAAAACAGATCCAGAGAGTGGTCAATAATTTTACAAAAATTAAGTAACGAAAAAAAATGTCTCATTTTCTTATTCAATGTCTGCCAAATGCGTAAAAACTTATCAATGTGTACTCACACACACACGAATCCAGCGAGGTTGGTATGCAGCACGTCGTCATCAGGCGCCGCCGCGAAAGAGACCGCCAGCACGCGGTGTGCGAGCGAGAGGGAAGGCAGCGCGGCCACCACGCGGGTCAGCGCCTCCTGCGCGCGCATGCCCAGCGGCAGGCACGAGTCCGGCAACGACGGCGCCCCTACCTACGTCAGGATAATGATACGAGTGAGCGAGAGGGAAGGCAGCGCGGCAACGACGGCGCCCCTACCTACGTCAGGATAATGATACGAGTGAGCGAGAGGGAAGGCAGCGCGGCAACGACGGCGCCCCTACCTACGTCAGGATAATGATACGAGTGAGCGAGAGGGAAGGCAGCGCGGCAACGACGGCGCCCCTACCTACGTCAGGATAATGATACGAGTGAGCGAGAGGGAAGGCAGCGCGGCAACGACGGCGCCCCTACCTACGTCAGGATAATGATACGAGTGAGCGAGAGGGAAGGCAGCGCGGCAACGACGGCGCCCCTACCTACGTCATGATAATGATACGAGTGAGCGAGAGAGAAGGCAGCGCGGCAACGACGGCGCCCCTACCTACGTCATGATAATGATACGAGTGAGCGAGAGGGAAGGCAGCGCGGCAACGACGGCGCCCCTACCTACGTCAGGATAATGATAGGAGTGAGCGAGAGGGAAGGCAGCGCGGCAACGACGGCGCCCCTACCTACGTCAGGATAATGATACGAGTGAGCGAGAGGGAAGGCAGCGCGGCAACGACGGCGCCCCTACCTACGTCATGATAATGATACGAGTGAGCGAGAGGGAAGGCAGCGCGGCAACGACGGCGCCCCTACCTACGTCAGGATAATGATAGGAGTGAGCGAGAGGGAAGGCAGCGCGGCAACGACGGCGCCCCTACCTACGTCAGGATAATGATACGAGTGAGCGAGAGGGAAGGCAGCGCGGCAACGACGGCGCCACTACCTACGTCAGGATAATGATACGAGTGAGCGAGAGGGAAGGCAGCGCGGCAACGACGGCGCCCCTACCTACGTCAGGATAATGATAGGAGTGAGCGGGAGGGAAGGCAGCGCGGCCACCACGCGGGACATAATATCAACTATCTGCTAGTCACTAGCGATCTGAAGGTTGTTGGTTCAAACCCGGCTCGAAGGACCATGTTTTTATGATCCATTAGGAAGAAATATACGGCAGGCGCTAGTCCCGGGCGCCCCTACCTACGTCATGATAATGATAGTAGTGAGCGAGAGGGAAGGCAGCGCGGCCACCACGCGGGTCATAATATCAACTATCTGCTAGTTACTAGCGATCTAAAGGTCGTTGGTTCAAACCCGGCTCGAAGGACCATGTTTTTATGATCCATTAGGAAGAAATATACGGCAGGCACGAGTCCCGGGCGCCCCTACCTACGTAACAATAATAATAGGAGCGAGCGAGAGGGGAGCGAATCCAAAAACGTGGGGGGCGACAACCTTAATAATGATATTAAGTTAGCTAGAGGAAAGATAGTGCGACCATTGCGCCGGTAAGAGCTACCTGCGCAGCGGCAATAAGCACCAGTAATACTTAAACTTGTGTAATCTAATATATTAAATTCTCGTGTCACGGTGTGCGTAATTGAACTACTCCGAAACGGTTCGACCGATTTTCGTGAAATTTTTTATGCATATTGAGTAAGTCTGAGCATCGGACAACATCTATATTTCATCCCCTTAAATGTTAAGGGTGGACCAACCTTAAATTTTTTTTTGAAGATTTATTTTTTGTTTTTAATTATTTATGATACGTCATACAAAAATACATACAACCCCAAATTTTCACCCTTCTACCACCAACCCCTCTTTTTTTATGACGGTGCGAAGTTCGCTGGGACAGCTAGTTTTTACATAAAATCACGTTTCTTTATTATGATAATTACATGACAAGGAGGACACACCATCATCGTCATCATCAGTTTATAATTATGGGGCAACAATAGGATAGCGCGTGTCACAATCATACAGAGCCATCTATCGACACAAGAAGTAAACACTAAGGATACTTAACATATTGATACAAGCAACCAATAGTGCGGGTCACATTGACACAACGCCATCTATTGATGCACGAAGTAAACGCGTATCATAACAGTACTCACCTTATATATCTTCAAGTCTGAAAACTTGACATCGAACGAGTGCGGGTAGTATGGCGTCCGTTTGCCGTAGAAGTATTCCCGTATGCGCGCATCCCTTGCCTCGGCGCGTTGTGTAGACGATCGCTCCACTACCTTCAAACAAAACGTAATCTTAACGTAAACCCTTAGATTCAAAACAAAAATAGGAAAATACGGTACGCTCATACTAGCATCAAATAAAATATGCTCCTACTCAACACATAAGCAACTCACACACGCACACATCTGTAAATAAAAATTCAATAGAACGAGCGAGACAGAACTGAACGCTTCAACGCAGCGTATTGTTGTCCTTTTCTTTTTAACAAAATGGCGATTACGTAAATTTATGAGAGAAAAAAATATTTTATAGTTTTACGAATGAAGAGTGTTGCCGAGGCATTTGTTACTTGATTTTGAACTATTTGTGTTTTTTAGAAAAGTATCCAAGGATTTTTTTTTTATCTTCATAACACAGAATACATGCAATATTGTTATATTGAGTGCACATGCAACGTGTTTGAAAGTCCAATTGTGACTAAAGCGAATATGGTCATGCACCACAATTTAAGCGGATCACTTTTGAGCCGTGTTTTAATCTAAGGTTATCATCCTTGCCAAGGGTGGTGATTAAACAAAAATGGAAGATACGGCACTCGCGGCTCAAAAGTGTACCGCTTTAATTGTGGTGCATGAACACAAATTGTGACTAAAGTCTAGTCATAATTTGACATCCAAATACGCTACATGTCCACTCAATATAACAATATTGCGTATATTCTGTGTTATAAAGATAAAACAATGCCTTCGATGCTTTTGAATAGAACACAAACAGCTCAACCACGGCAAGACTTTTCATTCGTAGAACTTAAAAAAAAACAGATCTCAATAATCACGGTTTGTCATGAATGTTATTTACAGATTCGCTATTTTTTATCAAGAAACAACAATACAGCTCAGCTGTTTGAAGGGAGAGAAGAGAAAACGCAGTCGGCTGCAAAGCTACGCGCCGTTACCCCTAGCACGAACCATTATCAAATTCGAATAGTTTGCGATCGCGAAATGTCAATGTCAAATTTGTATGGAAACTTGATCAGCAGCGCCACAAAGTACGTAAAGAGAACTAAAAATCAGTACACATTTGACAATGACATTTCGGACTTGCAAACGTACGAATGGTTTGTGCTAAGGGTACAGTTCTGTTTCTGTTTGTACGAATTCCACAGCAATTGAATACGAGCTAATGAATAACTGTAATTGTGCCTTAACATACTCTTAAGTTTATTTAGTTGTAGGTTTAGAATCATCATCATCAGCTTATTAATGTCCCTACTGCTGGGGCACAGGCCTTCCCTATGGACGGAATAGAATTTGGGCCATGACCCACAGTGTGGATTGGTGGGTGCTAATGACTACTCGAGATAGTAAATTTTTGGTCACTTATACAATGACCAACCACCGCGAAAGTTGCTTAACTTCAACGATCGCAGACGAAAGAGCAAACCACTTGTGGCATCGAGCTCCCTAGAGGTTTAGAATACAAACCTCAGACTGTTGAAAACAGTATTTAATTATCATGCTAAACTCAGAGATTGCTGGCAAATTTAGTATTAAGTTTAGAAATTAGAGTACCATTAACATAACAGTTGACAGGCAGTAACAGCCGAGTTAATGGTAATAAATTCTCGAAGGAATGTAGCTTGAACTTGTATTTATAATTAGATAATGTATAAGTAATTAAAAAAAAGGATTGACAATAGATACAATAGGAGTACTTACCCCTCCACTTTTAGGTAGATATACAACTTTCACAAACTTTGGCATGTCCCTTTTGAGTTCAATAAACAGTCTTTCATTATCTAAAACTAATATCACGTCAACCTGTAACAATATTTTGTAAATAAGCAAAAAGAAAAAACTAACTATAGCAAATAACATAAAAGAGCTTAAGAAACATAAAATTTAAACCTTAAACTATAAAATCAATATTGAATGGCTAATGAAAAAAAATCTATTTTAATATGTTTTTATTTCATAATTTACCTCACAACATTAATTAGAGTAATTAAAATATCATTAAGTTTCTATCATTATTTACTAATTGTTTACCTCAATTGTTTATCAACCTTACAATATAAAAATAGAGTCATAAAAAATACCATGAACTTTCTATCATTATTTCTAATTGTTTACCTCAATTGTTTATTTATCTTACAACATTAACTAATGAAATGCAAAATACCATGAACTTTCTATTATTATTTACTAATTGTTTACCTCAATTGTTTATCAACCTTACAACATAAAAATAGTCATGAAAATACCATGAACTTTCTATAATTATTTTAAAATTGTTTACCTCAATTGTTTATTTATCTTACAACATTAACTAGAGTAATAAAAATTCCACAACGTTTCTATAATATTTTTTAATTGTTTACCTCAAATGCTTGCGCGGCATGTGTCAATACTTTGTAACCCGCACCCTTGATCCAGCCACATGTGTTGATTATCACTCCTGATGTTGATGCTGAACAAATAGAAGAAAATTACGACTAGGCTCATATTATTACTATTTAATTTGAAGTCATCAATACATTTAAGGTTGGTAGGGCATAGCGGATTTTCCGCTTGAACTGGAGCGCCAGCCTGGGGAAGAAGCGACTGTAGGCTATGGTGGCCGCTTGCCATGAAGTCATATGCTTATTTGCCACCCTTTTAACATAAAAAACATGTGTGGACTTTTTCTAGAATTAGATTTAAACATCAAGTAGATACTATATGCTTAAAAATAAAAATTATAACTATAAAAAACACTTTTCCTTGTGGCTTAAATTTTATTTTTATTTTGGAAGGGTAGCAAACAAGCATATAGCCTGTCTGGGAAAGAAGTGTCTGTAGGCTGTGGTGGCTGCTTACGATCAGGCCATATGCTTGATTGCGACCCTTTCACAAAATAAAAAAAAATCCAAAAATAAGCTTTAAAATCACTGTAAAAGCTTATAATGCTATAAGAGTAAGAACATTCTTTACCTTTTTTATTGTTCTCACATCTCTCTGTGACAACTTCCGCCAGCCTGGTGACAATTGTGTTGTATAACTCCAGGTTTTCACCGGGTGCTTTGTGACCAAAGTGGTAAACAAGTGGTGCCTGTTGACTGAAGCCCTCTTCAATTGAAGCCGGCCTCTCCACCAATGTAGCACCTATATATTTTCCTTTTATTAGAAACTAATTTTTAAAGTAACAACTAACAAAACTAAGCACTTATTGATTATATTTATCATCAAAAAATTGTTGCCATTTGAATATGTCTATCAAAATTATTACTTTCAAACCTAAATTAATAATTTCTTCAAAAACATTTCAATTCAATTATATTTCTCATTTATAAAAAGTAGCAGTTACATGCTTTAATAAAATATATATATAAAAAAATAGTAACAAACATAAGTACCTATTGTTCCAGGAATACTAATGTGCCCCTGACCAACGTCTAAGTCTACAAATATCGGTCTTCGGCCCATCCTGACAGCATAATTGAGAAGTAATCGAGTCAAGGTGGACTTCCCCACATCACCGGGGCCCACCACCATAGTAACTGGACCCCTGGTGCCTTCTTGTTCTGCGGCTACTCTTTGTTGTTCCAGTGCTGCATGTACATTTAGATAAACAACCTAAAATATAACAGACAATATAAGAACTTCACAAAATTTCATCTATATTTGATTTTGAAAAGATCTGCTTTAAGAATCAGGTGAAACAATATTTGACCCATTTAATAGTTTATCATTAACTTATCCTTTATATTTTTTTATTATTCAATAACTTATAACAGAAACAAATAATATATAATCACCATAGGAGTCTCCTTAGCAACATAACTGACTTCAGTGCGTCCCCTGAGCTCCACAGTGCAGCCATGCCACGTGAATACTGCAACTTTTGCACCGGTATGAAACTCATACGGTTTCCCTTTCACAAGCTCAGTACCAAACAATTCAGCATATCCACTTTTAACCTGGTGTACGATATAAGGGGAATGAGAAAAATATCTCTGTTTTAACCCTACAATATTTAAATAGACAGTATAATACAGAGGGAAGATCTTACTTCTAAAACCACTTTTTCGTTTTTCGATTCGACTTCAAACCGCAGTTCGGAATCAGGATCTAGCTTAAATTCTTGCAACTGCACTTCAGTCATTGTAATATGTGATTAATTTAAGTTATTTTATTTATTTATTTAGAAACAAAAGCACAATAAAGCACAAACTGCTGCTCGTCGTACGTTCGCTAACAAGTGTTTGTCAGACCAGTGTCAGAGAGTCACTGTCATGTATTGCTGCATGTTACCATAGAAACTGTACAATTAGGGATGCCCAATCAAAATAATCATAAGATCGATTCACGACAAAACAATGTACCGATTTTTTGTATTAGATACGTGATTATTTTCCCAAATTGAATAATATACCCAAAAAACACTTGATTTTTGCATGGTATTAATTAATATTTCATGTCAATCAATTTTCATTTATTATTTCAGCTAAAAGTCCAGAAAAATATCTTTTCATACAATATAGTAGCAGCACGCTATAATGGATTTCATATTCAATATTACTACAAAATTGAAAATAAAAAATTACAGTTCTTTATTTAATAATGAAATTGATCGAATCAGTAAATTTTAGGGTAAAAAATTAAAAATTTACAAAATTATATATATGTGCTCTAGCTATACAGGTTGGCACAAAAGATGACATCCATAAAATGTTAAGATTGTTGACAAGTGGCAAAATACCTCATGTGTGTTTCGAGATATGATTTTCATTTCTATTTTTTTTTTGATTTTCGACCTAACTAATTAAAAAAAATATCTTAGTAAATTCAACACTTTTTTTGGCTTAGGACCCATCAGTTGTATTCTCACTCATTAAATACCTAGATTACTACTATTATTAAAAGTTATTCAAATTTAAATCGAAAATACATAATTTAGGATGAAGAAGTTAAATATTGAACATTTAATTGAAAAAATAAAAAAAGTTTATGACTTTTAAATACAATTTTAAAACTTCCTGAGACTTGATTATGGTACTAAGAAAGTGGATACTTAATAGGCTGATTTGAGCCGAGAAGTGCTTTTAAATATACAGGTCCGAAATCAATTATTTAAAATGCAGCTACTATAAATTTCCATGGTCAAATATGGTTGGCCATGTAGGTATAGCATAATTACCATTCAGTGAATTAAAACATTAAGATGGCAAAATGAAAAGTTCAAGTAGATATGGTATCACTTCAATCATCTTACATCTTTTTTAACATAATTAAAGAAGTAATAAAAAATAATAGTTTTTATCAGGTAGACGCTCGGGTCATATAATACCACGTGCACACAAAGCATAATTTCTTTGTCCTGCACGTGGTATTTTGATATTACGTTGTCTGTAGCGCGGCCTCTCACTCTCTCATTGGTCGTCTTGCTCTGTCCGTTCTGTAACCAAGGCACATCCCGTTTCTCAGCCTCAGTGTTTCACAGCTTATTCCATAATATTTTCTTATTAACTACAACTCTCACTTGCCATCTGGATTCTGATTCACTGTTTTTAATTAAAGTATAATAAATTGGCAAAGGAAAATACCGATTTAAAGCCCCTGGCATAATTATTATTATATTACACCGGTCCGATATGTAAATAATTTTGGTCACGTACTGTGACTTTTCATATTTATAATTTGCGAACCGATTTTCCTGAATCACATGAAATCGATTTGTTGACATAAAAGTATTACGCCGTATGAACTTATTTGTCCTCCCAAACGTCCCATGAATAACCGAACCAAAAAAAAAACACGATGCGTTTTGTTCTAGAATTTACTAGATTAGATTTGTTTTAATCAATTTATTATTTTGGTGCATAATTTTAATTATATAAAATTTTAGAAATTAATAAACTTAAAATTACGTTATGTTAGTAATATGTATTGGTATCCAATATTTTTAGCACACTTCGTAATACAATTTACTGCTGCTTTATGTCGGCACTTCACTTGGCATTCCATTTTCTAAACTTGACAATAGTCTAGCCTTATCTTATTTTATAAGAAATGAAAAGGATAGATAGATGTCAAATTTACAAATAAGTAACCAAGTGAAGTGCTGGCATTAGAAAATCAACAATAACAACAAAACGTCGACAACGACTACTTTTTGAATCAAAAATATAAACACATTTTTGGATTGCGGTGTTTAGTTCAAACTTTACTGAATTATATAATAAGCAATATGGATAATTCATTTTTTGAATATCGCGATGCAACAGCAGTTGATGAAGATGAAGATTCTAATTCGGAAATTATCGACGATAGTTTAGTTGAAGATTCTTTCGTGCTTCAGAAGAAGACAGTTGTTAAAAATCACACTGTTTTTGTTGCAGAATCTGATAATTCTGGAGAAGATGGTAAGACCATACACCTATTTTTCAGACTTGTTTTTGCATACTTACGTAAGTGCATGAATACTTTACCATATATATATAAAATAACGCGATTTCGTTCGCGTTAACTTTTGTTTTGGAATTTCACACTTTTCCGGGATAAAAAGTTTCCTACGTCACAATCCAGGTCTTAAACTATATGTTTACCAAATTTCATTCGAATCTGTTCAGTGGTTTGGTCGTGAAAGCGTAACAAACTGACTTTCGCATTTATATTATTAGATAGGATTTACAGTTAACTGTTTTTTGCTATCTTTACAACTTATACACATATTATTTGTAATCGCCCGAATAATTGGCACAATGGCGAAAATAATACCAAATAAAGTAAGTAATTTATGTGACCCTTAACACGCTTAAATTATATAAGAAAAGACCATTATAGACTGTATCATGACCCAATAATTGCTCCATAAGTGTACTGAATATGGCAATATTTATTCTCACAGTAGTATAATAACATATTTTGTGATTCCATAGTGAACTGTCTAGTTAAACTTATGATCAGTCTCTATATTCCATGCTGTTGCGTTGTTTAATGTGAATGACATGTCTTACCATTAGGCACATCTTTCTACCACAGGTAAGAAACATATATTCTTTCTTTAATAAATAGTTGATAAAACTTTATGGGCCCCAGAATTGACACTTCACAATTCATTAATAACCAGCCTAGAAGCAGGACAAGAATTATATTAAATTTTCTAAAAATCTACATACTTTGTTTTAATAGAAACGGACGATGATCAAACTGGAACTGACTCAAGAAACACTACTAAAAATGTGGTTAAGAAGAGCAATGCTGCTGCAGCACATTTAATTTTAAGTAGTGATGATGGTTAGTATACTTAGTATTAAAAAATCTGTCTTTTCTAGATTCAGTTCTTAATTTACAGACAGTCAAAATATGTAACAATATCTTTAAAATATAATTTATATTTATAACGCAATGCGAAACTTTCAGAGTGTATAAGGATATCATTCATTTTGGACCAAAAACTTAGTGCCAGCCAGGATAAAAATTTGTAATATATGGATAGAACACAATTCTCAATCAATCAGATATCAGATTGATCAATTGCTATCATTTTTTACTACGACACTAAATCTGTGCGCCCTTTGGTTATGGTGTTACATACTTTTAAAAGAAAGACAGAGCGTCACAATTCGCAACAAGTCCAAACCCGTTTTAAGCAGGTACCTGGAAAATAACCCCCTCCCCGCAGCAACTACTGTACCCCGCGTCGCCCATTCTTTTGTTTTGTTCAGTTATCCATGCGACTCTTATTACATTGGACGGCTACATAGCAACTTGCTTAAGACTCCTCAGTTAATATTGTTATTCTTGTTTGTTGTTATTTGTTTGTAGTTATTTTTTGTTATTAACAATAATTAATAATAAAACATTAACGTTATTTATTTTACAAAAATATTAATTGATTACAGTTTGAAATCATATCCAAAGGACTTGTTAATTTTTGGCCAAAAAATTAATATGTCTTAAAACCACTGTCGTATGTTACACCCATATGACAGTGGCCAGGGCCAGATTTAAGTCTGGGCAACCGGACTTTGGCCCAGGGGCCCCAAGAGAGGGTCTCCACAAAGATAAATCAACAAATTTTAACGGATTACCAAACCAGGGCGGGGTTATGCAAATCGTAACAGATCAGGCCCAGATTTAGGGGCCTCCACGCCTTCGTTGCCCCACACCTCTAAATCCAGCCACACACTGCTATGTAGTATTATATTCCAAAATAATATATATAATTATGATAGTTGCAAGATAGAAAAGGAACCAATGTGTATTTGCATGTTAGTTGTTATTGCTGTAATAGCGTATTGTATGTAAGGCACCTCGCTAACTAGACGGTCTCGACCATGCCCAGTAGCCGGAACAACCAAATTAAGTAAAGAAGCCGTATGAAAGTCGCGCAAACCTCCAACCCACAAGCCTCACAACGGGCCGGAACGACAGGTTGTTGCGGCCAACTTACTTACTATTTTATATACGCGCACGCGCACTAGATCAACAACCGCGAAAACTCTAATAGTGATGATGCTGAAAAGATTTTGATTTAAGTATCGAAGTAATAAGATATAAGATTAAACAGACGGTGGGAGTTCACTGGAGAAAAATAGCCCTAAACAGATCTGAGTGGCGAAGATTGGAAGCATTATTTCTCCAAAGATTTGAGCATCGGCTGGACATCCTGTAGAGGCTGGGCGAGGCCTTGTGTCACTGACACGCTACGTTTACAACAAAAGAAAAAAAAAACTAATTTTCAAACAAATTTTGTAAACTGGTAGCTTTAATAAAGGCTTTTTTATTTTATTTTTTATTTTATTATCGAAGTAATTCAAGTGAAAATGTGGCTTTCTTATTTTATAAAAAAAAAAGATATATTCACTAACCGTTATTGCCTACAGATTCTAGTAAAAGGGGGAGCATCAGAAGACAGTCTGAAACATCTGACAAAAAATTTGTATTAAGTTCTTCTGAAGATGATGATGATGAAGGTAAATTTATTGTAACTTAGATATTTTTTAGTTAAAAAATATTTATTGTAATTATGATAATAAATATTCAATAGGTGAATGGTCTCCGGAAATTGTACCAAGGAAGCGTCCACCTAAATTTAAACCAACAGACGCAATTCCGAAATCAGTCAGTCAGCTGCGATCAAAGAAACGCATGATTATAGACTCTGATACAGATAATTCAATTCTCTTAGAGCATGATAAGAATCGTAAAGTTACCTGTTTGAAAGATACTCCATTAAAAATAGATGGTGGTAAAAGGGTAAATCAATTAAGTGATGGCGATGATAGTAATAGTGATGAAAGTGATAAGGAGAGTGAAGAAGGTGATGACTTAAGTGAAAGTGGGGAAGTTGCCACAACTGAGGAGGATGCTAAAAGTGATAGAGGATCTATAAGTAATAAGCATTCCAAATCTGACGAAGACAATGACGTTCTTAATGAGGATGAAGACGATGGTCCCAATGAGGATGAAGACGATGATCCCAATGAGGATGAAGACGATGGTCCCGATGAGGATCAAATGGTGATGTCGCGGGCGACACGGATGAGTATTATGGGTGTGATACCCAAGGACAATGACAGTGACGAGTCAGACTTTATACAGTCGGATGAAGTGAGTATTCAAAATTTAAAACCTGAGTATTGTGAAAATAAATATTAATTACAAACAGTAGAACCCGTTTAATACTATCATGCTTTAAAAGATTTTTCGCTTAATACGCCATTTAAAAAACAGTGAGAATGTGAATAACACACAAGAAGAGGCCCTAGGTGATAGTGATCAAGAAGAAGTCACATGCCCAGGCATTATCAGCAGTTAAAGATTTAAGACCCTTTGTAACTTATTGAATCCAAGCGAAAAGCAAAACTTAAATTATGTTGAAAATCTTGTAATTGCTAATGCCTCAAGTAATAATAAATAATAATACACTACATTTTCTATAACATTATACAATACCTCAATACCTACATTCGAAATTTCCCTATCCCGCAATCTCGCATAATACACTTTCTTGCTTAAGACGCATTTTTGGTCGAGTCCCTGTGAAATCGTTTTAAACGGATTTTACTGTATTTTACTTATGTATGCACATCATATAAATAACTCAAACATAGTTATTTATATGCTTATTTTTTTAGGACAAAGATTATTTCTAAAGATAAAAAGGAGCATGTCTTTTACATCATATTGTTTATCTGCCCTTTTAGTTCTGCAATCAACTATAAGGTTTTGTGTGTAATTAAATAAATTGTGTTTTTTCAGAGTAAACCAAATTCACATGCTGGTTCAACATGTAGCCTCAATGATTTGCCTGATGTTTCCGTTGCTATTAATAAAACTGTTTCTAAACCTGATACATCAGAGCAAGACATATCTGGGATCACATGCTCACCATTCTCTAGTCCTCTGAAGGACATCACTAACGAACTAAATAGTTCCAAAACTCAAAAACAGTCAAAGTCCAAGGATAGGCAACATATACCTGTTATAGATTTAAGTATTAATCTAAATAACTCAAGGTCTCTTATAACCAATAAGGTACATGACAAAAAATCTATTATCATTAATGATGACAATGACGATGATGTTACTATTATAGATAGTAAACCAGAAATTATAGATTTAAGTAGCGGTGATGAAGATGAGGTAAGAATAACAAACAACCATTCAATTTGTTATTTGTTGTATTTATATTATATTTAAAGAACTAAATTAAGTATTTATATTCAAAGACAATATTAAAAAATAATCTACTCAGCACACTTTTCAGGCTGGATCTCTATTTTGTTGTCTTTTTTTAATTGTCGGCTATATCACAGCGGATTTTTTACTGTATTTGTATTTTTTTTTCATCATGTATTTTTTTTTTTAACACCAATTAGCCTAGCCCCAAAGTAAGCACTATAAGGCTTGTGTTATAGGATACTAGGGTAACGGATAGAATACATATACTGTACATATATAAGTATATTTATATAGAAAATACATATTAAACATCCATGACTAGAGTAAAAATACTCGTATTCATCGCACAAACATCTGCCCCCACCGGGATTTGAACCCGGGACCTCTCGAGTCGGCGACACCATGAAACCCGGCGTACAAACCACTCGGCCACGGAGGTCGTCAAATAATTATATGTTTGTTGTGCCCATTTGAGCCACAAATATCTTCTATGAATTATAATTCATCCATTCATTTATTTTATATATGTAAAATCCAATTTAGTCCAGCTAATTCTTATGTTGCTAAGTTTTGTCAAATGAATTAATGGATCATACCCAGCTATGATCCATAGCTACATAACATTTAAAATTTTATACTAAAAGATAAAATTAATACAGATCAAATAACAAAAAAAAGAAAATAATGAAATAAAAATTGTAGAATTAACAAAAAGACTCAGTATGGTAACAAACTTATATCGTTTTCGTATGATTAATTTAAAGGTTTTTAAATGACAATTTTAGTATTATTTTGAATATACTTTTCAAATTACTTGTTTGGTTTAATAAATTATAATAATTTTGTCTATTTTTGTATGTGTACAAATATAATATTGAAATAAAATTCGTAAATGTTGCAATGATGGTGTACATACAATATTAATTGATATTGTAATTAATGGAGGGTAGTCTGAGAAAAAAGAGAACCACAGAAATTATAGGGTCATCTAATATCGTTACATGTTAATTTGGGAAAGCGTGTTTTAATCGTTTTTTATTGTTTGATTTTCAATTGTGTATATTAATTTACGTTACCTACACTTATTGTTATTGATCTGTGTACTGTGTTGACATTTTGTAATTTGGAAATCAGAATATGCCTCGAAGTCCGAAAGCCGTAAGTACCTACTTTGAATAATTCACAAAATCGTTAGTAAATTCATTATATAAAACAAAGTTTTTCGGATATTATCAAATAAGATTATTCAAACGTTAGTATAAAGGAAGGCCCTGCCAGAATATCAGCGCTGTGGGCCAATCGCCTAACCAGATTGCTTTGGAAAACGCTATCGCTTACGATTTCATTTTGTTATTTCTAACCGCCGAAATACCTCACGCTCATTTTCTTTAACATTGTTATTACCAATGCAAAAGAAAAAAAAAGAGCGCGAGGCATTTGAAAACCTCAGGAGGCTAGAAATAACAAAATGAAATCGTAAGCGATAGCGTTTTCCAAAGCAATCCAGGCGATTGGCCCCCTGGTCTTCATCATCATGTCGCATCAGCTAATGCTGAGGCAGGGTCCTGGTCGTGTTGGTTGTGTGTCATGTTATGTTTTTTAAAGGCTAATAAAAATAATATTCTTTCTTTCAAAGTGATTTTCAAGCACACCTTAAAACAAGAGTATGCTAATAAAAAACGAATATGAGTATTTATTAATATCTATTATCATGCATTTCTTATTCAATACTTAACAAATATTAATAAAAATGTGACGGAAGTAAATATGAATCGGAAATTATACATAATATCTTTGTTAGAATATAGTAGATACGTTTTTTTTTTATCTTTCTAAATAGAGAATAATTTAAACAATAAACTCGCATTAAGATTCTTATAACAATGAGAGCTTAACAAATTTTGGATATGAACGTAACGGTTATATATCAGTTTAGAATAACAACAAAATACAATAGCTTTGTTTCAAAACAACATTAAATGTTTATTATATTATTACTAGCTGACCCAGCGAACTTCGTACCGCCATAAATATAAGGGCAGGTGGTAGGAGAGAAAATTTAGGGTTGTACGTATTTTTTAATACCACATTATAAAAAAATAAATATTATCCAAAAACAAATTTTAGGGAGTGTATAACGTGGTGTTCTATCAATTATCCTGGGATAACATTCCTCTTAACCCATATGAGAACACTACGTTACAGGTGGACAACCATTATCAAAGGATATGAAAAATAGATAATAGCCGATTCTCAGACCCACAGAATATGCATATAAAATTTCATAAAAATCGGTCAGGCCGTTTCGGAGGAGTATGGTAACTAACATTGTGACACGAGAATTTTATATATAAGATTTTAAGCATAAGGCCTCAAACCCATATCGCGATAACGCATCCGATATTATCGACCGTTAATAACGCGCCTAGGGGGGAAGGCTTTAAACTCAATGACCTTCTATTTAAACTGCTAAATTTATAAATCGAACGAAAACTATTGAGGATCAACTAATGACTATCTCTTATCTATTAGACAAGTCCGTCCGTCCGTCCGTCTGTCTGTGGTGCTGTTTCAGCGGCCAAACCGTAAGAGATAGATAAAGAGAATGTTTAAGTTATAAGCTAAGAATAGTCTGATAAGACTACAAACCGGATTGGAGTAACGTAGCACTTCCGGTTTTGTAGAAATCACGAATTTCAAACGAAACCACACAAAATCTCCGTAGTTCTCAATTAATTAAATACATTTTATTTAATCAGGTTTTGGTGAACATTTGGTTCACTGGTTTGCTAGTTTCTCATAATATTACTAGTTTTTTTATTTTCGATATTCAATCTTAGGTGGATCCAAAACTATAGAACGTGACTACAAACACTTGTTACAGACGACCTCCATAGCTCAGTGGTTTGTTCACCAATTCAATTCAATTCATTCATTTATTTGCATCACAAATTAATACAATTAATACATGTTCCCTGCAGACATAGATGATTATAAGTTCTTAAATATCAAGTCTCAAATACATTTATTAGTAAGTGACAGTGATGCAAATAGGCAGAAGCTCAGCAGTGTTTTTGCCTTAATAGGCAAAATGCTGATTTTCAGCAACTGCCCGTAGCAAGCGCGAGGATGTAGGTACGCTACAAAGCTGCCATTGTACTGCCCTAGTCCCACATAGAAATACGAACATTATGTTATTCATTATTAATGTAAATAGCTATACCTGTTAATAAATTCTGTAAATAAATTATGTAAATAATCATAAAAAAAAACAAAATTGTGTAGACAATAATAAATAAATGCGTGTAATTAATAATATGAAATGTAAATTTTAATTATATGTCAAAAAGATTGAATAGTGACAGAGAAATTAGTGCGTATGCCTAAACTTTGCAAATTAAGTAAGGCTAATTTAACTTGCTTTTTGAAAGTATGTCTATATATTATGTGTCTTATAGGAGGAGGTAAATCATTCCAACATATCATAGCTTGGTGGCGGAAACTACCCGACCACGACCTTTTTCGCACGTTCTTGTCGTACGTGATCATTTCATCGCCAGTTATCAGCTTCTTCTAAAATGGTTCGGTTTTATTACGTCGTCATAAAGAATGACAAATGAGTACACGGTTCGTTAGGTTTCTTTCAGTGTATATAAAATTCTCGTGTCACGGTGTGCGTAATTGAACTACTCCGAAACGGCTCGAGCGATTTTCGTGAAATTTTATATATATATTTAGTAGGTCTGAGAATCAGACAACATCTATCTTTCATCCCACTAAATGTTAAGGGTGGTCCAACCTTAATTTATTTTGGGCAAAAGTTTTTGGTTTTATTTTTTTATGATACATCATACAAAAATATATACAACCCTAAATTTTCACCCTTCTACCACCAACCCCTATTTTATTATGGCTAAGAGATATTTCCAATAGTCACACCAATTAGCCTAGCTAGCCCCAAAGTAAGCGTAGGCTTTTATTATGGGATATATATAAGTATATTTATATATAAATACACATTAAACATCCATTACTGGACTACAAATGCTAGTGTTCCACACGCAAACATCTGCCCCTACCGGAATTCGAACCTGGGACCTCTCGAGTACGGGTCACCCCTGAAACCCGGCGTACAAACCTCTCGGCCACGGAGGTCGTCGATAATAAATAAATATAATTGATAGCAAAGCTTCGTTAACAAATACCCTATCAAGAATTTAATTACAAGACCAATTGTTAAGGATCGCTGCTGTTACGCCAACCGATTTTCATAGTCATCAATAATTTGTTCATTCGTTTTAGGTGAAAGTAACCAAAAAGTCGCCTAGTGTGAAGAAATCTCCGAAACATTCCTCAAAAGTCAAGAATGAGATTGACGATGACATTTCCGAAGTGCCTTTAAGTAAGGATGGCACCATCCGTCAATACTTGGCGCCGCCCAGCTACCCCAACCAAGTGGTCTATGTCAAGAAGAATGTCAGGGAGACCGAGTTGAGGAAACTCAATGGGCTGCAGGAGGATTTGCTCAACATCCGGGTGAGTACTTCTTTTCGCAGCTTCTCTTCTCGACGTCAATATGGCGCCTTCTTTTTTGAAGATAGAAACGACTCTACCCCACCTAAAGTTAACTGGTGGTATAGTCCAGTCGCGAAGATGGTTGTTGCAGCAGACTGCCACACCAAGTATCCTCCCTTGCCGGCCTGCAGAATTGCTTCTTCACGCCTCTCTTAAAGGACCCCCGTTTATAGCAAAAGGGTTACCTACAATGCGAAGAGATGGCGCTGCCATGCAGCTTAAGAAAGGCTAGAAAGAATTCGACAAAGCCATCAGAGCCGCGATAGCATAATAGGGTATTTTCCATTTTTTTTAAAACTACTTTTATTTATAAAGATTGGGACAAACTGTTTAACAGAAAAGTAAAAGTAAATTCATTATTGTACTTTTTTCTCCATTAAACCAATTGATCTTGAATTTATTTTTAATGGTTTTGAGTTTGAGACGTCTACTGTGTGACGTCAACTTTGTGCATGCTATGTAATCAACTGAAGGTCAATTTTTTATTACGTTCGGGATAAATTTATAGTATTATTATTTACACAAAATATTTTAAAAGAAAAGAAATCGTTAAATAATAATTATTCGTTTCTTAGGTTTTCACGCACATCACTCATTAAATAAAACTAGTTTTTACGGGTTAATGGCTCTGATGCCTATTATACAGGAGATAAAATCCCAACCCCGAGCACACACTGCAAGACCATCAGATACTATTAGTTCTTTTTGTTTGCATAATTTAACATAAGAAGGAGATAGAAAGCCTCTCTTGAGTTTGTTTCGCCGGTTCTTCTCAGGAAGGTCTCCCAATTTTGGAACCGGTGGTAGTTTACGGTAGTTAGGGTCAAATAAATAAACTCAAAATTACAAACAAGAATTTTAAATAAAATACTTTATTAAGTAAATTAAATAATAAATTCATACATAGACAATAAAAATTTTTTAAAAATCTTCCAATGAAATAACCGAACGCACAATATAATTCTTTCGAAGGTAGCTCGACAATTTTAAATAAAATCATTATTCTGACGATGCAGACCTGAAAAGGCTGCGAAACGTCAATAAATAAATAAAGTTTCGTGCATTAACCCGTAAAAACTAGTTTTATTTAATAATTATTCCGTAATCACAGATCGTCCTCAGGACTACATAGGTGTTAAAATTCTTTACACAAAGTTGACGTCACACAGTAGACATCATCGAACCGAGCGTTTTGGCGGTAAATTCAAAACCATTAAAATAAATTCAAGTTTAATTGTTTTAATAGAGAAAAAAGACATTAATTAATTTATTTTTATTTATCTGTTAAATCGTTTGACTTAATCTTTAAATTTAAGCAGTTTTCAAAAATTTTAAAAAATACCCTATTGTCAGTGCATTCGCCCGGATAGCGAAGTGTGCGGATTCGAGTCTCGTCTGCTGCCCGGTCCGGGTGGATTTTTTCTAGTAGATTTTATTTAGATTTAAACATAGAGCAGTAGCAAGCTTAAAAAATAAAATATAAACTAATGAATGTTTTCACTCAGAATTTGCTAGAAAACATGGACGTGAGCACTTTACCGGACGGCGGGGTACGCCTGATAGAAAGGCTTACAACACTGGAGGCAGAAGTACGACGCCAGGGGGACAAGGTCGCCAACATGGTGGTGCAACCAGGTACGAAGTGAGCCTATACTAATTAATGAATATTTCTAACACTCACACCAACTAGCCTAGCCCCAAACTAAGCACTTATCATCATGAACCTATTAATGTCCCCACTGCTGGAACACAGGCCTTACCTATGGATGGAATAGGGAGATTGATCCATGACCCACCACGCGGGATCAGTGCGGATTGGTGGGTGCTGACGACTGCAGATGCAGCCGGGACCAACGGCTTGACGTGCCTTCCGAAGCACAGATGAGTTCGAGATAGTAAATTTTTTGTCACCCATTCAATGACCGACCACTGCGAAAGTTTCTTAACTTCAATGATAGCAGCCGAACGCGCTAACCACTTGCTCCATCGAGTTCATCTTTAAGTTAGTAAGCACTGTAAAGGCCCATTTACACTTGGTCGTTAAACTTAATACGAGTACTAATGGAATACGGGTAAATACTAAGTGTAAATGAACGGAGTTGGGTACGCTCGTATACGTTTTGATTTCCCCCCTAATCTGAGGACGTTCCAACTAGAAAGCGAATGCAGGTCGTTTGCCCGTGTTCCAGTTCCCGAACATGAGTAAAGTAATGTTTTTTTTATAGGTGGCTCCGACATATGTCTCCACCCCACCTGATGTTAAGTGACGGTGAAGTCCAGTCGCGAAGATAGCTGATACAGCAGTTCTAACTGCCACACCAGCCATCCTCACCCTGCCGGCCTGCATGTTGTTGGGATAGGCAAATGCCGTTCCATAAAAGGCGTGTAAATTAATATGATAATTGTTAAGAATGAGCTAAACTTCATCAAGATTGATTAAATGGTTTCAAAACTTATCTAGGACAAAGATTGCTAAACGCGGTTTCTATATAAGATACTAAAATATAAAATGATAATGCATGGTACTTATGATTTTAGATCAACCAACTGCAGAGGATATCGCAGCCAAAGGCATGTCATGGGACGACATCCAGAAAGCCAGCAATTCAGTGCAGCCTCGAATGTTCGGCAAGCAAGGTAGGTTTATCTTATAAACATTTCAATGCTAGAGAACTGTTAATACCTGAATTGCTTATTTTTAATTTCGCATCAGGTCAGAAATTTTTGAGAAACTTTATGAAGCGGGTAAATTTTAAATTTAAATATCTAATATATTGTAACCGTGAAGTGATGCAGAACCCGTTAATTTATAATGTGTGAACACTGTAATTTGCAATACATCGTTAATGTGGTAACCGCAGGGTGATTTGCACTATACTTTATTCAACTTTCTTTGAGACAAAAGCTAAAAAATCCTTAAAAGGTTTTTCAAAAGGTTGAATTTTAATTGCATATAAAATTATAAAAAGACCTAAAACTTCAGCTAATGTGCGACCAGAATCTTTATGAATGTGGCGAAAATTGGAACTAACGCCACCGTCTTTGTAAACGTCATATTTCGTAAGTCATTTACGTAGACAGTGGTGTCCTCCCTGAACTGTCACGTTCATAAAGATCTTGGTTGCACTGTATGCAAATACTTTGAACGCATTATAATACAACTAAATTGAAGAGTAGTGATTAATCAAATAATTTATATTGAAATGTGTTTATTGTTAATCAGTTTGGTTAAACTGGCCACCTTTATTCTCGATAAAAGAGTTTAAGAAACATTGGTTTATTTGTTTACCTTTTGTTGAGACAAAACTCGGAGGAAGTTGAAGAGAGTATAGTCGTTTAACTAGCCGTCCTGTTAGAACCGATCTATAACGGCCAATTGCTTGTCACTTCTTTTGTAACCATATTTTTTATGTGGCGTCGTTCGTTAAGTATTCCGCTATTTAATACCGCATCAAAGATATTCACCATAATTCCAAACGAGCAATAGGGATGATGACGGGGTACAGTAAAGGAAATTCTATTTAGTCCGTCAGTTAGATGATCAAAAAATAATGGACGCGTATTTTTTCTTTACGTGGTTTGGGAGTAGGGGCTCGTGTAAAGTGTACTCGAACGTGACGTCATGCGACTTTTCAAATCAATATATCTCTGCAATGTTTATATTATGTGAAAAAAGAAAAGATACGTGTCCAATACTTTTTGATAATCTACCTGATAAACGAAGAAAAAAAATAGTCATCATCCCTATTGGCTTGTTACCTCTTTGGAATGGAAATGTATCTTTGGTGTCTCCGTACAGCTATGGCGACGCAACATGATATTGGAACGGTTACGCGTAACAATGACATTTCGCACTCGCAATCTATTCGAATTCGATATTGGATCATGCTAAGGGTACTGGTTAATAGAGACCAATTGTTTGTTACCACTTTTGATAAGATAACTTTTTATTCGGTATCGTATCTTTGAACCCCCTCGGGGTTTCCATGCACCTATGGCAGAGCGCAACATGATATTGGAACGCCTCAGCGATCTTCACGAGTCGTTAGCATCTCATTCATCCGATAGTTACTATAACCGTCCTAATTGTATAATGCGATTCAAATAAGAATAGAAAAGCCAATGACGTCTATCTGTCAAATGTCGCTTGAAAAGTACGGTGTGCAAAAAAAACCTTGGAACTCTTTTTTAGCACTCCGCTAATTCAAGAATAAAAACCAAACATTAGTAAACAAACAATAACAAATATTGATAATTAATATCGGTTAATATTTTTTTTCACTTATTGAGCTTTGGCCATGAATGGTTCATAACCTAAATCGTGAACCAAATGTCACTTTAAGTTGCGTTCAGAAACTCAATTTCAAACTTTCGTTTACATAAAGGATGCATGTTCGTATGTGACCTAGTAATAGTGCATGATTATTCATAACCACTCTGGCGGTAATGCAGAGATGAGCACAATAGAAGAGCTAGAATCCGGTTAATGTTTTTTCTCACAGTCTTAATAAATAAATAAATAATAAATATTTCCAACACACACACCAGTTAGCCTAGCCCCAAAGTAGGCACTATAAGGCTTGTGTTATGGGATACTAGGGTAACGGATAGAATACATATACTGTACATATATAAGTATATTTATAAAGGAAAATACATATTAAACATCCATGACTAGAGTAAAAATACTCGTATTCATCGCACAAACATCTGCCCACCGGGATTTGAACCCGGGACCTCTCGAGTCGGCGACACCATGAAACCCGGCGTACAAACCACTCGGCCACGGAGGTCGATTTTTAATAATAAATATTATTAAAAATCGGTGGTTTTTGTTTTCTCAATCTTAGTAAATAAATATTATTAAAAAAATCTAATGCTTATTCTCACTTAATCTTAGTAAATAAGTTTTATTGAATAAAAACTTTTTTTTTGCTCACTCTACCTATTTGGTTTGAATTGACAGCTATGACATCACAATATGGCGTCCAGTCGGTCCTATTCTTAGTTGAATAGCATGATAGATTTGATCTATAGTAAAAAACAAATGGCTTGTTACCTCTTTGGAATGGAGTTGTATCTTTCGGTGTCTCGGTACAGCTATGGCGACGCATATGGCGGAACGGAACATGATATTGGAGCGGTTACGCGATCTCCACGAGTCGTTAGCGTCTCGGCCTCCGGAGAGCCAGCTGGCGACTGCACCTATCGCGTTGACCAGCGAGTTGATGCCGCACCAGAAGCACGCGCTCGCCTGGCTGCGGTGGAGGGAGACGCAGCGACCATGCGGCGGGATATTAGGTAACTAAAGTCGGACCACGATAACTCTGCAGTGGACTGACAATAGCAAAAATTGAAACTTTGCACATTTCAGTACTGATTATAGTTTAACTAACTATACCTGGAGGCCTACTCTATTTAACGAAAAACTAAATTTCTATCGAAAATTCGCACGTTCCTTCGTCCGAAAATAGTTTGACATTTAAATTCTCCAAGCCTACTCTAATTCACAAAACTTTCGAACTAAAAGTTGAAATTGACAGGTAATTGTTCGAAATTTTAACCTCAAATTGACGAAATGAAAAGTGTTACCTTTTCGTTTTGGGATTTTTGTTTAAATTAAACCTAAAATTACAACTAGAGTATTTTTAATTAAGGCTGCTTAGCGTGAGGATCATATTTAGTATGAAAAATTTACAAATAAATCATTTTTTTTTGTTTTATATTGTATTGCCAGTACTTCAAAGTGTTACACGACAAATTTAGGTTGACATACATTCGATTGCATAAACTCTACGCATTAGTCTGCTAACACTGTCAAAAGAGGTTGCTTTAATGTAATCAAAAATCTTGTCATAAAGTAATATTGTTTTGAAGTAAAAAACGTTATCTAAAAAGTGTATACAAAAAAAACTCACAAACATAACTCATTCCATTCGTTCACGATAATTGTCTGTGATTCCAAACTTTATGTGCGTGTTCGAAGATGAAATAGAGTAGAGTCACTGGCGAAATTTTGTATAAAATTCGTTCGTTGCCGAAATTTCGTTTCGGAGAAAGAGAGTAGAGCTTATTTTTAAAAAAGGAAGTTCTGAATTATATTTATACAGGGCGTCCCACGAGTTTATCACACGGAGGGAAAGTACATTAAATATTGATGATAGGATATTTTAGTGAAAGGTGACATCATTTTATTTTTAATAATAATCGAAACTGCATTCATTGATTTTTTTTAAAGTCGCCTGCTACAACTGGGAATCTTACTCGTGAAATTTGAAAAAAAGTCACATGACAATCATAAAATATTATGATAACCTTCGAAAGGGTTAATCATAATGATTATTTTCTCCTTAATAACATAACATTTTAAATGAAAGGAAGATCATGAAATTAAAATTTTATTTATTTATTTTAGCATGCCATACTTAATTAGGTAGTTTTTCTGGTGCGACCAAATTATTGACTTTGCAAAGTTATCGTGGTTCCACTGTATAACCCCCTTACTCAGAGACATCAATTTACTTTTCAATTTGATTATAGATAGTTTTTTCTTTGAAATGACATTAGAGTAAGACAACATGATAATGTGATACTTAATTTGACGACCTTTTAAATACGGCTGTTATAATTTTAGAATAATAGTAGGGGAGCCCAAGCGGGGATTTTGGGATTTACTAAAGCGCGGCAGATTAACATAAGGGGGGCAACTTTGCACATTGTATAGAACTCCCACCATACCTGAGCTCTTTGTATAAGGTCGAACGTCTAAAGAAGTCAAAAAATATCATATTGTTACTATATTGGGGTTCGAATTTATATGCCAGTTCACGCTTGACAGTACTTTATTCACCACACAATTAACACACAATATTAATCACAGAACACTCACTAAACACTGTATCTCACTATACAAGTCTCTAAACAATCGCACTTGAACACTTTTGTTGCACTTTGAACGCCTTTGGATTCGCTCCAAATCGCTGTTGAAACTCAACTGTCTCTGCGCGGCGCCAATCGCGCTTATATACGCCGATCGACGCATTCTAGAAAGTACCTGCTAAATTGAGAATTAGCTAGCACCCGCGAGTACGTAGTACCTACTTATACCTACGCAGGTAACGCGCATAACTTGGAAACAAGTGCAGGTGTCGTTGCACTTTCTCCCTTACGCCGCGCTGCATAAGGCTCATTTTAGAATGAGCCGTATTACTCGACCTCTATCGCGACCCACGGTGCTCTGACACACTCGATTTCTAGCACTTTCGCGGTTCCGTTTCGAGAGCGTTTGTGACACTATGTATGACTCAGGAATGGTGGGAGTAAATGAATGAATATCTTTATTGTACACCACGAGATTGTAAATTACAATTAATTAAGACTATTACATTATAGTACAAACGGCGGCCTTATCGCTAAGAAGCAATATCTTCCAGGCAACCGTACAGTACGTAACAGGATTGCTTCACAAGGTGCAAAGTTGCTTCTCTGTTGTTCTGCCGCGCTCGAGTAAATCCCAAAATAGCTGCTTAGGCTCCCCTGCTATAACTGCTTAACTGTAAACAGTGTTAATGTATTTAGCAGGGCTTGTTTACCGGTTAATTTTCAAACCTGAATCAGTGTCAAGTACATTAGGAGCGTTTTATTTAGGTTTGACTCTACCTTAACCTTAAAAAAACCGGTTTTCCTAAAAAGCGAAATCAAATAGGTTTTGAATCAATTTAGTGGTTTTGAAAGGGTTTCATTTCGCTCTTATTGACGGCATCGCCTTCGCCGTTTCAATTAAAATTTATAATGATTTTATGTCAGTTTCTTTCCAACTACAGAGCGAGTGAGCGAAGTAGTGTGTCAGATGGATAGTTTCATACTTGATTGATTAGTTCGAACAAAACAAACTTAATTAAACCGGTTAATTAAGGTTTTAGGTACCGCTTTCATTTCGGACGTGCTCCGAACGAAACCTTTACTAAAAACCGGTATTAACCTTTATTTGCCGGTATTTTCGAAACCGGTTTCAAGCCCTGGTATTTAGAGTACAAACAAGGGTATTTTTTTATTTTTCAAATCCACCCTGTTTTATTCATGATTGAATTATTTAATGTTTGCCAATGAAATAAAAATGTTCTTATGACTAAGCAATAAAAACGATAGAAGACAAACGATAACGATAAAACTTGTCAAAAAATAACAACAGTTACAGAAACGAAAATTCATATCAGACCTATTATGTTTCCTAGAAATGAGCTTTACCTAAGCTGTAAAGTTATGACTGTACGGCAACTTTTTACAATGAAAACTTTCTTTCTACATGTACATGCTAAAACACCACTTACTTACAACGCCAAGAGAAACAACAGAAATGGAATATTAATTCCAGAAACCTATTGGAAGGGTGTGAATCCCTAAACACAGGCTATATTTATAGCCTATCTAGGGTCAGTTGTACTTTTTCATTATAATTATGACTACTGCCTTATGTAAAAAATTATAATAAAAAATAAATTCCAGTACTGTCTCATAAATTTAACAGCTGTAATTTTTTTGTATTGTATATGTTTTTTTTTGGCATGAATAAAATTATTATTATTATTTGTTTGTCCTTAGCTGACGACATGGGTCTAGGCAAAACGATCACCATGATAGCCCTGCTGATGACGGACAAGGAGGATCGGATCGACCATGATGATGATGATGATGATGACGACGATGAAGACAGAAACGTGAAGAGCAGCGCTAAAAGTAAGTCCCGTTGAACTCCATTTTGTAATGAATCAAAAGTCAAAAATTCTTTATTCAAATTGGATTTACAGTACATATCTCTTGAATCGTCCATATAGAAAGTCGAAGTCGAAATAGCTATAGCTCTTCCGTGCTTCGGAAGGCTAGTTAAGCCGTTGGTCCCGGCTAGGGTTACCATTTAGGAATTTCAAAACTCCTGACAGAAATCCTGACATTTTGAAAAAAGTCCGGACTTTTTAGTTACAAAATGTTATCATTACTCGCTTAGTTACAATCATATTCAATGTAAGTTTTATTGGTCACATTAGCCGCAGAACTGACGGTCGATGGAGCCGTAAAGTTCTTGAGTGGACACCGCGACTCGGTTAACGTAGTGTGGGACGCCCTGAGACAAGATGGGATGATGACATTCGTAGGCTGGCTGGCGTGAGCTGGATGAGAGTGGCAGAAAATCGGGAGCAGTGGCGTGCATTAGGGGAGACCTATGTCCTATTGTTCCCAGCTGCAAAGTTGTCAGCCGATGATACCGCCCTTTTGTATTCGGGTGACACGTGGAAGGAGGTTTTTGACTGCGCTCAGCCTGGATTCAATCTTGTCTCAGACTGGCTGCTCTGTAATCTTCTAACCCTCAACATCCAAAAGACTTGTTACCTTACTTTTTCTATTCGTTCTCTTCCGGCAACTGCGATTCCTTATAAAATAATAACCCATTCACATTCATCTGATATTCCTTTTCCGTGTTCTTGTCCTTCACTAACTTGTGTAGAATCCATTAAATATTTAGGTGTCACATTAGACAATAAACTTAACTTAAAGTCATCTCAAAATAACCTCTGGCCGAATCCGTAAGCTTATATATGTTTTCAAAAAAATTTGTCATGTTGCCGAGCCGCATATAATTAAAATGGTTTATCTAGCACTTTGTCAATCTATACTCATGTATGGCATTACCACCTGGGGTGGAGCCGCCAAATCCAACCTTTTATGCTTAGAGCGTGCTCAAAGAGCTATCCTGAAAGTGTGTACGTTCAAGCCAATTCTCTTTCCCACGTTTGAGTTATATCAAATCACGCAATCAATTATTATTATTATTATGTCCAGCAGTGGACGAGCATGGGTCGATGATGAATGTAATTTTAAAAATCCGGACAATTTAAAGATCCGGACAAAATCCGGACATGTCCGGACTAATCCCGACGGATGGTAACCCTAGTCCCGGCTGCATCTGCAGTCGTTAGCATCCACCAATACCCACTTCGCCCGCGTGGTAGGTCATGGTCTAATCTCCCTATTCCATCCATAGGGAAAACCTGTGCCCCAGCAGTGGGGACATAATAGGCGGATGATGATGATGTTGATGATTAATCGGTTTCCTCACCAGCGGTCCGCGGCGGAACGCTGGTAGTTTGCCCCGCATCGCTGATGCAGCAGTGGTCGGCAGAAGTGACCAAGCACTGTAAGCCCCACAGTGCCCTGGTTTGCTTGCACCACGGTGCGGCCAGAGCTCAGCAGCCTCACCGATTAGCCGCCAACGATTTGGTCGTCACCACCTATAATATTCTGCAGCGAGACCACGATCAGGTGAGGATTTTCGATTAATAAATGCACCTTTTTTTTTATTATTTAAGATTCTCCCTTTTCAGGGAAGGCAAAGTGAACAATGCCCATACAGCCAAGTCCTAAGTTATTTTAATTTTTCTTTTTTCATTAGAATGTTTGTGTGACTCATTCTTATGTTACTTGGAGTGTTTGGCACGAAATGTATCGAGTTAGCTGTTCCGATAAGCTTCTGTGAGGTAGTCAACACTACAATAAAGTTCTCACGTCCACTTGACCGGAATAGCGTATATTTTAAAGATTCCACTAATTATTCAGTTGCGCAGACGGTTGTAACACAAAATCACACCAAATTTATTTCACAATATCCACTATGAACGAATTTAAGAATAATTGAAATAAGACGCCAACAGCACTCGATGAAATCCCACCAAAAACTCCTCTGCACCTACTTTAATGCATGTGTGTTACCATCACTAAATCTATTTTGTGTAAAGTAATGATAATAATAAATCTTTATTCAATATCAATTATTACATATAAATGACTTAAATCTAAGAAATACAAAAGCAAGTGTAAGAAATACAATGTGTAAAGTAATAAAATAATGATATTAAAAACGGGTTAGTGTTTTATCCTTTTTCGTAGTTACAAATGACCTGGGTTTTGTTAAGCTAAAGTAATTATAGTGTATCAATAAATAATGCTTTTGTAGTTTTGATTTTTGCCCAATTACTGTTGCTAAAACCACATATATATTTTTGCTTATATTTTATTGTTGTTTATATTCATTAGTTATTTTCTGCTGCAGTAACAAGATTTGTGTCAGAAAGAAAAAAATATTATTGACATACAATTTTTACGTTGGCTTAGCAGAATCGACATTCTGGACGAGCGTTAGCGTAATACATAATTAATAAGACGTTTCCAAAATATTTTTCACGAGTCACTCTGATAAAATACATCAAAGTCAATTGATATTTTTAAAAATATTCTACATGATTTTCTCTTACTTAGAACCTAGTCTGCTATATCTATAAATATATAATAATGCATAGTATGTATATATTTGTGTAGGTATATGTTATTTATTCGATTATAATCTTTATATGTTCAAGAAAATATGTATATTTCTTTGTTTTATCTTGCTGGCTTACTACAACTTCCTCTTCGTTTAGCTATCCTTTACCGCAAAAGTTGTCTGGAAGAGATCGCTTAAAGCGATAAGGCCGCCTTTGCCCACATTATGTTATTGTTTACTTTTTTTGTATTCTTTTGTGTGTGTGTAATAAAGAATTTATATGTCTATTAAAGATAAAGCTTTTTTAATTTTCTCTTTCCATCGCAATCCGAATGACTCATCCTGCTTAATTGTAGAACGGCGTTTTGATGCGCGTGCGCTGGCGTCGCGTGATACTGGATGAAGCGCACATCGTCCGCAACCATAAGTCCGCCACCTCACTGGGCGTGGCCGCACTGAAGGCCAAACGACGATGGTGCCTCACTGGCACGCCAGTGCAGAACAAGGATCTGGATCTGTTCGCATTGGTTAAATTTCTTCGAGTCACACCCTTCACAGAATTACAGGTACGTTAGTCATTAAAAAACCGGCGAGTCGGACTCGCGGACCGAGGGTTCCGTACAAATCTGAATTATCAAAAATATTTTTTATTATATGATGTAACTAAAAATTTACGGTTTTCGCAATATTTCCTTTATCTGTACTATAAGACGTTGCTTCGTACCAATTTTTAAGATTTTAAGTTCACGGGAAGTACCCTGTAGTGATTTAGGATAGATTCTCGTGCGAGTTTCGAAAATTTGCGGCATAAACGGCTGTATCTTTTGATTGCTTTGGCTTAGAAGTTTGTTTTTTTCACAGCTCTAAGGGACAGTAGACCTGAGTATTAGATATGAATTTCAGTAAGATACCTCCACGCGTTCCTAAGAAAAACGGTCTTGACAGACGGACGGACAACAAAGTGAGGGCTCATCCTATAAGGGTTCTTTTTTTCCTTTTGAGGTACGGAACCCTAAAAGCAGGCATTCTATAATAGTAGGCACTGGCGGCAACAGCGGTAGCATAATTGGTCAGTGCATTCGCCCGGATTGCGAAGGGTGCTGGTTCGAGTCCCGTCTGCTGCCTAGTCTAGTTATATTTTCTTTAGATTTAAGCATGATATATGATTCATCGCTGCCTACTACTATACAATACTTTTTTTTATTCATTAATTCGCTAGATTTTTAAATGTAAAACTTGTATGTTATTTTAAAAAGAATGAATCTTACTGGACCAATCCAGACTAACCTTAGCGGAGTTGAACTTTTTTAGTTTTAATTTTATAAATCTCATTCTAGAGTAGTTTTCTTGAAATATGTAAACCATTAACGTATTTTTATTTTTGAATTTCCTTTGTTCTGTTCCACTTAATTTATTTATGGCCAATTAAATCTCTCTCTCACACCCACACTCTCAGATGTGGAAGAAATGGATCGACAACAAGAGTCAGGGAGGGCAGGAGCGTTTAAGCACTATAATGCGCTGCATCCTGCTGCGTAGAACCAAAGTGCAGCTGCAGCAGCGAGGACAGCTGGCCTGTCTACCCTCTAGAACTGCCCACCAGAAGCCTATATCCCTAGCCTCGCCTGAAATGAACGTATACCAGAAGGTAACAGTTTCGTCACATTATTTTCAGCGTTTATCTTACATTTTTAAATTAAACCAAAAAAAATATTGGGTCCCTTTGGCTTTATTTCTTTTTGTATACTGTTTTCGCATTCATAAAACATCCTTAGTCGTGTTTACAAGTAGCTCGATTTTTGTTTCGCTACTCGCCGTGTTGGCGCTGTTGGCATTCTGCACCTCCCCCGATATCAGTGGCTTCATTTGATTTCTTACGACTATGGTCACGGCTCAGTGTCCTATTCCATTCATAGGAAAGGCCTGTGCCCCAGCAGTGAGGACATTAATAGATAATGATGATTATTTGACATTACCTAATTTTACCCTGTTACGTCACGACACCCACTGTCGGATTTAGGGGAGGGCAACCGGGGCGAAAGCCCCGGGGCCTCCACAAACGGGGGGCCCCCCACAATAGAGACTTCGGAAAAAAAATCGAAATCATCAACGATTTTTCGGCGAAAAAAGCTCGAAAGGTTCCGTTCGTTAACTCTAAGATTTAATTTCAGATAATTCTTGTTTCCGTTTATATTTATGTGTTTGTTCAATACTAAGAGAATCTACTTGGTTCACAATAAATTATTTATTGAAAAACTCGACTGGAAAAAAATTGTTTACTTTATTTGGAAAATAATTTGGGGTGACTCCGCTCCTCTGTTGCCCCGAGGCCTCTGGACCTCTAAATCCGGCCCTGACGACACCTCTTTATTGATATATTATACCAGATTTGAAGGAACTTTAAATTGTCTCATTTATATTTTGCCTTTTTTTCGCGGCTAGGTGTTAGTGTTTTCGAAAACGCTGTTCGCTCAGTTTCTACACCAACGCGCAGAGATGCATGCGGACGCGGAAGGCTTTGTGCCACCAGAAAAGGATACGGCATATGCCAAAATGCACAAGAAAATGATCGCATTGCAAGGTAAGCTGATGAAAGCTATACTAATAATGGTGTTGATTGTGGCATGATTGTCTAAACCTAAACTGACAATGCCCAAAATAGGCTCGGCGTGGACAAGGTGCTTAGCAAACAACAATTTTGCAGTATTATTATATTTATTTGTTAAGAATTTTTATAACTGTAATTAGTAGAGAGCTTTAGCTCTTAGTGATGTTTACATCACTTCCTTATTTTAGTTATCTTATGTCACATGATTGAAAGCGGCTGTGATAGGTCGAATTTAAGTCAGCATCACGTCGTCATAGCGAAATCGGCTAGGATTCGCCGGGTCTAAGATGACATTTGTCGTCAACGGCTATGTTTCAAATCTACGCTTCAGCTGCAACAAAGGGCAAATTCATTCGAATTTTTATACATTTATGTCAAAATTGAAAAGGATTACTTGAAGGGTAGGTTTGGAACGCACCCAAGCTGTCAAAAGAATACTGCGTTTTTTCGTTTAGAGATTTGGAATTATCCTGTGACGTCGCACGGCATATGGTGAAAAAATATTTTTTGCGGCCTATTTAAAGAATAGATGTTTAGTTTAGTATTTTATTGAATTGTGTAAGAGAAAATGTATCTAAGCAGTGTCTAGCTAGACATCATGTTAGTAATATATGACTTCGAATATTATAAATCGTTACGAAAAAAGCCTAATTTTTTTAAAGTATACTGTTACAAAATTACAATGACTCAAATGTTCTGGGTAGTTCAAGCTTCTTGCATTGTATACTTTTACTTCTTAAAATGTTTGTCTATGTTAAGCCAAATTACCATACAAAGTTGGCATTGCCCGCCGACAACAGAGTATCCTTTTCATTCTTTATACAGAATGAAAAGGAAAGACTGATGATAAATTTAGTTTGAAGTTTGGAAAATCAAGCCAGAATCGATAGCATTATAAAGCTGAAGAGAAGAATGTTTTTGTTTAGTTGAACGTTATCTCGGGAACTACTGGTCCGATTTGAAAAAATATTTTTATGTTGGATAGTGTATATATCGAAGCCTATCAAGCTATTTAGCATAAAGCTACGGCTAATAGGAGCGGAACACAAATGGAAAATGTTTTAAAAATGGGGAGAAATATTCCATATGTGCGCTTTCGTTGCGTGCGCTGCTTAAATGGAATAAGTTACGCAAAAATCATATATGACGGAATATTTCTCCTTTAAAAGTTGTATAAAAAATTCGCGACAGCATATATCTTTGTAACTGTTGACCCACTATCATCCTCAAATTACTGCGGCTGAAACCGCAGGGCACCTCTAGAATAACGGGGGTAGATTAGTTCACGATTTCATGCATCTTTAATGCCTTTGTGTTGATAGAAAACCAGAAATACTACAAATTTTTACTAATGTGTGATCAAATCAATTAATGACGTTGATATTGGTCTGTATTTTATTGAAATGTAATGAATATTTTACTAGAAAAAGAATCCACGCGGCCCAGGCAGCAGACGGGACTGGAACCCCTGGCAATAACTATAATTGCTATTTCTTGATTCAAATGTTTAATACTTGTGAAAATATTCATTTGACATTGTGGGTTATGGCGCATGGAGTATGGAGATGGCGCTGCCTTGCAGCTTAAGGCTAGAGAGAATTCGACGCCGCAATCAGGGCCGCGGTAGCATAATGGTCAGTGCATTCGTCCGGATAGCGAAGGGTGCGGGTTCGAGGACCGTCTGCTGCCTGGTCCTCGTCGTATGTTTTCCATTAAAATTTTCTTTAGATTCAAAGAATCTTACATTTTATGAATGATCATAGGTGTGAAGCCAGTGAAGTCCCATGAGATCCTTGTACTATTACTTCGTCTCCGTCAAGTGTGCTGCCACTGCGGCCTCGTGGCTTCCATGCTGGACCCTGAAGACTCCCGTGAAGTGACCGAAGACCCCGCTGGCCAGGATCTACTAGCTGAGCTGAATAAGCTGACGCTAGAAGAGTCCAGCAATAGGAGGAAGGTTAGTAACTATCATATCGGGATTCTAGGGTTGTTACTGCGTTTAATCGCTTCCATATTTAACTGAATTGAACTTACGCTCGAAGAGTCCAGCAATAGGAGGAAGGTCAGTGTCTTATAGAATCGAGATCATAGTGTTTTTACTGTGACTTAATGGCGGCCATATTAGATCATAATGACTCCCGCGAGGTGGTGGAAGACTCCGCCGGACAGGATTTACTAGCCGAGTTGAATAAGCTTACGCTAGAAGAGCCGTCCAGCAATAGGGTATTTGACAGTGTTAAAAATAAAGTGCCATTTGTTAGCATCTGTGTTTGGAATGAATATTGGCAGGGTTTTTTACTATTTGTACAAAAAAAATATTCATAATTTTACTACAAACTAACGAAAAAGATAATAGTTTTCTTATCTATTGTCACGAGACCCAAAACGCTTGGGATTGGCGGAGCCTAAAATGACGTCACACGCAAGTAAACTTCCGGTTAAAGTGACATTACATTGTATCGTTTGACGTTTTAATAACAGTCGTGTGACGTCACACACTAGTAAGACGCCATATTGTCAAGAGAAACGTTTTCGCGGCAACTTGAAAATGGAGTTTTTGATTTGGTTATTTTTACTGAAATACACAACAGAATGATGAATATCCACCTTTTTACGATCTCCATAAACATTAGTCAATAACGTGAGATCGTTTTCTAAAACTTGTCAAATACCCTATTAATTTTTCATGTTTGATTTGATCATGTATTGATTATAATGTAAAAGTACCTTAAATAAATAAATAGTTATATGAAGTCAATTCCTGTATTACTCTCGTAGCGATACCGATATAACACGCTTTGAATTTCAAAGGTATCACTCCTTTGAAATTCAAATAGCGTGTAATATCGGTCTCAAAAAATGGAATATTTTGCGACCAATGGCAGCGTCGATTTTGAATGTAACACCATACTGATTGGAGACCGCCCGGAGCTTTGAATTGGTGTCGGCATTTACGTTCCTTTTTGCGTAAAGCTGGATCTAATCCCAATCACGGTAAAATCTATAAGTGTACCTTTAAAAAAGCGAATGTGCTTATCACCACACAACTGAAGTTAAACTTTCTTACCTCCATCTGTATATATATGCGTGTGTGTACAATATATACATGTATGTACATATTTCATTTACTAGCTATAAGAGAAAGAGAGAAAGAAAATGTGCGTGCGCACTGCTTTCTCTTGCTTATATCCCCCACTCAACTCCCGTTCGCGTCGTCCGAACACACTTTTTGTAACGCGTAACGCATTCGCCAGCTTACCCCCCAAGTCAGGCGAGCGTAATGCAGTTTCATTTCATGACTGTTATAGTATTAAAATTGATGAAGTTTTTTTTGCTGGAATCTGTAAGTGTATAGTACCTTAAATAAATTAATAGCTATCTGAACTACCGGTATAACTCTTGTAGAGTGACAAAAAAGAGGAAGAGGAGACCGAAGCCCCCGAGGAAGGCACCAGCGTGGCGGAGGCCATCAGGTCTGTCCTGTCTCCAAACAACCCCGTGTTCGACCTCGCCAGACCCTCGTCCAAAATAGCGGCGGTCATGGAATGCCTCAAAAACGATGTTTTCGCCAAGGGTACGTACAACTTTTGAGACTGGGAAAATACTCAACTAACATTTAACCAATTGACTTGACTTTCTCACGAAGGAGAATGCAAATTTTCCATAGAACAAAAAAACCCAAGCCCAAAAGAAATTTATATATCACAGATTTTCAGTATTATTTAATACTGAAAATGTCAAAAAAAAGTCAAACCCATAACTTTAACACGAGATTTAAGAACAAGCTTGCCGTTCCATGTTTCAGACTCCAAAAAACAAGAGGTTCATTTCTGGGTTGTAGTATTGCATTGTTTAACAAAGTTCCCCAAGATCTGATTGAGCTTCCACTGACTAAATTTAAATCTCAGATCAAAAATACTCTTATGAATAAGGGCTATTATAAAGTTGATGATTATCTAAATGATCGTAATGCATGGACATAGTGTTTCTTATAATTTGATATTAAATGCGTATTACTCATTTTTCATAACAGTAATATTGTACCTATCTAATGCCGCTTCCTATATACTACTTAAAATGTTAACTATAAAATTAATTGTAACTATTTATATTCTAGATGATGTAATGGAAAGTGACTTCAGACGTATTTCTGAAGTAATTTTTCAAATTGACGACACTGTATATAACAATACAGGGAGAAAAAAACAGCCCTTGCTGAGTTTCTTGCCGGTTCTTCTCAGTACAAGGTCTCCCGCCGTAGTTTTGCGAACCGATGGCGTAGCTTCTTGACCTTCACAAGTGCTTGTAACAGCCTAGACTGAATAAATGACATTTCATTTCATTTCAATTAAAAAATATTGTAGATGTGGCATCTTGGCATTGTCGAAATCGAATGAAAACCTACCAAATAAAAATAGCAATCACACTCATTTAGCCATCGATTATAATGATGCTACTGCCATGCTTAATATTTAGCCAAAGGTTGCCTGGTAGAGATTGCTACCTTAGCAATAAGGCCGCCTTTTGTGTTTGTGTTCCTTGAGTTTTGTGTTGTATATATTTTGTTAAATAGTGCAATAAAGAATATTCATTCATTCATTCATATTTCTAAAATCTGAGACTTATTACGTTTCTGTGTAGCTTATTTTATTTTTAGCATTAGCCTTTTAAAACGAGTACACAAGCGCTCATACGCACTGCTTTTCATTTTAGTACGCAACGGAATTTGATCGTACGCACACAACTGCCACAAAATTTCATACTAAAATGAAAAAGTTAAGACCCTATAACCCAGTTCTTATATCAAATTTCATGTTAAAGCCTCATACAATCTCTATTTGGCTTGCAAAAATATTTTTTATTTTCGTGTTTTATTAACAATTGTTGTGACAAGAGCACAAGAGCAAATAATATTGTAACAGTATTGATTATCTGCCAATTTCAATATTTAAACTTCCCAGAACTGAGGTTGATCCTCAGTAAAAGGTTGGGATAATCTAGTTATCTGGTAATTGATTGAAACTGGTTGTAAATTGGCATAATCAACACTGTATTTTTTTGTACAGGCCACAAAGCAGTGGTAGTCTCTTAATAGACGTCAGTACTGAAGTTAGTAGAGAACAGTTACGTAAGATGCGCGTGCGGTGCGTATCTCTTACCGATAGCGTAATTAACTTAGTATAATAAATATCGACAATAGTAATAATTTAATATCCTCGTCACAAATATACAGTAAAAATAGTAAGTAAAAGGCTGATGGGGAATCCGTCCGTGTGAACAAATTGATAAATAAATGATTGACCGCCAACATAACGTGAAAAAACGGTAAATATAGATAATATTTACAAAGTGTAATAAGTACGAAGTAAGATGGTAAAAATGTAATCTAAAAGATGATGAATCCCAAGGCTCAGTAAAATCGACACGGGTTTTTTTTATAGATAGGTAGGTCCGACAAATGACTCCACCCCACCTGATGTTAAGTGACGGTGAAGTCCAGACGTAAAGATAGCTGATACATCAGTTCTACCTGCCACACCAGCCATCCTCACCTTGCCGACCTGCATATTGCTTCTTCACACCTCTTTTAAAGGATCCCAGGTTGTTTTCGTAGCACTGGTTAAATGCAAAAATAATAATTAAATAGATAAATATTTTGTTGCGCAGGCCACAAAGCAGTAGTAGTCTCTCAATGGACGTCAGTACTGAAGCTGGTGGAGGAACAGTTGCGTAAGATGCGCGTGCGATTCGTATCTCTCACTGGGAGTGTTCCGGTTACCGCAAGACCGCCGCTTATCGCCGCGCTTAATGATAACAAATCCGATGTGCGGGTGAGTATTGTCCACAGAGCAAATGTATTTATTTATTAAATTTCCCAAACGAATTACAACAATGGAATGCGAACTGCACTAAAAACTGCGATCAAGTGGGCGGGGCCAAAAAACTGCGATCAACACGCCGATCATGGGATTTCCGTTTAACATTGAATGGATAGCTGAATTACTTAGCATACATTTGATTTCTCAAAGAATTTTGTTTTGTCTGTGTGGCGCATGAGTATCTCTTATCTATTAGACAAGTCCGTCTGTCTGTGGTGCTGTTTCAGCGGGCAAACCGTAAGAGATAGATAAAGAGAATATTTAAGTTATAAGTTAAGAATAGTCTGATAAGACTACAAACCAGATTTGAGTAACGTAGCACTTCCGGTTTTCGAGAAATCAGGTTTTGGGAAACATTTGGTTCACTGGTTTGCTAGTTGAAGTTTATTTGTATGAGTTTGGAACCATGCTTTAGCGGCCTTTGTTAGAGGAAATATTCGTTGGTTTTACCAACAATTGCAACACTTATGCAAATACAATTAAAGATACGTTGACACTTTTGTCGTGTCGACACAAAAACGAAAGATTACAAGAGGAACTGGTGTATCCATAATTCATTGTAACACAGCTTCTACATATATTTGGAGAGGCAGCTGCGTGTCTCTTTTATGATCGCCAATCCGACATTCGGGTAGGAAGTTTACGGAGCTAATAAAGAAGCCGCTGTATTCACAATACCTTTAGCACTAGCCAATATTACATTCTATCTTGATACCCGTCAAATGTCAAGAAGCATTGTATGGAAATTTGAACAGCGCCACAAAGGACGTAACGAAATTAAAAATCGTCCATACAAAACTACTAAATATTTGACCCGTATTGGTACGTGCTGAGGGTACTAAATTCATTGTAGCAACGACGGAGTATTTTTTATTTTCTTAAAGATAGGTCTTACATATGACTCCACCCCACCTGATGTTAAGAGCCCTTTTACAAAATTGCGCCGCTCTAGTTTAGGTAAATATGACCGCGAGCGTGTCCGAGTCGCACGAGCGAGACATCGAAGCGGCGAAGTTCAGTATAGCGCGCTTTACCAAATTGATACTTTAATATGCAATTATTGATTATACAATAAATGCAAATATAAAATAAAGTTAATTTGAAGTGCTAAGATGGATCCCTACTGTAGCAACGAACGATTTAGATAGAAATCCTGAATGGAGCAAAGGATACAAGGATTAAGTTTTTTTACTATTGTGAGAAAATAAATAATATATTTATAGTACCCATTGGTTGCGTTTTGGAAATGACAATAAAGATTAATTATGATTATTACTAATTATTGTAACTTTATATGTTTGATTTGCATAACTTCTGTTTGTTCAAATTTTTTTATTCACTCAGTAATTAAATGAAAAGTTTGTTCACTGTTATCGCTGAATGAAATCCCTTTTTCGAGTGGCAATGAGAAATAATATTTTATTTACTTCTATTTTTAGTATTGACTTTTTTAATGATGATTGATGTTTGGTAATAATCAAATATCTCAGTAAAACTGTACTAAGTGTAGTTTTGTCTTTGCCTTCGTAGTTCATTTAATAAAAAAATTTTCGCACTCTGTATTTTCAATATATCTGTAAGAGTATTTGATAAAAAAATAAAAAGCATGTTTTTTTGTATTCGTGTAATTTCCATTCATTTAAACAAAACCCATCAAAAGCATTTAACTTTCATAGGAACTCATCTCTTACACACCTAACTCATGAAATTTTTGCTGCGAGTTCTCGTATGGTAATTTCAGGATAAATAATATTAAAACGGAGCTGGGAAAGTTCACACCTCTTCCATCACTAGCTTCTGTAAAGCACATTCAATAAAATCTGCTATTCTCTATACAATTAATTACTCATCAGTGTTATCAAAGATTATCATCACTGATGCTATCATAACCGGAAGCAGTCTGGTAGTATAACGTATCACGTACAAATTTTGTCTCTTTTTGAAACTGATGATTGATGTTTTGTTTTTCGTAAATTACAATGAAGGTTATATTATAGTTATCTATAATAATATATTATTCTTTGTGGATTATTACGGTGACAAAGGGCCACAATACATTAATTTTAATAAAAGTATGACAATAATAAACAATACTTATAATAACAACATCTGAAATTTTCTCGCTCATTGTCAATTCTATAAGTTCTTATTTCAGCTGAAGTGATATGATATGTATAACCGTTCGAAACGGTGCGGTGGGGTGCGGATGCCTATGGGGCTGGCAGCTTCAATGAAATCCCTTTTCTTAGCTTCAGTGCGCTTGTTGCTTGTTTGCATGTGCAGTGGTGTATTGATGAAAGATGAAAGATGAAAGAGGTCGAGGCTATTTTGGTCACTACCTATGTAGGCCACAAGTGTTCGCACTTAGCGCTATATCGCTGCGCTAGTGCGCCTATCGGAGCAATGTGAGAGGGACAGCCTATAATGCTGTCTCTCTCACGGTGTTATTTCTATTCTCGCTTTGTGCGACGTTATAGCGGCCGTGGGCCTATCCTAGCGCTGTGCGAGAGAGACTGTAGTGCTGTCTCGCACAGCGTTGTGTTACTGAATGTGTGTACCTACCTATCGTGAAATGAATGTTGCGCAACTCTTTTATTAAAATAACAATAAATTTACATTTCACTTATAACTAACTATGACTACTATTTACAACACAAGATTATTAAATTATTAAATTAGGGCGGCGTCTGTTCTGTACAATAATTAATGAAATTATTATAAAATTATATACATATTTCAGTAGTTCAATGATTGTAGATTAGTTTTATGACAGTTTTTGATAGTAATTCTATTTAATTCAATATCAAAATACGAGGTAAACCTGCGTTATTTTTTGGGGAAACTCACGGAGGTTAGATGTTTTTTTAATAATTAATGAGATGGAAAATCAAGATTCTAATACATTATGTTGCAACAAAAACATATTTCTGGTGTCGCAGTAATTAATTTGATCTAATTTATTGAACATTATTGTGAGATTAAGGCGTTTTTAGTTGTCCATATTATCGTTTTTTCCGTAAACTAGCTGCGGTAGAACGATCAGTACAAAAAAATGGAAATAGTATTTGAAAATATTCTACATTAATTTTCAATAGGAAGAATAAATCTACTGTTTACTTCTATTGGAAGTAGTCAAAATCTCTTCTAAGGGGGCAAACGAGGCGCTCAGAAATTGCGATTTATTGCAAAAAATGTGAAAGGGCTCTTAAGTGACGGTGGAGTCCAGACACGAAGTTAGCTGGTACAGCAGTTCTACCTGCCACACAAGCCGACTTCACCCTGCCGGCCTGCATATGGATTTTTCACGCCTCTTAAAGTACCCGGGTTTTAGGAGGGAGGGAAAACGTGAGCGGGCAAAGCATTCCATTTGCGGATGGTGCGACAAAGAAATGAGTCACCAAATTTCTTTTTTCAAGTCGGAATAGTATATCACTAGGTTTGTCTCAAACTTTTTAACCCTTACTGCCGTTTGTTTTTTAATTGTGTTTAAGACTTCGGCCCGGGAACACTACCTTAATCTATTGCATAGTGCTTAATATGAATCTGAATACTGTAATCCGACACAGTATATGTGTTATATGTATATATATTTATTTATTTATATAATAATAATATTTATACACGGTGTTTCAAAATAACCCAAAAAAAATAAATTATTTATCGAAAAATCATAATTAAAATGTCCCATCTCTAGTAATCAGCCTCTAATGTCATTCAATCCAAAATTGTCATTTAAATCATAGATTATCAATTTTCAGACTTGTTGAATTTGCTAAACATTTGTACCTTCGCTTCCATAACAGGTGTAAAAAATAAAAAAAGTTTATAAAAGTGAACCCCACCACGGAAAAAAATCAAAAAAGAAAGGAATGATCAATTACAAAACTCCTCCTATTTATTAAAGTCTGTTAAAAAGCTTGTGTTGTCCAGGTCATTGTAAACAATCAATAGACACCTTGTTAATTAAAATAAGATGAAATCGTTAAGCGCTACGTTTTAATACGTAAATTTACACATACAGTTATGTATGTATTTAAGTGTGATCCTTCGCCTGTATGTATGTACATAGAATGGTAAAATGATATCCCTTCCTTTTGGCTTCGTTGTCGTAAGTCACAATTTTAATCGATTTCATTCCTCTCTCTACTTTTTTCCGTAGTCGGGTTACAGATTTAAAACATTTTTTGCTTGTTGATAATGTATTTTTTTTATTTTATACCAATTAATTGTTAGTAATATTAAGTTAGCTTATTACATAACTACCTTTAAACCAATGGCATACTAATCGTATTCAACGTCGAATTGCATGATTATGTCTAATTAGACACATCTGCTACCATTTAGTCTTTGAAAACACCAGGCAAACAGCCGAATTTAGCACTTTTTGAAAAAATACACTTTGGGTTCCGCATGCATTTTTTTTGTTTTCCTAAATAGAGTCTTCAAATACAGTGGCGGGGGGTGGTACATAATTTAATGACTAGGCGCCGTGATGAAGTAAATTGTTTAAGTGGTTTTGTACACAATCTTGAAATGTACATAACCTAGTACTTAATTTTTATTCACTAACCGTGTACCTACTTGACATTTAATGTAATGTTTTAATATCATTTTCCTTACTTGTAATACTTGGGATAACATGAAGCATGAGGTCGTTGCTAACTCTGTAATAGTTATTTATAATATTAGTGCGGTAAGTTGGTTATTACAAACGAGTAGACACTCTTTTTCTTTTTAGTGTTAAAGTGAGACAAAGGTATGATGAAAGCGCTTTCAAGGAGGTTCGACGAAATTACACTACACTATTAACTACACGACAAAGACTTCGTTGTATGGCCCTTAATTTTGAACTTTCGACCAATGTATACAACCTCCGTAAATGCATTTTTGAGCAAATGTATTGAAAAGAAATAACAGCTTTCTCTAAGAACTCATTGTTTTAGTACCGAAGC